GAAGCATGTTACTTATTTCAAATATGTATGTATCATCAATTAGCTATCATATCTCGGAAAACCAAGTTTTCGTGTAGTAAAAAAGTTTCGAGTCACGTATTATAATCAATTATGCTAATCGGTAATCTTTGTTAGTTACTTGGTACTCAATTACGGATATAGAATCTATTTTTCAGGAAATTCCCCACTATAAGTTTATAGGTCAAGGTAGATATCAATGAAATTCCGGACGTAGTTTTTATGAATCGGAAGAAAATCGCACAAATTTAGGGATTTTTTAATTTGCTACGGTTATTAGAAGATTGCTTTTGGATAAGGTGGTTGTAGATGATAGGTGATAGGTCATCAGTCATCACAGAAGCTGAGTGAAAAACGTCCTTCAACAGTATTAGAAACTCCACCATTTAACAACGTGTTCAAATGCATCTAGTTTTTGAAAACTTGAACAAAACTTCCATCTATACTAAATATTTCGTAAAATTTGCTGCGTACACTTACTGTGTAGGTACAGAGTGGTTCAAATTTGTCGCTTGTCATTGTGATTTTTGTAACGGTGCGAGATAATGGGAGCAAAGTTGGCCCCTTTTGTGACTAAAAGAACGCATTTGAAATCAAATGTTTGAAAAATCTTTGAGTATAACTCAGATTTCACCGATAAAATGAAAATTTTATATTTCGTTTTTGGTAATATCACAGTTATTTTTGGAGTTTTTCAGATGCATGTTTTAGTCACCAAAAGGAGCTACTTTGTCCTACACTGTATCTCTCAAAGTTACAAAGATCCTAATGGTGAGCCACGAATTTGAACCACCCTGTACTCGTATTTAAAAAAATTGTCCTTTTTTTCAAAATCACCCAACATTAATTGTAATAGTAATTTTCAGATGGCCCCAAATTTTTCGGATTTTTCTTATAGTGATTTTTTCAATCGTGCGTCAAAAGATTAAGGCGCCTTAAGGGTCGTGAGACTTGAATGTAGGTACGTTCTGGAAAAAGTTAAAACAATTCAAATATTTGGCGCCATTTCGGCAGAAATATGAGAAATGACATTTCGACGGTCTTATTCTTTTCCATTCCATTGTGTCCCTTTTGACCCCAAAAACCTATGTCCGCATACCAGACTCTTAAAATTGTAAAAAGGTAGACAAATCGGAATTTTTAGCACCATTTTGACCCAAATATGAGAAATCGCGATTTTTCACTTCCATCTTGTTCCTTGGTCCCAAAAACGCGGGTCCAGACCCTTGAACTGTAACAGTGGTGCATTTTAAGGCGGAGAATACTGAATACGCCAGTGTGGTCCAAAAACCGTCATATTGGGTGCCCTCTTGAATATCTCCCTTCCGGTCCATTATCGGACATGGCAACAAGCGGGGTCGAAATAGAGGGAAACCACTTCTAACTCAATTGTTACACGAAATGCTTTTTGCATGAGCAAGGACAACTTTTACTTGAAATGACCTTGGCTAGTAGGCCAGCGGATCCGCAGTTTTATTGTGCCTCGCCATGTCGTCGGATGCTGGGTAATACTTGCCCCCATATCGGCGGACGGTGGCCCTGTCTATTATTGCACACATTGGATATCATGAATGTTAAGCAACTTAACTAAGCAAGTGCAACGTTGTTACTTGAGGGACAATAATGTAATAGTCACTTTTCTCTGTCAGGGATTGAAAGTAAGTGAAGACATTGAATACCTCTTAAGCAGTGCTTATGCTTATTCAATGGAAAGAAATGAAAAGTAACAGAAAATAATGAATTATGCCGTTTTTTTATGTTTTAGCGCATTTTTTAAGAATTACAAAAATGTGCTATTGTTTGCATTCTGTCCGTCCGTCCGGACCCACTTCTACCGTTTTGAACTACTAGGGGAATGGCCCTAGAGTCCTGGAATTGTTTGCAGTAGGTAGCCTATACCTTGAAGGTGTGCCAGACGGCCATCAAATTTCGCTGTCTCAAAGGGGGACCCCCCCACGAGTTATTTCCTAAGGTGCACTTTTTCAATGTAAAACGTGCATAGCTTTGACATACGACAACGTATTGGTCTCTTTTGCATTCCGCATGTTTTTACTGGTTAAACTGTAGGAAATGGGGAGAGGGGGGGGGTCTCTTCATGGTATTCTAATGAAAGGTCTCATTCCCTTATACCTCAAGAACGGATTGTCGGAAGAGGGTACTCACAAAAGGCGATTGAGACGTCTGCAAGAAATATATCCATTGGTGATGTCAAAACAAAAACTCTTTCAGTTCAAAAAAATGCGCTTTATATGTTTCAGTGATTATTTGCCACATAAGTTATTTCATTTCATTTCCGTTATTTGAAACATACCTACGCGAATGTAAGACGATGTGTATAGGTATAGGGAAATGTTTTCTTTACCTAAAGTTTTGTTATTTATATTTTTTAGAATTTTACTTTGCCTCAGGTGAGAGAATATAGGGATGTCAATTCTAATTTTTATTGACACAACTTACTAACGAAGTAAATAAAGAAAGAAGGAATTTTGTATGTGAGAAACAAAGGGATCCGTAATTTCGAACGTGTTTCTTCGACATTTAGTCACTTCTATTCTTACATACGCAATATACCTAAAGTACATTGTGTACAACAAGTAATTATACCTACAGGCAGGTGACTGCGTAATATGGACGAAGATGGAATTAAATATGTTAAGTGGAGACACTGATACGCATTTTAATATTTATACGATGGAAATACCTAGCTAATTAATCGCTTTATAAACTTACACACCTACAAACAATACAAAATGCGAATCGCCATAAACGTGGCTTATTAGCATACAAATTTACACTTTGATGCAAATGAACACTGAAGCTTATAGGTAAGTAGCAGCACTAGTGAGGGGGAACAGCTATATCTTCTTTGCTGCAAAAATCCTTAAATTTCAAACGGCGTAGAGGTAAAATGGTAAATCGAAGAGAGCACAACTGACCATTTAGCACAAAATACCGAATCGTAACAAATTCATCTTTAACTGGCATTGACTGGCTAATACCATTGTTTAAATATTAAACAATGCTAATACAGAGGACAAAAATGTTTCCCATGGCAAACTCTGCATTTACTTTTACTACTCTCAACAAACAGTTCTGTACCATGTTTATTTGTCGAAGTAAGTACAACGAACGTTATATCACTGTAAACAGAAAAAAATGCACTTCTTAAAAATGTCACAGCCAACTATGGTTGCCATTTAAAAAATGTAAGTTTGCGTTATAACTCGAAAATTATAAAAGAAGTAAATGTATCTTATTAAGTGGAAAAAAATCCTCACTTTTTGTTCTTTGAATATTTCTGTATTTCTAATACTAACGACTCTACAACATTTAAAAGAAAAATCATTAAATCTGTTTTTCGCCCATATTTAGTAAACTGTGGATTTTTTTCAAAAAACAAAAGCATATCTTGAATAAGCTCTTAAAACGACAACTCCAAATCTCTATGTTTTACGGTTTCCGAAATCCCAATGCTAAAATGAAAAAAAACTCACCCTGTATATAATAATGTGTAAATTGGTAAAATGTGCATTACATTTGGCCTAAGTTTATGTTTCTGCCATCGAACACAAATTAATAGGAGGTATTAATAAATTTGGCAACTGACAATAGGCAACGTTACATACTCGGTTCTGTGTGTACTGTCCAGCTTTGAGGGTTAATTTTGTTTTATGAAAATTTAATTTAAAAAAAAGTGTTTATGTGTGTATTTAGATATACAGTGATATTCATGTAGAAGTAGACAGTGATTTCCTATAGGAATTTCCTATGTCTACTTTTACACGATCAGTCTCCTAAAAAACGCCTAATTTTATGCAACCAAAATAACTTCTAGAACAAAATAAAGATGTGGCTGTCATATTAATTTATTAATTTGAATATTGTTGCTTTAGCTTCACAGTTAAGCTCCTTTAACCGTTATCGGCACTATACCAATTGGAAATAGCAACTTTTTCTATAGTTGAATACATCGCACACGAAACGAAATTAGAATAGGGAAGTCAAAGCGATAATATTCAAATTAATTAATATGACAGGCAGATCCTCGTTTGTTGTAGGTAGTTACTTTAGTTGCATAAAATTAGGCGTCTTTCAGGAGACTTTTTATCATTTAAAAGTAGACATAGGAAATTCCTATAGGAAATCCCTATGTCTACTTCTACATGAATATCACTGTATATGTATTGCTTCAGATTTGAGAATTTGGGTTATTTATATTTCAAAAATGAGATGCCCATTTGAAGTTAGATTATACGTTTAAATGTTCTAATCCCCGTAAAAATGTATTGTAGGTACCTACCTCTACTGAATGAATTGTAAATTACTTGCAATATACATTTAATTGCTATTTTGTGTTGTTCTTTTGCTACAAGGTGGAGAAGAGTTGGAAAATTTAGTAAGTTTCAGAGAAGCAAAGGGAGAAATCTACACAGTAAGAAAACCCACCAAAAAAATAAAAATTTAGTACTAAGATAGCCGACGGCAAACGAAATTAATTTTATTTCAGTGCAGTTTTAGCATTTCAAAACTCTATTCAAGAAAGAGTAGTTTCGCCCCTTTTATTAAGACACCGTTGTAATGCGGAAATTAATTAATTAGAACCAATGACGTGTTAGTGTACCTACTCGAGGAAACTCCATATTTGCATTACATGCCATAAATAATAATAATAATAATAAATAATCGCGGCGATAACGCAAATATGCTTTCGGGGTGAAATACGGAAATAAGAAACTGATCGAATCGATTTCGCTGTACATGAAATCTGCCGTTGTACCTACGTATATTGCATAGTTAAAATTATTGTGTACGAGTGCCGATGGGAAAAAAAGTGTCAAAATAATCGTAGATAATATTGTGGTACTTACGTGTATTTATTTATGAACTCTCATTAACATCTCGAGTGCAAACCTAGATCTTTGACCTGCCAAAGATAGTGCTTTGGTGGAATGCTAAGGGAACGTGATATCAAAAGCAAAACCTCAGTTAATAGACTTATTCCCAGTTAAGTTTAATAATGCAGTAATGCATATAAATACGATAATTACTTAAAATAATTAAATCAAATACATGTCTGTGAAGTTGGCCCTATTCGGTCTGAAATATAACAAAAAGATTTACCGTGAAAAATTGCATAGTGTTACTTACAAGAAGTATTTTTGTTAAATAATTAACGCATAGTAAAACACCGACACGTGTAACCTTCATGTTTAATTATTCGATTCACTAAAATCTTTATTTTGAATGACCTCATGATACCTTTCTAAACTTTTTGAGGATTTGTGGTAACGCTGACAGCATTCTGACTGGCCCTGGTGGATTGCAGTACTCGACCCTTTTTGTGGTCCAGACCCAAAATCACCCAGAATGGTCCCGGATGACATTGTGAAAAACGTTTTTTTTCATGTACCTACAGCCCCCACTAAAATGATAGAATAAAGACACCGAAAGTAATTATTGATTTGCTACACTGCAGCTACCAGCCTATGACATTTTATTTCAGCATAACCTTCACCTGCAGGGTGGGTATGTCTACCTATGATAATGAATGAAAACTCCAACCATAGCTAGGTATGTCTCTTGCACTATCTTGAGCCCATGCCCTAAAAACCACTTCCGAAGATTAAACCAAGTAGACTCTTTTTGGTTTGGATTGCCTCTATGTATCGAGAGAATGCAACGAATTCTATCGTCTTCTTTGATATCGACAAATATTTATAGATCACAGCCATTAATTATTGAGAAACTTTAAGGTCAACCGATCTTATCAGGGATACTTATTTAATCGTTTACCAGTTATTACCTACACAGATTCTCTATTTAAAGAAGAATGTTTGCAGGGTGTAAACAAGACAAGCATACGAAAATAACAATATCTACGCCATATAAATTAAAAAGTAACAAAATCTGGACGAGCGGTCATAGGTCATCGCAATAAGTACATGGTTTTATAGTGTTCCAGTTGAGACACAATCTTAATAACTGGAGCAGTGAAACCTTTTTGCAATCACGTAACTTAAATATAATTAATAATCATTAGTCCGGATTAACTATTTATCAAGTTCATGTAAGCGATAATGAGTGATAAGTTTCTTATTACTGTTTGTACGCCGTAGTTGACGCAGTACTACCGAAACTGTTAAAAGGTTTTCTAAATCATTCGCCAAGTGGTGTTATTGCTTGGTTCCTAGTGGTGCAGTATGACTGATTTAAAAACCATGGATGGAAACGAAGACATTTCGAAATTAAATGACTCCAATAACCAGTATTACAGTTTATATAGACGTTTATGGAATGCGAGTGACCCCGCAGTCAGAAACTTTTTCGTTGACACCGGTAAGAATCTTGCGCAAGTAGGTAAATAAAAATGGACAACAGGAAAATTTCCCCATAACTGGCATCCGTAAATAACAGACAAGACGGAGTAGGTAATTTTCCTTTAAAAAGCTTTTGTGACGTGCTAAAATTCTCTTGTCAAAGGGTAGATACCGACGACTGCAATTTCGAAATGTCTATTTAACAACAACGAATGCGTTTTCCACATTTTGCCTTATAGTATCCATAAGGAAATCTTATGAAACATCATTTTTTGAATTATGTAAGCGCATTATTTATTGTGTGTTTTATGCAAAGGGCAATCAAATGTTATAAATAATAATGTCGTTAAAGTCCCCTTACCCTTCTCCGTGTATTCAAAGCAAATCGCTGTTGAAATTGGTCTCTAAAGATTCAAGAAAACCCATCCAGATTTCATTATAGCAATGCGAAGGTGTTTGTTAAATGCTGTCTCATTACGTCCATATTTTCAAAAAAAGTAAAGTGAAATCATTAAAAATATAGCAAAGATGCAATTTCGAATTGACCAACAAATTCTCGAGGAATGCATTTTTAAGTATGAAGCATTATTGATAGATACCTACCTATTTAGATTACGAAAAGGAAAAGCATATGGAAACGACCAAGTCATTGAGAACAAAGCCTAATTAATTGTTCGAAGACTAATTGTTCCTTTAATGTGCTCTATTTCGGCTCTCCATTTTCAATATGTTCGCATATAATACCTAAAGTTTTAAACCCATCAACGGAGCGGAGTTATCTCGTCTAGAAATCACCTTAAAATTTTATGGAAAATATACTCCCTCGCAAAATAAATTTTCTTTTGTAAGCCAAACAAAACAGACCTGAAGATTTCAGCATTTACTTAAATCAGGTGCCCCGGAATAGCGTTAAACTTAATTTTTTAGTGCAAAATGGATTCTACAGCTACACTGAAAATTTTCGGTAGGCTTTGATTTAGAAGAATCTGTTTTCAAAACGCGCACGTGGGGGTTGCAACCGCACCCCTCCCTAGTATACCTGATTCGCCAAATTTTGGAACACTAATTTTTTATGCACAACCAAAATACATAATAATAATAATAATAATAGGCATTTATTGAGCTAAACATGATATTAACTACCTACATATTCTAATGAATAAAAAAAGCATGTTAGCTCAAAGGGGCGAAAGTTCAGACTGGTGGGCACCCAAGAGGGTACCACACTGTCTGTTCTACCACTTAACCCCATTCCATCGAGCTTTTAATACTCGACCACAAATGGCAGAATTGCATAATTTGGGTTTGTGCCAAACTTTAAGTGACTCAACAGTTTCAAGTACTCCGCTGTCTATCCATAAGTAAGGTGTACATTGCTTTTTTAAAAGATTTAAGAAAAGAAAACTTTGAATCAGTGAAAACGTTGTAATAGGAATTATAAATTTTTGAAGCATTGTAACATTATACATTATAACATACACTTATAATTATGCAATGCTAATAATGTATCAATTTACCACAATGAATATATCAGCCGCAACAAAACATATATAAACAAGTTGGAAAGTACTCGTAGAGCGTAGAGCGTAGAGCCAAATTCGCTTTCAAAATACAATCTGCGTGCGTCAATTTCATATTTAAGAGAAACATTTGATCGGTCGGTTCCGGATTAAATTGGATCAACCCATTAGCGGAGGTAGAAGCAACTCCTAAAATCTAAATGGGGAAAAGGGGTTGAGCATCCCTGTTTTTAAAAATACCTTTTACAACAGTGTTATAGGAATAGATATTCCTTCTGTCTCAGTGAGTACTTTTGGAAAAATCAACCAAAGTGTGATAGGTACGAGTCTTCCCCACTTTATCGAATGTTGTAAAATAAAACAAAAACCAGAGCTGGACAGAATACTTTCAAAAAGTATTTGAATACTAAATAGTAAATACTTTACACAATACTAAATACTTTTACGTCCAGCACAAGCGAATACTAGATACAGATACATTGAAAAGTATTCAAATACTTAATAAAATAAGTATTCAAATACTTAAAAAATATGTATTCAAATACTTTAGAATGTATTCGAATACTTTCAAAAGTATTCGAATACTTTCAAAGGTATTCGAATACAGTAAAAAGTATTCAAATACTTGTCACACAAATACATTAAAAATTTAAAATAGTATACTAGATAAAAGGCTTAATACTATTTAAAAAATCAAGTTATACTTTGTATGGGGTTAGCTTTTTTATTTCTATTGTTATATACAAATTTAAGGGGAGTAAAAGCGTATTATTATTATATTATTATACAGGAGGTACCTACCAGGACCTTTCTTATTTCTATAAGAATACGTGTACCAGTTTTCAAAGCGATCGTACGTCGTGCACATGATACGTACGCCTTTCTGAAATTAATCCTAGCGATTTTGGAACAGATCCATTTTTGATGACCATCCGTTTGTCCGTGTGCATGATAACTTGTTTAGAAACGTGCGTTCGCTTTGAAAATTGGTACACATGGTTTTAAGGATATAAGAAAGGTCCTTATTGTTTTTAAGTTACGTAGACTATCGAGTTCGGTATTCAGATGTATCGGATTTTTATATTTGATTTTGTGACAATGGAAACTTTCCCTAACTTCCATAACTTTTTATTGAGAGGTCTAATCGAAAAAGTACGAATTGTTTTGCATTCTACGCACCAAAATTAATAAGCAAAAGTGTTTTCGCGAGAAATTTTGGTGTAGTCGATTTTTGGTAAAAAAGGAGGGTTATACACTGCCTTCTTTTGAGGCCCAAAAAAAAATTGTCTCAGATCGACCCGGAAAAAAAATTTTCTGATAGAATGTGGCCTGTAGAATCCATAATTTCAAACAGTTCCAAGATTGGGCTACTCGTTCCAAAGTTACAGTCCAGTACATTGGTTTCTAGTCTATAACTTTTTATTGAGAAGTCTGATCGAAAAAGAATTAATTGTTTTGGATTCTACGCACCAAAATTAATAGAAAAAGTGTTTTCCCGAGAAATTTTGGTGTAGTCGATTTTTGGTAAAAAAGGAAGGTTATACACTGCCTTATTTTTGGGGTCCGCAAAAAAATTGTCTCCGATCGACCCGGAAAATACATTTTCTTATAGAATGTGGCCTGTAGAATCCATAATTTCAAACAGTTCCAAAATTGGGCTACTAGTTCAAAAGTTACAGCCCTTTGAATTTTCTTTCGAAATCGGTTTCTAGTCTATAACTTTTGATTGAGAAGTCTGATCGAAAAAGTGCGAATTGTTTTGGATTCTACGCACCAAAATTAATAAGAAAAAGTGTTTTCCCGAGAAATTTTGGTGAAGTCGATTTTTGGTAGAAAAGGAAGGTTATACACTGCCTTTTTTTGAGGCCCGCAAAAAAATTGTCTCAGATCGACCCGGAAAAAATGTTCTTATAGAATGTGGCCTGTAGAATCCATAATTTCAAACAGTTCCAAGATTGGGCTACTAGTTCAAAAGTTACAGCCCTTTGAATTTTTTTTCGAAATCGGTTTCTAGTCTATAACTTTTGATTGAGAAGTCTGATCGAAAAAGTACGAATTGTTTTGGATTCTACGCACCAAACTTAATAAGAAAAAGTGTTTTCCCGAGAAATTTTGGTGTAGTCGATTTTTGGTAAAAAAGGAAGGTTATACACTGCCTTTTTTTGAGGCTCGCAAAAAAATTGTCTCAGATCGCCCCTGAAAAAAAGTTTGTTATAGAATGTAGCCTGTAGAATCCATAATTTCAAACAGTTCCAAGATTGGGCTACTATTTCAAAAGTTACAGCTCTTTGAATTTTCTTTCGAAATTGGTTTCTATTAGTCTATAACTTTTGATTGAAAAATCTAATCGAAAAAGTACGAATTGTTTTGGATTCCAACTGAAAATGAAAAAATTTGCGATCGCCCGCATAAATACCGCCCGCGCTCTTGCACAGTGCACATGCGCGATTCTGCCCTGTTGTGTCTAAGATGTGTACCAAATTTGGTTCCAATCGGTTCCGTTTAGCCGAAAATAAGAGTACAGATATGGACGGAGGAGAACCAATCACATGTTGCAATTCTTTCGTTTGGGATACGGTACGTAATTAATACATTCCAAAATTTGCGTTTCTTTCATTTTAATTTAATTTCTTTAATTAATAACCAAGGTTTTTCTTTTTTCAACCTTATATAAACTCCTTTCAAATTTCCTACTGCAAGATGGCGCACCCCTATACCTAAACCAAAGAGTACCCACTCTTTGCCTAAACTACCCTAAACATGAGTTCGAAAAAGAGATTTCTAATCTCCGCGAAATTTGATAGGTACCTATATCTATCTGGAATCTTTGAAAAAAGTAATTAATCCAAAATCCGTTTTAGAAATTTGTTTAAGATATGACGACAATAGAGAACTCTGTGACGAAAACTGTTTAACATTATCTAAATACACCCCTAACTAGGTAACTAAATTATAGTTATTTGTTTTCAGACACACTCGATGTGCACACTCCATATTGGGAACACATGACGATTGTGCCCATTTTGGCGACGATAATGTTAATTGCGACCGTCTTCCTCTTAGTCCTCTTCAGGCACAGTCCAAGTATGGTAGCTGGAACAGTGGCAGCGTGCTTAACAATGATCGCCATTTACTTAATTCTAAGCTCGGTTAATGAAAGTAGGATTCGATTCTCATAGGAAAGTTCCGTTTCTTGGCATGTTTACATAATTAGCAACAAACATTGATCACTATAACAATTTTATTTAAGACATTAATGTAGACATTTTCTGTTTAAATAAATTTTTTGATGTTCCAAGCACTTTTGAATTACCTACCTACATATTGCTATGTAAACCATCAGGGATGTGTGCCCTTTAGGTTGAAATAATGCCGACAATAATACAAAAATAACGTGAATTAATTTAAAGCAAAGAGTATATGGGAAGGATGAGCGACACCCTGTATTTAATTTTTTTTTAATGAAGTAACTATAGGAAATCTGGTGGAATGTAGGTACTACAAAAAGGCACATAATTGTTGAGTTTTATTTAATTTTAGTCATAGCTCTACTTATGTTGGAAAAGTTGCTCAAGAATTTAGTAGCGGTTTTGAAAAACTCAATTAACAGATGCTGATAAGAGGGCGTTATCAAAGTGAAACTAAATTGAAATAAATAAGGCACAGATGTGCAGATTTGAGATAAGGAGTTGCATTACCGAAGGCAAGGAGCGCGATGGAGGTGTTGAGTTATTAAAAGCGCCCAATGAACGAGGCGATTGTTGGGTTATTTGCTGTAGCATACGGAACAGATTGTTGCGTTAATCTCCGGCGGTCGGCCGATGTTTTAAAGTTTTTGTCGTTTCAATTTGAAGAAGTGTTGATCCAAGAGATCGTTTGCTGGACAGTCAGTGAGCAAACGTGCTGTTTACAGGTGATAGAAGAGAAGCTTTCGGTAAATGTAAAATGTACCCCAGCTGCTGAGAAAAGAACGCAGAGTGCATCCATGTAAGAGTGCTAAAGCGGTCTCTCCAAGTGGTAGAAGCAGACAAAAATATTAATTACGTTAATTTTAATTAGGGATAGTCTTGGCTTAATTTTTTAGGCAACCCGTGTTTCTTTACATATTAAAATTGCTCAAAAATGTATTTCATTCGGTAAACAGGATGAAATTATGTGGGATCTTAGACTTAAGTGGCAGTGTACCCATAAACTGTCAAAAGGTAAAAAATATTTAATTTAAAAATAATGACAATTATTTATAATGCAACTGTAACACATGACGGTAGCTCTGCACGTTTCAGTTTTATTTGTACCATTTCTCTAGACACTCTCTGTGCCGTATTCAAATAATCTTTCAACAGGCCGCTAAGATTCTCATATTCCTGAAACAAAACAGCATAAGTAATGAAAAAATACAAGCGTCCACATTTACTTTTTCGAATGGCTTCGCTGGATTTTCTTCATTTTGCAGGGCCAATTCCTTAAGAAGTTTCTGTATCAAGAACAGCGGCAGGTTAAACTGTGGTGAAACCGGCGACAGTGCATGACTAAAACCGTAATACTCCTTGCCGTGTCCAAGAGCTGCCAAAAGATACTCGGATGCGATTGTCACGGCATCATCCACTAATCCATTATTAAAATATAGCCTGAACAATTCAGATGCATTTCGAATCTGAAAGGATTACAATAATTTTGAAATGCGTATACAGAAAGTTACCTTATAAGAGCTCAAAATCCATTGTGGTATAAACGAATTCAATTGAATTATGCGATTGCATATCACTTTATGAAGTGCAGACGAATTCTCTTCCTCGTACTCTTCCAAATACATTTGTAGTAAATTCCAAGCGACGGTAGACGGAAAACTTCCTACTATATTTAAATCTGCAACAATGTCATTTTACTTATACTCCCTTCCACGACCGGCACAAAATACCGTGCAAGTCATTCTCAATGAGCCAATTCCACGCTTTTGGATTTTCGGTACGTGATAAATAAATGCATTGCTTCGTGAGGGCGTCGAAAACGACATCGTATTTTAAACCAAAGGTTTTGCATAACAACAAGGCGTACTTAAAGATGCCGGCGGCGCATAAGAAACTCACCACTTCCGTAGGGGCTAAAATTGGTTAATAAAGAAAACAGCACATCAGCGTGTCCCTTAAAGTGGCATTCCGACCGTAACACAGAAATCACTAATGTTGAGTATTTGTACACTTTCATCAGACATGTCATAAAATCGTTGCACATGCAACCATTTTGATGTTTGTCACTAACATTTTTTTAAACCATCGGTGGTTTTCAAAAAAAAGAGACACAATGCCACCTTCCATTTAAAGTAGCAAACAGTAATCAAACCGTAGTACAATAAACGTTTCATAATTGTTGTTATTTGCCTGGTAGGTGTTTTTTGAAATGATGTCGTTATCCGTCCGTCCGTCTGTGCGCACAATACCTTTGGAACGAAAAGTATTTTGGGTCTTAAAACTTGGTATCACAGCTATCTATATCTTTAAAGGAAATATTTTAAAAATTTAACAGTATATACTAATGTCAGAATTCAAATTGGTGGTTTCGTAACATTCTAGACACATTTCATGTACTTATATATGTAAATTTCGACGTTCATACGTTCTTACGCTTTCAGATGTAACAGGTGGTCGCTTTAGGCTTTAAAGATTTTGTTAAATTTACAAAATTCCCAGTATACAATTTTATACGTGTACCCTGTATCATAATGAAACAGAACGAACTAATATTCAAGAAAATAAAGCGCGTTAAGATAAGAAACGAGTGTTCAAACCTTCTTAGTGAACCAGCGGCAGAGGTTCGTAAAGGTTCATAAAATTACAATTGAACTTCACTCAGGTTTCGTTTGATCGTTAAATTATTTAACAATGTAGCTCTAGATTGACCTCCCAACGAAATATTTCTGGCGGCAACAAAAAAAAGAAAATGTTAAAACATGTATGGTAGTAGCATGCTACCGTTTTATAATCTGGAGTGCTACGTGCTACACTAAAGGTAAATTTTGGTGACGTGTGTTCAATTTTTGAGAACCGCCGATAGCACAAATTACGAAATATTTGTGTTTACAGTGTGCTACTAATCGTTGAACTACTATTTTGAGGGACTTCTAAATTATATAGCTTTACTCGTTAAATTGTTGGCTAGACTGTCTGGATTATATCGTAACAGTCTCAAACGTGCACTGGCCAGCTCCAACTCTTTCTTTACGTCCGATATGTAAACCACGTCCAAATTGGGTTTAAGTGAGATAACCTCAGTATCATCCTACAACGGAAGTTAAAACTGGTTAAATGCACACGTATTTTAAACATTACATCAAAAGAAGCTGGTAATTGTATGCGCTCCAGCGGCGCATCTGGATCAGTCGGTCGTAACACTGGCGAAACATTCTGCGGCGTTAAATGTAGCACGTTAATACAGGCAAGGTACGACTTAACTTGCTTCTCGAGAGCTTCGACAGTATTGTATTGTTGCAGGCGGAACGCTTGCTCGTACATAACCGTCGCGGCTGTAATGTTCCAAATAAATACTGCATCACGCGGAATGCGATATTTACCCATGCGCATTTGAGGTGTGCCCCGTGTAATGAAGAAGGCGTACAGAAAATCGTAATATAAATTGTCCATAGGATCTGCAGAACGGGCGTGTCCTATGATGATCTTATAAAAGTGCAAATCCAAACCGACATCCGAATATACTAGCAATCGATCCAACTCTCTGCGGTCGAACAATGTTTTTATTAAATCTCTTATGTTGTCTTTCTTTCGTTCTTCATCCGGATTGATGTTAATCGAATTGTACGCTTCGTCATAGTGCTTTAAAGCCAGGTGGTGTTTAAATTTGATCGAGTACAACGTTGCCTAAACAAATCGGTTATTGATTCTCGTGGATACTTGATTATAATCTTACAACATGCGGATCTGAGTGATCGGCAATACTGAGCGCGATGTTAGCGATATTAATCGCACAGTCTCTTGCGCCATATAAATTGAATAGTTGAATAACCTAAAAAAGTATCGACATAAAATAGGAAAATCATATTAGGTACCTCTAAGTAATATTTATTATTTACACGAGGCGTATGAGTGATTTTGATAATAATAAATAGCTAATTGACAATATGTTTCCATCGTAATATCTAGAGCAATTCACACCTAAATATTACCAATGAGTATGATTAAATAAGTCTAATGGCAGATAAATGCATCGCCAATTTAATGGTGGCGGTAAAGAAGCGCTTTATGTTAGTATACTTATTGTGTGGAAAATTTAATATTCAACTGCATCTAGCCACCCATCTAGTACGTTGGGTACGCCAAAAAAACTGCACTTTTTGATTGGAATATGCCACTTTCTGTGGTAATAGTTAATACCAAAAGGCAACTTTTGAGAAAATCCGTGCAAGAAAACAAAATGGTGGCCATCAAAATGGCGCCATTAGCCGTAATATATTTTGTTGTATCTCTGCTCCTAATAGTCCGATTTTAATTTTCTTTTTTTTATTGAAAGCTCTTGTGACGAGGAAACTTTTTTGCTATATAACATATATCTCTAAAACTTAAGAATTTAGCACAATTTTAAAAAAATGTTTTCTTTACGAATTTGAATCTCAAGTAAGCTCAACCCTATTTTTATGTGTAACTTGTCCACGTCAAATGTTAATATGTAAGGATTTGTATTATTCAGCACAATATTCTGACTCTTAAGGTCTGAAGAAATATTAAGATTCAATTATTTGAAAAACGAGTTTTATTGTATCAATTTGTATCGACAAATAATCCACTACGCCAAGAAAATAGTGGTTGCTATTTAAAAACAGTATGCCCCCTTTGACCGTGCAGAAGTATGCTACTGACCCCAAATTGAATGTACGTGGATTGGTAGCAAACTTTTTATAATTATGGATGTCATAAAAAGCTTCCTTAAAAAATGTTTTGAAGATAAAATTTTCACCCTGTATAAAAAGCATATCCGGAAAACGGTTAGCCTCGCGGTTAGCATTACGAAAAAAAGCCAATACGACCTACAAAAATAATTCTTTTGTTAAGGGATACCCGGGGATACCTATAAAAAATATCAAAATGTATAGGCTGCCCTCGAGAACACCCTATATACCTAAAAATACTTTTTAGGCTCCCCCTCAGGCTTCTCGTACCAACAAACCATTACCATTAATCTCAACCATTGAGGCTCTATCGTCCGCTTACAGAAGGTGGATTCCCTGTATAATAAAAATGATTCAACTTATATGAATAGGTATCTAAAACTTGGAAATCATAATATTCCGTTAATATTCTTAAAGAAAACCCGAGAGAAAACCCTCGAAAAAACCCATGATCTGATAAAAAAGCACTCCAAATTTCACATTCGTCGTAGCTTAAACCAACTAGTTAAATAAAATAGGATAAATAAGAGCGAGAGTAAGAGTTAAAGTTGATATACTGAGTGTTTCTTTAATTACTTGAAAAGCAGTGTATTTTCTGTTTTTCAGAGAAAAAAATTGACGAGGCTTTTCCTTTCAATTTTCATAATGCTTGATCTCGTGCCTGATGAAACAAATATTGCGCATTTTTTCAAAAAAAAAACTTGGCGGATGGATTGAAATTTTCCGAACTTGCAGGGTAGATACAAGGAGTTTTGGGGTTGAATCGATTGAATTTCTAAACGATGGCCTTTTCTGTCGAAAAGACCGGGATATTGCACAATTAAGAGCTTACCTGTGATTCAAATTCGTAAAAAAAGTACTGTTTTAAAATTGTGCTAAATCCTTAAGTTTTAGAGATAAATGTTATATAGCAAAAAAGTTTCCTCGTTACAAGAGCTTTCAATACAAAAAAGAAAATTAAAATCGGACTATTAGGAGCAGAGATACAAAAAAATATATTGCGGCTAATGGCGCCATTTTGGTTTCCTGCACGGATTTTTGAGTGGTTCCCTATCTCAAAAGTTGCCTTTTGGTATTAACTATTACCACAGAAAGTGGCATATTCCAATCAAAAAGGGCAGTATTTTCCCCATTCTAGCCATGTACCCGACGTACTAATCAGGTTAGTACTTGAGTTAACCTTGACAGTAACTGGAAGTCAAATATCAACCAAAAGCAAAATACAACAGAACCAAATATGTAGATGAAATCAAAATTGCGACAACAAATGGACGCTGGGCACAAGATGGCTGCTGAAAAAAAATTCCTTCAGGCAATAATATTAGTATCTTGGAGAAGCAACTCAAAAATGACATCTTTGATATTATTGATAGCGTTGTTGTTAGTACTGGAACCTACCTTCAGAAAATTAAAAAACAAAAAAAAGTAGGTAGCAAATCAAAAGGCATCCAGCAGACCTCAAACTCTTTTGCCCTGTTTGACAGCGTCACCAGCCAACTTACCTTCAAGTAATAATTAACATCAGCTTTCTTATCTTCCGATCCTGGAATAGTAAGAATTCGGTCCATAAGAAACTTGTCCTTAAAGATTCCATTCGCGGCGTTAACAAAAAGACATTCCGCTTTATGATGTTCGCCTGTACTAAGAAACGATACGGCCAACAAAAATGTTCCTACAAACACAGTTTCAACAAAAACGTGTCGATAAAAGTTAATAAACCCCAACTTGTGCAGTTATTGCATTCGCACCATTCCTTTAACAATCGCCAGTACTGTTGGAGCCAGATGTGTTGGCCGCTTGTTAAAAGCCACTCTGGAAAAGCAGCATCTCCGCTAAGTGGCCAACTTTACCAAATTAAGGTTAATATTAGAAACGTTTAGATACTATCGTAAGGATACAGTAACTGATTAACAAGATGAGTGTACAGCAACAGCGAAATGTTCCAATCGATCGTAATCTCCTCATCAAGCCCTAACTTTGCAAGCATCTTGTGTGCTTCGAAACCTCCAGTCGACGTGATAAATAGATTCAGGAGCGTTACCGTCTGGTGATTATGAATTTTCAAATTGAATACCGGATTCAGTTTGAGAGACGATAACAGCACCGCCGTCGATTCCCTGTTTACAACTTTATTAAACAAATCCGACATGACTGCAGATTTCATACTTACGATCGTAACACAGGTAACGATATTAACTCGGTTAAGTACAGCATCACGTAACTGACTCGTGTTAATATTACTATTTCGGGCAAGCACACTGTGCGGATAGCTTCGAGAGCATTACCATCGTATTTACCGCACAGTAGTAGCATTTTTTGGATCACTAGCAGATTTCTGCATATCGTAAACCTGCAAAAACTCTTTAAATTTAACGTAATTTCAGAATTAAACGTAAAATTAAAAAATGACTTAGTATATTTGTTAATTGACGTTACATTGTTACATTTAAATATTTTTTCCAAATTTTCTTATTTTAATTGTTTAATTGTGTGTTTATTCGAACCGATTGTGCGACCAAGATCGAGTTTTCATGTCAGATTTTTCTCGTGTTAAAAATTTGTGCCAGGTGGTAATGGAATGTTCAGAAATTGATCGAGGCTACCGAGTGTCCCAAATAATTAATTCAATATTGGGATTTTTCTTTGTAGCAGATACCTACCCGATCTGTACGAGGAGAAATTACAAAATTCTTAATGTGAAGATTATTTTATTTCGAGATATGTAGCTGGAAACGTGTTTTGTGGGTGGTGTAGTTGACCGCACACCATTGCACATAGCATTATTTATTTGGCGCCCAACGCGGGGCCACAGCAATATTATGAATACTTCCTGAGATTTTCATCAAGCATTTTTTTTTATAAAACAAAGCAACGTTTTAAAAGTATTACCATTGAATTTATAACTATCAGAAGCGCGGGTTAAATGGCAGAATATGTGACTGTTTTCAATAGTTTAAATTGCACGACGTAGATGTCTCTACCATCGAGAAAGATAAATAATAATGTCAGTTTTTTACCTTTGTTAATTATTATACAAGAATCTGTAATGAATCCACTATCTCGATTTGTAATTATTGCATACAGAATTCTCTCTTTTCTTTAAAATTCTGACGTTTGAAATTTGTTCTCAATGGTTAATCGATTCATCAATAACTTATCGATTATTATCGATTAATCAATAACTTATGGATAATTATCGATTAATAGATAAATTTTTAAAAAATGGTCGACTAATGGATAATTTATCGAAAATTTTAAAGGATTGGTCGATAAATCTATAATTACCGATAATCTATCGATTAATCTCACAACTAAACTAAGAAGATAGATAATTATCGAGAGAATTTTTAACGACATAAAATTTTCAATGTTTAGGTATACCAGTTCACTTCAAACAAAAGCGGTCAAGTAAGAGCATTGTGGAATTGCCATGATATCACAATTCACAACCTACTTCTGTACTAATTTTTGTCCACTTGACCACCTTTGATTTCAGAAAACTTCAGCATCAAAAGATCCTGTTTTATTTAAATTATCTCTCGCAATACCAATACCAAAAAAACCAAAATGTTAGCGAGTGTAAGCATGGATGATGTAATTATATCGATTGAAAATATTATATCGATAAGATTTATGAGAAAGTATCGATAGTTTTCTCTTGATATTTTCCGCTACTTATCTATTAATTGATAAATATCACAGATCAGAGTTATCGATAATTATAAAAAGTTATCGATTATTATCAAACGTTATCGATAATTATCGATTATGATCGAAAATTATCGTTACGATTTATCGATTATTATCGATAATTGGCGATTATTATCGAAATTTATCGATAATTGTTTAAAGTTATCGATTTTTATCGATAGTTACCGATTAACGATTAATCGATAATTATCGGCCTGAACAGACTTATTGATAAATCGATAACAATTTCATTTATCGCCCAGCTCTAGTAGGTATACGAATTCACGTAAACTGGGACCGATTTATTTATTGCATTTATTTGTGCACAATGCTGCAAGGTTATAAAAAAGCTGATTCGCGAAATTTAGTTACCAAATGTGAATGTGGAAATGATGTAGGTACCTAAGAGTTGTATAATTCCACTACTGTTCTGAGGTTCATTTAAATTTGCATTAACGAAAACTCCATTTCCACAAATTAAAAGTACAAAATTTTGTAAAGGATGTTTCCGTTAATTATGGGAAAAATTGGTTAACTAAACGTCAATATTTGGTCGAAATGAAACTGCATTCCTTCAAGGACAAGGGCTGCACGCTTCGTTCGTCAAAATGTATTATTATTTACATTGCAAATTTACGCAACGCTTCTTAAGGGATCTATTTTTAGAACATTCCAATCCTATTTATAAAACCATTCTGTTTATCCAATGATAACACAAAAAAAACATCCCAAGTGCCTGACATCTAACCATTAAAAAGGAAAATATTCGAATGGTCAAAATGAATGGTTTGTAATTCTGCCATCTAATGTCTGGGACTCTAGGGACAACAATTACAGTTTCAATGTAACGCTCCACTTTCGATCGCCCACGGACTTTCAAACGATCGAACTGCCCCTAGCGGCTGAAAGTTCGCACATGGTCACAAACTGTTATATGGGATCCGCGCTTCTGATAGTTATAAATTCAATGGTATTACCTCCCCCGTTTTCCAAATACATATCACACAATTCGAACTCACTGTACCATTTTCACAAAACAAATGTCACAGGTTGTATAGAGGCGTAAGATGTAAGTGTTAATAAAATACTTACCGTCTATACGACAAACTGAAATAAAACCTACTAAATACCTACCTAACAACAGCTTGTTGGTGTATGCACTTAGTAACTAACGACACGCCTAAATGAGAACTAAAAAGATAATTTAGCGTCTGAAGACCTTCTCCAACTTCGTTATCCAAATCATCTGGAGTCTCTATCCGTAGCAGTTCTAAGAGTTTATGCATTGCCTGGTAAATGTCCTTGCAATCGTTCAGCTTTTGCAATAAAGGCTAAAAAAACGAGTTGTTACGGATGGAATACCAAAACGACAAGAATACTTCAAGTTCGGTCATAATTTCTGTGATTAATTCCGACACAATAACATCCGGTGATCGCAATTGTGATAGTTCTCTTTCAAAAGTATAAGCGAAAGAGTCGCTAAGTTGAGTTTCCATATACACAACGACCGACATCAATTTCAAAACATCCTCAGTTACGTCTCTATCTACAAACATGAATAAATTTGTGAAGTGACCGAATCTTTGTACCTCTCGACAATAACGGGTGGTTGACAAAATCGTCAACTGTCGCATAATCCGAACACAACATCATGTGCTCTAAGGCATCGTGCGGTCTTAGGAACGAATACATTGATTTCTTCAACAGCACAACTCCCGATGCAGAGGGTAACAACAGCAAACCAAGCGGTTGAAGACCTGCAACGTAGTGGTACTGCACGCAGCATGAATAAAACTTGGCCCAACATCTACAAAATAATAAGTGAACCAAAAGATACAGTGCAAAGAAAAAGGAAGACCTGTACGCGCATTCCAAATAATCTTCATCATTCACTTCACCTTCTTTTAATTCATTCACTATTTCGCCCTCAACTGCCAAACAAACGCGCTGTTTCAGAATACTCGTCGACAAGTTTACATCGCTCAAAATTGGTGTAGGTTTATAAATCTGTAACAACAAATTTATTTCGAAAATGAATAGAACCAGGCAACTTACACTTAGCGCTTTACTTATTATGTGCAGCGGAAAACGAGAAGGATAAAATATGTGATTCAAATACGCTTGGCGAGGATCGAAGGAATCCATATCGGGTACAAAGTTTGCATCTGGCACCGGTTCCAACATGGCCGGAATCCAATAAGTTCCTTTACTACTGTTGGTCACTAACGGGGCGCAATACACCGAAATTTCCCCATCTTCGCTTCTCCACATAGACCATATTTGATTCGAAGATAAATTGAAATCCACCAAATTTTGCTGTAATAAGAATTTCTCATCGGCCACCTTCGACAAATGACGCTTCCACTTACACCAGGAGAATACAAAGTATTTCTTTTCGCGATTTTGAATTGGCCCGAATTTATATATACCGAAAAAACGCGAAACTCGCGTTCCGCGGATAAATTCATAAAGACGACTAGGGTTAGTTCGAATCTAGATTGGCCCTCGGTTTTTCTAAGGACGTGATTGTGGGTTCCGTTAACGAAACTATTTTCCCCGGCGTAACTCTCGGACACAATATTGTGAACGGCTATGCAAGTGCCCTTTACACAACACCAAACTCGTAGATTTCCATCTTTGCATAATGTCAAAGCATATGTATCGTTACCAAACGTGTGCAGCAACATACTCACGACTACATTATCGGCATGTGTTTTAGACCTGAAAAAGTTGATATATTACAAAATACTATTGGTCCTTCGCGCCGAATACAAAAACTAATGTAACTTACCATAACTTTTCTGCTATGCCAAATATAAAACGCGGGACAAAGCTTTCGTGTTTGAGCTCAATTGTAACACAACTACCGTTTGCACTTTGTGTAACCAACAATGTTTCTCCAGACGGATAACTGAATGAAAATATCGCTTCTTTAGTAGCAGTTAACAATGATGTAGCTACTTGTGGTAGTTCTGAATCTAAAATAAATCTTCTTTTAGTATCAAATTCAAATTTTGTAACGTCGCGATAAGTTAAATTTACACCACAGGATCTATGGAGCTAGTAGGACGTGCAGTTTTTTAATTTTGTTTTAGGACACCGTTCCACCCATAAGGAAGACTTAGCTGCTACATCAGCTGAGCTAACGTAAGGTTGTCCACTCTTAAAGAATTTCTCCATGACGAAACTAAAGGTACGTTTCCTATGAAGCGGCTGACGCAATGCACCGCCTCACTAGAAAGCAATGGAAGCATGTTCTAACCTGCGTCAACCTGCATGCGGCGGTCGTCTCCAGTTGCATGCGTAAAAGACACACCGCGTCAGACGCTTCATAGGAAACGTACCTTTTACACGCCAAATGTAACGGACGGTCGCATTAGAATAAAAAAAAATTCGTCTTCTCGATTTTGTATTTTATTCAATAAAATTCAGGAAAATTTACACATGTACCGCTGCATAGCGAACGTGAATGGAAGTATGTCTGGCCATAATAAGAAACGTATTGCGGAATGCGCGTGCAATTGCCACGATTTCTTAAGACCTAAAAGTTTCGTTTCGTTCTGTTCAAAAATCGAGCACGTGACAAAATGCAGGTTTACTATTCGTTTATTTATTTTTTATTAACATTTAAGGTATTTAAGATTTCTGTACCCAAATGTTTCTATCGATCGTTTGTTGCGCGGTATTGGTCATCTGGCCTGAGTGCCTATATTTGTTTCAAATTATTTTATTGATTGATGTCAACTAAATTTGTTACATCTATAAATGGTTAGTTTTTTGTTTAATCGAGCCCAAATGATAACCTACATAAGTGTTCATGTCAAATTTTTCTATGTTGTCACCAAAATTACGTGTGAATTAAAAATGTGTTAATTAATTCTTTATTAGAATTTTGGAACCGGATAAGGCTAACTGGACAGGTGTGTATGCAAGTGGTTTAGTAACCGTTGACCATTGCACATAGCAGTACATAAGCTCTTAGAAAAACACAAATTCCATTATACCAAGGACATAAAATTTTGGAACTAGCAAACACGAACAATCTTTCAAATAATATTCAACCTTAAATCTAGCAGCTGTTGCGCAAATGTAATTCCAAGCAAAGGTTGTTGATCATTTGTATAGTAGATATAGCAATTAGCTAAATCTCCACCCATTATAAAACAAAAGCATAGAAACAACCTAGAAAATCAGGCAGCTCACTGCTTCCTTAGAATTCGCTCCAGAAATGATGGCAACTAAATTTAGTTACCCTAGCACACTAGACTGATTAAAAAATGGGACACACCCTGTATTTCACAGTAGGCAGTTTGTCAAACAGACAGGAGTGTACCAAAATGGCCTAAAAGCTAAAAATACAGCTCTTTCTATTGATAAGGGTGTCAGCGGTTATTAATAATTTGGCCACTTATTAAAACACTTACTCGATGCATTCGGATTTGTGAAGACATTAAACAGTCCAGAATCTTGGCTACGTGACGAAGGGGTTTCGGCAAAAATAGACGGTATTGTTAAATCTGGATGAAACCCTGAGCTTTCGGCCTAAAAACAAACGTAAACGAGACAGAATTGAAACAGAAACGTACATGTCCCTGCAATAAATCAGGATGCAGAAAAATCAATCTGTGCACGCTGCAAACCGTAGGCACCAATATTATAACGTTCTCCGGAGTTTCGTAAATTGTAATTCCGTCGAGTATCGGTGTGTCTATAAACCTGTACTTGATTTTGTTTCCGGTTAGGTTTACATCCAGACTTTGCTCGGTTAACTCCAAGACATCGCGATTGATTCTCCTAAAATGCCCTTTTTAAAGCGACACGGACCAGTATGTGCAGTACGTTACCAATAGATAAATCTGTTTCTGGTGTGTTTCGCGAATGGTCTATAGCAGTACCCGTTTGCCTTTTCTGAAACTTTAATATCTTGCAGTGTGCTTTGGGTGCCTCCTAAAAGATAACCTTAAAATAAACGGAATGGGTTTTCTTTGCAAATTACCTGTGTTTAAAGTTATTTCTCTACCACCATCAAGGGTGCTCTGATCAGGAATTACCTCCCGGTAACTCATTTCGGATTTTTCAATCTCCTTTTTGAAAATACATTCAAAATTTAAACCAGAATAAACGAATTCAAACAAATAGCATCACTGGCGGACTGCTTTGCTGGGTTGTCTAATTTCCTCGGCCTATGATTAAAACATTTGACAACATTGCAAGCATTGTGGAAGGTTTGCTACTTGAGGGATAGGAAGTGAAGTCGCCTAGATCGGCAAAGTTATGCAGAATTTTATGATGATTAATTTTCCCTTTCAAAGTTGTTTGTAGCTCCACAAATGGCGAAGTTGTGATTAAAAAAAACCGAAAAATATCATTTTCGAACATGTGAAAGCGTTCATTTATTCTGAAATATATCAAAAAATTAAAATAAAATTGCTTACGGTTTACGAGATCTCCCTAGTGAAAAAAAACTCGCCCTGTATGTAATAGAAATATATAATCAATGTTAACAATTGGCAACGCTGGGACGTAGACTGTCAGAAAAAGTTTGACAGTCGAAAAATAAATAAGGATATAATTTTTTCCAAAATATGGGAACTGCTTTTAGTAATCTTCCAGAAAATGGATTTAACAGATATTTTCATCCGGAAGTAACTCCCGGACCATCCGTAAAACCCACGTTCGATCCCGCTGACGGGTTTCAGGGTAAAAGAAAAGAAAGAGGTAAGGTTATGTAATATTTGGGTTAGGATTTTGCAATCTTTTTTCAGTAATGATTGCCACCGAGGAAGAAATGCGCTCCGCAAAGTTGCCATTAAAAGATCGCGACTATTGCGCTCATAAACTGATTCAATACCGAACGTGTTATCGAGACAAGTTTCCTTTTGTGGTACGGTGCGGGCACGAGAAACACGACTATTTAAACTGCCAATATGATGAGTAATGTTTTACGGTATGCGAAGGCTCATATAACTTTCTTTGTCCTTTCAGTTTTGTTCTGAGAATGAAGGAGTACGAGCGTGAGAGACGGTTACTAGTGAAAACACATAGAACCAACGTAATGTAGTTGTCAAAAAATCATGCGTTTGTAGAACTGTAAATATTTAATGAAAATGCAAATTACAGAATTAGAAATGTAACAAAACTTGATTGGTGCAGTTTTTTCGTTTAGTTTCGGCATCCGTACCGCCATTTGTGGACCAATCTTTCAACTTGACAGTAAAATTTCCGTTTTCCTTAATCTTATCTGTAATAATTTTTTTGGTGTCCATATGCAGAATCAACGTGCCGACGGCTATCAGTCCCCTAAATTGTGCTTCGCAATCGTTTAGGGAAAGGATCACGTCAGGTAGAACATTTGCTAATAGTACCATGCCAAATTCATCCCGTTCTTTGGTAGATAATACTGATAAATTCAGCAGAAATGTTGTTACAGCAATCTGCAATAAAATTATAAGCACACCAAGGGGAAAATTACACTAGTACACTCGCCTCAATATTTTTATTAACTTGACTTAGTCCTGTAATGTTTTCCAATAATTCTAGACGATTTTTAAAGATTAATCCCTCACTAATTGGATGTAGAAACATATTGCAAAGCACACGAAATGCAACTAACATAGAATTGGGAGATTTGCATTCTGAACTAGTGTAGAACTTCAATTTACTCATAATAAAACCATCATCTTTAGTAAAGATCGAGATACAATTCTCTGGAGATTTAATTGCCATTCGTAAGACGTCCAGTGCCGGAAAAACAATATCTGAAATTCGATATTTTGGTAATTAAAATATTTTCAATTTGCAAGGGTCTAGAAGGATCACATGAATTTTTGCTTCAATTTTGTTAGTTTGATTCTCTATTTTGTGTATGTTAGTAACTATACCAAACTTTTCACATTTGTTTTTGGCCATTCAAAAAGCCCCAAGGTTTGTGGTCAAATATGCTTTGAAACTTGTTTTTCTATTTCTGACATTTTATTTTTCTTTCTGTTAGTTGAATGAAAAACCAACCTTTATTACAAGAAGAAGCTTTTGCTCACAAATCCAAACGTATCTAGAAAAACGGGCGGACTCCTATCTACAGGGTGTATTAAATTGGGCACTTTTAAGGGCTTTAAGGTTGTTCTTGAGGAGAAAAAAATTTACCCCTATTTACGAAGCTCCAATTTTTGAGAACTTAAATGATGAAAACGTATACCACATTTCATTTCCTACTTTAAAATATAAAGCAAAAAAATCACATGATTACATGAAAATATATAGTTTTAAATGTGCCCACCAATAAAAGCAGTGGAGAAACTAGAATGTTATAAGCTGAAAGTTAAAAAATATGGAAACCCAGACCAAAAACCTAAAAACGGTCACGCAAAATAAAAGATGGCGCCACAAGCACTTATATGAAGGTTAAAAAGCTCATTTCATGCGACCTTTCCATCCCTGTGTACATACCATCATTCCATTTTAATAAATTGATTAAGACATCGACATTCTGCCCCGCTGCCCCTGAATCACAGACATGGGCGATTCGTTCAAGCGCTTCGCCACTAACCGCCGCGTCACCGGCTTTCGAGTTAAACTCTCCCAGTTTTCTCATAACAACTGAAATATCACCGGCATCGAAAGTACGATACTCTTTCTGTGGCAAGTACTGAACCGTCCCGCATTCTCTCTTAGGATGGCTTCCGAGCAACGTCGAGTAACTGCTTGCGCCTAAAAAATGTGTCAGAATTTTATGTGTCGTACGTAAGTACCTGTAAACGGATCTAGGTTCATTCCCGAATTTCCGGCTGACGATCCGGATCCTGAAGGCGTATATCGGGAAGCCCCCGTAAAAGGATCGACGTAATTAGGATCAACATGCTGGTTCTGGTTTGGATCCGCGCTGTTTTTAAGTATAAAATTGACAACCTGAGAAACACAATCATTTTTACAAGGTACCCTTACCCAACAAAAGGATGTCCAATAGAGTAATTCGTTTTTCGACAACCCCTACCAGACATCCCTTGCAATGAATGTAGATTATGCACAATTCACTTGCAACACAGCAAAGTTGTATCATAAATTGTGCATCAATAAATATACCTGGTCTAAATAAGCGGCGGGTAATATATTTTTTTCTAGGAAATTATGAGCAGCCACGTAAGGATCATCTCCCTTGTTGTAAGGCAATTTGAGTGGTGGTTTTCCATCCTCTACGTCCACAGTGAAAACGAAATCATACGACTGCAAGGAGTCGGAATAGAAATGTAACAATATTAGGTGGTATGCTCACCTTTCCTTCGTAAGTAGTTTTGTCGCCGGCATTAGGATTAACTCCGCCCAATACGTCGCCCACTTTCTCCCAATGGCTATTCTCTCCTTCATCGACCCAAGTGTAAGCTACCACGCCCTGAGGTTCGCGGACCATTTTCATTTCACCGGCTTTCTTTCCGGGCTCATACAAAGCTTCCTTGCCAGGTAAGCTATAAATATATTTGTGGTAATAACCAATACATCAAATTTCACTCGAAAAAATTTAACCACGCCTACATGAACTCGCATAAGCATCTTGAGTGTGGATCATGTCTTAAAATAGAGCTCCTGCAACTTCCAAACTTAACTAGACCAATTAATCAAGCTAATGACACATTATGTCAATCTAGGGGATTGTTTACAAATAAACACAAAGTTGGTTTATTTTATTTGAATTTGTGGCTCAGTGTTATTTTTCCTTTTAGAATTGTTTGTAATTGTGTATTATTTTCTTTCAATTTATTCAATTTAGATAAGATGCTTTAAGTCAAGTTTGCGTACTTATAAAAGGTTTTATCTGGTTGTTTTGCAATAACGAGTCTTATCAAGCGAAATTTAATTAACGCACGCGTTTTTATCGCTGATAAAAGATGTAGGTGTTTTACGATGTGTCCTTCTTTTCATGTCCATGAACCTAGCAGAGCAAGGTCAGCAGAACATAATCAAACATATTGCATAGGTAATTAGGTGCTAATTAAGTGCCCTATTCCCGAATTAATTGCTACTTTTTTTTTAAATCCATTGCTGCAAGCTTATTTAATAGCTTGTTAAAAAAATTCATGACATTCAATATGTTACACCATTCCAAAATACTCACTCTGATACTTTATATCCTCCAATTTCTTGAGTGCTTTGTTGGGTTAAAGCAGCCACCTCTTCATTGAAAACCCTCAATGCATCTTCACTCGCTACCCTGTTTTCATCTTGAGTAAAAACTCTTACAAGACTATCACTGTAACAAAAAATAAACAATACAGTTAACTGAAAATGATTTACAGACAGTTAACTGAAAATGATTTACAGTCATTTAACAGAAGTTCTTAACATTAAACCTCCTAACTAAGAAGGTCAATTAGGAGGGATGTTCTTACACTGCTGAAAAGGATTGAACAGCTTACCTGGACCCCGTAACAATATCACCATTTGGAAGGCATGCCACTGTCCACACAGACTGAGCCGGCAATTTAAACGTTTCAGTATTAACCCCATCCTTCCAATACCTTACAGTTCTATCTTCATCAGACGATACAAAACAGTTTTTACCTCCACATTCATTACGCGCAACACTAAAAATGACCATAAAATAACTATTCGACCTTGATTAGCCCTACCAGTAAATGTAATTTGTGTGACCGTAATATGTATCCAAATTGGAGCCGTTATAATCCCAAACTTTTATAGTCGCATCGTTAGAGGCACTTAGAAAACAGTTGGCATCGGGTAGTTCGACCAGACTTCTAACGCAATCGGTGTGACCTTAAATTGCCGATAGGAAAGTGGTTTTTACCTTTAATAATTAATCAAACCCTGAATGGTATTAATCCTAAAGCCGTCTTTGGAAAAAACGCCAATGGTTTTATCGGCACAGCCCGTAACTACATTGCCATTTTTTAACTGGATAACTGACCATATAGCTGCAGTATGGCCGGTAAAGGTACGAACCGAGTTTGGTAACAACGTGAGACTCCACAACTTTGCCGTGCAATCCCAAGAGCTGCTTAAAAATGTATTCGGCTCTAAACCCTTTGTTAGCGCACACACTGTAATTGCTAGATAAAGTATCTTGCTACCAGATATGTACCAACCTGTATTTGAGTGTTCCTTCAAAGTAAATGACGTGAACGGTTCGTGCATTTGATATATTAAAATTAAGTGGTCATTTCCTCCAGTTACTACTAGTCCACTGGGAAATTCATTGGTAGGTTCCAAGTATAAAACGCTAGCGACAAAGTTCTTCTGATCTTTGTAGGTCGTTACTGCATTATATCCTGTATTAATTCTAAAATTGGAAATAGTTTATTCATTCTGTTTTGTGAGGAAAATCACATACTCATTGGGTAACCACAATTTCGCAGTTCGATCTCGAGATCCACTTATAATGGCATTCTTTGAGGTGACCGCAACAGAACGAACATCCAGCGAATGGCCATGTAGTACAACACTTAATTTAAAGGGCTTAGACATTCTGAAATGTGCTATTCAAAGAAAAATTGAAAAAAATTTTAACTTGTCATGAGTAGTTGAAAAGACTTGCCGATCCACTGTAGTTCTAATAGACTAAAGGTAAATGATCTACTATATGTGAAGTGTGATTCATATACAGAGTGTTTCAAATTTAAAAGTTCTTAGCATTATCATTTACACATAGAATTACCAACACTTATAATTCTATGCATTTACATAATTCAACTTTTTAAGAAAATAATCTTGCAATTGATGTTAGTTTTTAAAATTTCCGCCTTTATTACAATGCAGAAAATCGAGAAGAAATTATAATGAATGGGCAGACAGTTTCAAATATGTTCAAATATTGGAGAAAACCATTGCACCATAAAAATTTGCTGTAGTTAGTGCAGATATCAGCCGCACCATTCTGCTCAAAAAACCTTCCTTTTATTTCTAAGTATATGTGTACCAATATGGTTTCAATCGAATCAGTTGTTTGGCCAGAAATGAGTTGCGCAATTCTGGCCAAAAGCTTTTCCTTTTGTGTACCAAATTTGGTTCCAATCGGTTCAGCCATTTAGCCGAAAATTAGACTAGTCAGACATTAAGATTTTGTTTGATTTGGATTCCTGGTCCTTCAAAACGTGGATTTCTGTCAAAAAAAGTGATGAGTTAATGTTTTACTCAAATGCAATACCTCCCTTGCGAACGTGCAGGGGTAAAAATACAATGTGTAGGATTAATAAATGATTTACATTGTGCGTTTACCAACCAGGGTAGGAAAGTTGAATTTTGAACAAACAATATATTGTCCTTTGATTATTTAATTCAAAAATAAACATCAGAAATTTTGAAATGTAATTCATACAACCATAATATAATTATCTGCAAAAATCAATTTACAGATTTTAATTGTATCTCCAAAAAATATTTAAGACACAAATAAATGTTTTTGCATGATCACAGGAATACTATTGTGGGGAAAATGTAAGAAACAAAATCCAGTAATGGAAGTAATGTTTTTTTTAAAGAAAATAAACAAAAATATAATTGCAACAATGCGATTAATAAATGAACACAATTATTAACTCGATAATCATCAAAATCAATTAAAGAGTGTAAAAAATTACTAAAAACTTAGAACTACTATCACGGAACAAACTAAATTGTCCAATAAAAAATACAATAAATAATATAAAAGTAGATACAGTCTCAACAATTTTTATAACCAGTATAATTTCGGATCGTCTCTTCTAAATTGTAATTTAACGACGTGACGATAGATTTTTAAAGCAGTCCCCAATTTTAGCTTCAGACTCGAGATCACATCCATCCTTTTCATTAGCAACAACGAGCTACCGTCAATCTCCTGTTCTTTAAATACTATTGCCTCATCTGGAAAATACTGAGAGAAATAATTGTAAACCTCCTCGGCCGTCCAGTCTTTAGCATCTGGTATCGACGGATCGATTAGCTCGTCGACGTCCAGATCTTTGTAGCTTTGGGAATCGGACAAATTGCCTTTGATGTCCGGTGGTGAGTGGGCCATCGACATTGCGCTCGGTTGTGGACTTAAGGTTGGGGGTGTAGGAGAAGGGCTGGGAGAGTTTCGATTCGAGTCCTCGGATATCGACGAGTCAGATGAGCTTGGGTCTTTATCTTGCACTGAAAATGAGATTTTTCAAAATAATGTCATTGTAATTTAAAGGTTACAGTAGTGCCATCTACCAACTACACACGAATTAAAAAATAATAATTAGCTTCACTTAGGTCCCTTAACAAAACAATTGCTCCTCCTTTGTCATTCTGATGGTTTAGCTCCAAGACCTAAATTAGCCTTGAAATTTGCATTCTCACTTGAGCTAAATAAAAAAAGTTTATGGTACTTTTAGGATGTCGCCATAAAACAAAGCCTTTCAAATGCGATGATCATGGAAACCAATACGAGACGCCACATTTAAATTGCGCATTTTTTTAAAATGCGCAGTTGTTTTTTTCAAAGTTAGCTCACTATTTTTGAAAATATGCTGATTAAAAAACAATCATAACTACCGACTATGTACTGTTAATTGTGAAAATTGAACATCTTTTGTTTCACATGGCAACTTGGATTCGGAAAAGAACAATTTTTTTTACAAATTAGCGTTTCGACTTGGTCTTTCTCTGAAATTTCTTATGAAATGTGTGGTTTTGTTTATATCAGTGGAACATTTATAGTTTTCACTAACCAGAGGTATAATTTGTTTAGGGGGGTGTCATTTGAAATGTTTAAAAGATATGACGTTTGGTGAAGGTCATTCAAAAATTTTATTTTTTCGATCAAGTACCTAAAAAAAATTATGTGATTGCGTAAGAGGTCTTAACCTGTGCCTCAATTCAAAAATTAGCCGCCTGGGCGATTTAGTTTCTCTTAACACCGAAATCGTAAAAGTTAGGGGTGTAACATTTTATATAAAAAAAGAAGTATGTTTGAAGTACTCTACAAATCAGTAATAAAATATGGAGCGTTCCATTTAAAAAGATGCATGTTTGATAGGCCACTAGACCTGCCCCTGGTATTCAAAAATATTTTAGGAACATGCCGGCGGTAATTGCGTACAATTTTGCTCTAAAGACTTTTTTCTTTTCTTTTATGGTAAAGGAATTATGATCGGAGGAGTCTTAGATGCACCACCCTGTATAGTTCGTCCGGCGTGGGAGGTGAGGCGGCGCAGCCGCCCAAACCTAGCGTATGTTCCATCCAAGAAAACGAGATTTCCCAAAGGCAGTATGAAGTTCTGCTAGTATATTTATAAGTCTATTCACAGCACACCATTCGGTAAAAAGTAAATTAAGCTATATTTAGCACCAATGAATTCTTTTGTTTCATAGCTACCTTTTTTTTGTACTGTTGGTTGTTTGACAAATTTTAGTACTACATATTGAATACATTTGTACCATTACCAACATATTTTTTGGGCAAATTTTGCTTTATTATCAATTTTAGAGTAGTTTTGAGACCCAATAATGACAACTTGTAGGGGAGAAACAGATGCAACAAGAAAGGGTCTCGTTTGTTTTCAAAAATCTCTTTAAATGATCACACAAAAATTAGTGAATTTTGCTCTTTCCAGTTATGTCCGAAAGAAACTATTCGGAATGTCTACACTTTTTAAGCTGCCTTTGATTTGGCTGCAACTTTGACTCCATTTAACAGACCACGTAGTGCGTACCTCGGACAGGTTCTCAGATCCCAATAGTGGTCCTAAAATATGGAACACCCTGCAAAATCCCAACCTCGACTTTTCCCAATCAAATCAAACCCAATCACTCTTATGAACATGTTTATACTCAAAAATTGTTGCACGAGCCAAGTTCATGAACTGTGGCACTACTGTAATCGTTTAAATATGATGATGTTAAATACAAGAACTTACAATCAGGCTCGCTACCACGATGTGTAAATACATCAGAACTGGTCACATTCGGATGAATTTCGGCCACTTGTAATTGCGCTGGCATTTGACAGTTAATGCACAGCCACTTATTGCCCGATTGGGTGATGTCGATATTTTGCGGCTCGTGACATCCACGATGGTACGCATCGGCGCAAACCGAACAAACCACTAAATCGCCCTAAAAACAAATTTAGAATTTTCACCTTGCAGAAACCAGTAACGTACTGCATCCGATGTTTCGAAACAAACACAGCAAGTTTTACAATGCGGACACTGCCACGTATTATCCGGGTACATTTTTAACATCATATCGTCCCCATTAAGGCAATTAACGTGAGCTAAAATATTTTAGGTTAGGATCAATTAGCGTAAGAGACACGGATTACCTTTATTACTACATTCTCGGCAAGAAACGAGACGTTCGTTAGAATTTTTCTTGTTGTTGTGACAGACGGAACACACACCCCCTTGCTCGCGTCCGTTGAGCGACGAACGCGATTCCGGTCTTGAATCTCCATCCGGAAGTTTCACCAGTTGTTTTTCGAGGGTCGTTTTATTAAGCGAACCGACAGGTCGTCCACGTTTCTTTGGAATGTTATTGTCAGATGGGTCGAAGACTTTTTTAGCCCGCTGCAAATTAGGGGGGAGGTTATTAATACGTTATGTATTGAAATTACTTAACCATTTAAATTAAAGGACCTTAAGGTTAAACTAAAAAATCTTAAGTGAGATTTTGTTAACGTTACGATTACGTAATGTGTAAATAAAAAAGGACACAAACACACCTTTCTACGGCTGCCTACGCGTAAGATCCCAAATTCGCTAGGTTTGTAACTTTTAGGATCCATGGAAGTACCATTCTCCATTTTTGTTTTTTTTAATCTGAACTTGTCGACCTTTCTCGACGCCTCTTTCTTCTTGTAGACCATCTGCGTACCCTGTTCATCCCTCGGCGGCTTCGTTATTACGTAACTTTCCGTAACGCTTTCCCTGGAAAATTCCGTCTTAGTTGGGCTTGGACCGACTAAGTAATTTCCGTTTTCCATTTTAACGAGACCGCCGCTCTCCACTTCCTTCTCCAGTAAAATGCTGATGTACTTCTTCGTGTAGCGCACGTTGTCCTTAGAAAGAATATTTCTTATCAATTCCGGTCCAGGTACGCCTACTTCTAAGTAATCGGGTTCGTGTACAATTAATTCCGCAATCGCATTTGTGAGAAGAGCGACGAATTTTCTATTGGGCTTATTCGTGTCAGGTAGATTTTCTCTGTCCCTTCGCAGATGCGAAAATTTCTTCGCCGCGTTTCTATAGCTAGTACTCCCCTTATATTCCACCCGCAATACTATATCCTTATCTACGCACTTTTGCAAATCTAATTTCGCGTCAATGGCATTAATGCCAAACCTTCGCATCAAATAATTACATATCCTGTGACTATCCGGTCTTGCTTTGCGACTACGCAACTGGTCAATCGCCTCCAAGATACGGTCTTTGTGTTTTATATCGCACACGCTCATTATTACTACTTAATTAGTACACACCTGTCTACAGCGACATATTTAACCTTGCGATTTTAGTAACAAATCGGCCGAATTATTTAATTAAAGGGGAAAGTGTCGCTAATAAAAAAAAAGGCGTAAGTACGTGCGCTAAAACTACGCCTATGAGTTTGAAGAGCGATAAATCTTCAGCCTTAATCTTTGGAAAGACGAAACGCACTTTAAATTACAACGATAAGAAGGTACTCTCACACGCGGCGGAACGCAAAATAAAATTAACTAAATTCATTTAATCAGGCGCACATTAAAATTAAAGCTCTGATACATATAAACTAAGGCGAGACGCGAGAGCCGCACAACATGACAAACTTACATATCTTGAATAACACTGGAAACTGCACGTTTTTGTACTCCGAACGCCGGGTTTTTAACGGAAATACGCAAAGGAGCGTGCAGGGTACGCGATTTTCACTTTTCCCCCGGCGTCCGTCGCGTTAATTTTCAGGAAAAATCGAAAAAATGGGAATGGGCGCACGACAACCTGCACATAGCACGCCAGAACGAGCGGTTTTGTCCGTTTTGCGACAGGGTGGCTGTGGATTCCGAAAACCAAATACAACGCACGCGCGCTCCATACGCGTACCCTTTTAATTAATAATTTTGTTCATTATTTCGCCCGGTAATTGAATAGTCAAGAAATTTTCTCCAACGAAACCCTTTCGTGTTTTGTTGCAAATAGCGTTAAAGGCGAAACCGACGACGGATTTGACGATGCGCTTGTAAACCTTTCATTTGTCCAGTGGCGTAGGGTTGAGCGCAACTAATTATGAATTTGAGCGGGAATACCTGCAATATACGAAAACATTTTGTGTATTGCATAATTGGCTGTTGTTGCAAGTACAGTACTCGTAAGTTTATGTTTCGAGGATGCGGAATTGGTTTTTGCTTGCGTTGCGATCAAGAACAGCAGCTACCAAGAGTTGCGCCTGACTGGAATATGGAATCTTTCGGTACGGCACCAACCCTTTAGTAGTGAAGGTGTGAAGGATAATACCGTTGAATAAGTAATGATTTAGTTATTCAATGATAATACCAATCAGACTCAGACGTAGTCAACGGCCGAATTGGTAACTAAAGTGACATACCTACATATTACCTTAGCCTAGGGCTCAATGTTCGACACTTTCGACTAATCCCAGGGACGCGGACCTAGCTGAGAATACGCTCTTTGAGATGGTCTGAATCTCAACTGCAAAGCTATCCATACACAGAGATGCTCATCCGTCGGTTTGGAATGGCGCGGTTCAAACGTAACTACTTATTTGATTGTATTTGTTTACGCTAGATTTAACCAGGGCAGAATTCTCTGTCAGTGACGCATCAAACTGGCATATTTATCTACTGTTGCAGTTCAAACCAGCGGATCATTCTGTGTATAGGGCCAGCTATTTTCTATAATAGAACCCCTGTAAACACCATCATCAGATCATCTGTTACCAATCACTCGAAAAACAAAAGCAAACAAACCGGATAATTCCGTAACTCGAGCCCCAACATTCCCATATAGGCCATATTAACCTCTATAATAATTTTTGAAATATCTGAAATAACTTTTGCGTGAAATCCGTCTGTCCGTCTATCTGTACGAGTTTTAAATCTAACTACCGAAATAAAAAATCGGTTAAACCGCGCTCTAGTTTATTCGTTTTATATAGCTTCGTTATTGCAGTCGGATCTAGCCATCCGTCTCGTTAGTGATTACATAAAAATCGTCCAACTTTTTTATTTGTTCTGTCTTGCTATTGTAATCTTATTTTAAGTTAGATCGAAGGACACATACTGGGTCAAAAACTACTCTACTTACTCTATAGCTTTATGGGCGCCAGGTGGTAGTTAGAATTAGAATCTCCGTTTTAGGTAGATTTCTCTTTTTCCACCAAACTTATCTCGGTAAAGTTCGTGAATCCGCTAATTAATTCCGCCATATTGGAACAAAATGGTGGACACTTTTATATGTTAATGCGGTTAAAGAAATCTACCTACGCGCCTACACCTGATCAGCCGACCCGAAAGGGATGTTTAATCAAAAGATGTCAATACGGTGTACGTCCTGCCATTCGCAAGATAACTCGAAAATCCTCAAAATTGGCACATAACATAAAGGGAAGAAAGTGATTTATTTATATGTTGGGCTTCGGGTGTTATTCCCCTGAAGCAACGCACTAGGCAGCCAAAACGCCTGCTCACTCTAGTTCCTTATTAGAGCTTTGCGTAAGTTTATTGCAATTATATAAAATTTACGATGTTATTCAGTTCTAAAAGTACAAGTAATTACTTAGTGATTGTTTATTTAGAATACTAAAAATATGTAGGTATTTTTATTAGTCCAGTGGCGTAGAGTTAAACACAACAAATTACGAATTTTAACAGGAATAGTTTCGTTATAGGTAACAAAACATTCCTTGTAGGAAAAACAGTACCTTCTCGTAAGTTCATGTTCCCGGGATGTCCGAAACCTTTTTTTGCTAATGTAGATAGCAACAGTGGCAACCTCGCGGAGTCGCCCATGGTTATAATACTTTATTATATTAACATTGAATAATATTCAATGATATTAACCAATAAATCTTTATTAGACGCCAGCTTAGCAATACAAACCTATTAAAAATATTAAACTAAAATTCATTTTTTTCTTTCTTTTCCTCGCTCTTTTCTTTAAAATCCACGTCATCCACTTGTTTCCTTCTCACCCCTAAACCATCACCAGCAGTTCCTTAACATGTGTTCTATGTTCTCTTCTTCCTCTCCGCATATTCTACATTTTCTTGTCTCTATTTCTCTTTCCCCCTCTCTTCATTTCCGCATCTAAATCTCTCTATTGTTTTAATATTTTTTCTTCCTTCCCACAAATATTTTGACAGCCACTTCCTTTTATTAGCTCTTTATAACTACTACTTCCGCGCTCTCTATCTTCTTTTGTGTTTGTGCATCCACATCCCATTTTGCCAGCTTATTTTCCATCTTTTGTACTACTCCCTCCTCTCCTTTCGACCTCAGCACGCCCGTATCCATTTCCTCTTTGTACTTCCCACAATCCTTTTGCGTTCATACCCGTTTCCATTTTCCTTTAATATACAATTTGGTGATCTTTCGTTTAACCCTAATACCCATTTATAATATCTTCTTTGTACTTCTTCCAGTTCCTCCCATTCCTTCCACACCCATATATCTCCGTTCCGTCTAAGAGTATATAACGTACCCTTTGGTGCCGTATGTACAATAAGGAGCACTCACATTTCATCATTGCATCGAATAGGTAGTTTCTTGTTCTAAAACCGTTCTTGAACCCCTTTTCTCCAATTCCTCATTCCTGTCTCATCGCCGCACCATCCGCTTTTTTCTTAATTTTCTTATCTGGCCATTTGCCCCATATTGTTTCTTTGATTTGGTTCCTACCCTAAATATTTAATTTCTTTTACCTCTTCCACTGTTCTACTTCTGTTGCCACTGCGTCGTCCACGTATGCCCAGGGAAAATATTTTTCTTTTTCCTACCTACTATCCCTCCGCCTTCACCCTGTCTTAATCCTTTTTCCACGTTTCTTAAGTATAGAGATTAAATAAGGGTGGGCTAAGTGGACAATCCCTACGTCTTAGTCCTTCCTTCTATATTCTTGCCCTCTTATCCTTGTCCCATAGAATTCTTTGATTCGGTCCTCGTCAATTTTCCAAATTCTGTCAAACGCTGCTTTTGTAAGTCTACGAAAAAATGAACATTGTCATATATCCTCATATTAATTTCAACTAATTTAGATTGCATTTGTGTAAACAAGTTTAATAAATTATGAATAATAACCCCCCTCCTATCCATCCCTTGTTTACTAGATTTCTCATTCTCGCCCTTTCCTTGATCGTATCAGTGGTGAAAATCCAAGCCTCATTATCTATCTCGTCTCTCCCTGCCGCTTTTCCTTTCGTCAGCCTTCTGAATTGCTGCTCGACGTCCTCTCTTGTTAGATCATCTCCTCCAATGTTCCTCTCTTCCATGGCCTCTTCTTTCTTCCTTTGTGTAGTAACTTGACAAAATGATGTTGTCTCCATTTCTCTAATTGTAGTTCTCTCCCACTTTGGTACCTATTTTTCTGTTTTCCTCTGTTTAACACCTTCCAAGAATCCTGTGTTTTTACTTCTCTGATTTGTTCTTATCGTATTCTTTCTGTTTCTCCATCTTTTTTTCTTTACATTTTCTTTATGTACCTACCTTTTTTCTGTTCTCTGAACTCTTTCTCCTCTTCTTTCTTTCTCCATCATTTCTCCCTTCCGTTCACTCTTTGTCTCATCATTTCTTTTTTTTCCTCTTCTCTCCCATTCTGTTTTTGTTTCCACGTTTTTTTTAATACTCTCCTTTTGCTCGGCCCTTTATATTATCTCTCTTCACAAATTGGTTTTTCCGTACTTCATCTGTATTCTTCACTTAGTTTCGTATATCCCCATCTTACTTTCTTGCCCTTTCCCTTTCCGCAACTTCTCTAATTTCTCTTTGTGCCTTCATATGTCAACTCATAATCTATGTACTTACTTACATCCCTCCCTCTTTAACTTTCCCTTTCTCCTCATAACTTTCCTCTTTATCTTTTTCACATAAAAGTTTTGCAGTGGGCGGCTATCTGCGACTGTTCTTATACTAGACGACGTATAGTGAAGGATAATAATAACCTACTAATCAGATCTAGTCAGTGTCGCATTTTCCTTGACAAAAAGCACCCCAACCTGTCTTGGACGAAAAAACCTATAGATGCCTGTTATAATTCCAAGATTTGGCATTGCTAAATATTCGGCTTCCACCAACATATCCCTAGTCAAAGACACCGGCAACTTTATTCAATTATCAAAACCTCTTTTATTAGAGATTAACTATTAATAGGTATAAATCAAAATAATCTTCAAAGGCGCCCAGAAAAACCAAGAACGTACAAACTTTTGAAGGTGCGAAATTTCTTTTGTTATGAGTGATAATACATCCAAACCTTATCTAAACAGATCTAGTTACCCAAACATTTGCAGAACGACGTTCTAAGGAGTTTCTATAAAGTAATTAAATAAATTCCAGTTACGTTACGATTTTCTGTTGCAGGTCTGTATGCGCCTTTACAGTTCGGCTCACCAAAGAGTACCCGGCTTTAAACAACAACAACGGCCTTGGGTTTACATTCCAAACAAATTTTATGAAACGTGTTCACTAATATAGCACAGATAAATATTTTATCACGGCATGCAACCATTCAATACAGATTTATACATTGAAAAATTGGAAATTTGTTTCCACAATAAGTGCCTTCTGGGTACAAATTTTTGATTGAAATAGCATTCATTCAAATATATAGGTAATGTTCAGACATTTGCGTGAAACAAAAATTATTTAGCTAATTCCTGTACTTTCGCTTTCGCAGTCGTTATTTAGGAATTCAGTTGTTAAAAATCTCCCATATAAAATACATAAGCACAGATATACGACATAAGTATCTTTCATTTTTATCACACACTGATAATAATTTGTTATCAAATTTAACTTCATTCACTTCACAAGCTTAAACCTTTAGCTACCATCGGTAGTTAACAGAAGCAGAGACTTGTTACTACAGTCTCTGAACAGAAGTTTATTTTTTTACCTCGAAACAAAGTTATTGAGGAAATCGCAAGGCAACTTTTGCACTTTTTGTAAACGCCACCTTAATTGTGCATTCTACAGTAAAGGTAGGTATTCACGTTCAGTTCGCCGGCCGGCCATTGCCTGTCTTGTTTAAATCAAGCAACTGTCCATCATAGACTGTGCCGTGCGTGTGTATTGAATTTAATACAGCCGGCCGGCAAATATCGTATCCGGACTGAAGTCCATGGCCGGCCGGCAAATATCGTATCCGGACTGAAGTCCATGGCCGGCCGGCCAACTGAACATGCGTAGATATGGAAAAGTTTTGTAGGGGACGTTTGTTCTTTGTTGCATTGCAATTTGCATGCACTCAGCATACATAAGTTTTTGTCTTATGTATGGCACTCAGTAACAAGTAGACAGTTGAAGTTGCAGTGTGTGTAATAAATAAGTTGTCCCTAAAACACGTAAGTCCGTGTATCTCTATTTAGATATATGAGCAATCTTTGTATTTTTTTTACACGCACGGATTAAAATAAAATAGTTTATTGTTATTCATTTAACAAAGATAATATGATACCCACATGGACTGTCTTACCATTTGGTCATCAATATACAGTGTGTATAATCAATGATTTGGCGAAAAAGAGCAACACATTAACGCGCCAATTTTTTACGCGTCCATTCACACATTGGAAACGATAAGTCGTAGTATTTATCGATTATGAAATAAAGGTAAAACCCAAAGTTAAGTAAAGAAAGTAGGTTGCCTCTTAACTTTCATCCAATAAACGTTCAATATTAAAATACGCGAATGCCGTCACCCAGAATCCCATTTTGTCCATCATAAAAATTAATTATTATCGCAACAACAACAGAGCAAGTTCAAAACATGCAAAATGGATCGAAATGGTACTTTACATGGATGTGCTGAAAAGTTCCTGCATTGCATAGAAAGAAACGTGCTAGTGAAATATTAAACAGACTATTCAAAATAGTTTACATTTCATCTTCATACTCTTCGGCCGGGAAATGCAGACTGCACTCTATTGCATACAGGGTTCAGGTTCCCCTTTCCAATGCACTTTATAACCCATTCTTTTTGTAATACAGTACTTACCTTTTGGAAAAGCGAAAAACTGAATCTGCGGTCCATTTGCTTACGATTTGTTGGAACTACTATTGCACATAGCAACAATATAACTGTCAAAGTCAACGAAAATTTAAACACCAATCAAATGGGACTTGCGGATTCTCTCCCTAAAGTTACGAGGCAACCTACTCTCTCTACCAATCTTGGGTAAAACCAACCCACAACAAGTGAAGTCATACCGGCCCATAGTTCTGCGTTTGTTTCAGGAGTGGTTACCTCGGCTTCGAAAATGTTGAAGAATAGTTAGAGAATATACATATACTTACTCAAAAATCTCAAAATTAGGCTTTCTTATTTAAATTTTTTTAACAATCTTACGGTTCTATATGAATGGTTGGGTATGCAATTTCTGATTTTGTAAATAAATTGCCAAAATTCCCACCTCAACATGGTATCTCAACGAAATCTTTGAAGATATTAAAATAATTAAGCAATTGAAAATTTAACAAAAATTTCGACAAATAAATCAAGTAAATCAATTATTAAAAGTATAAACGTCAGCCACCTTTGATCACAAGGTAAGATGTTTCCCACTTTAATATTTGTAATCATTGATAATCTTATCGACTCGTTTCACAATGATGATCAGTGCTGATATGATCGGTCGACCAAACCGGTTATCATATCAGTCGTCCACATATACAGTGCTATTTATCAAGAAGTACACATAGGGATTTATGTGCATTATTTTTTTCCCTATGCCTAGTTTTATATGAGAAAATCCCTGCTGAAGAGCGCCTAATTGTATGCAACCAAAATAACTTCTTTAAAACAAACAAAAATCTGGCTGTCATATTAATGAATTTTGAATATTGTTGCTTGGGCTTCCATATATTTATTTTCGTTCGTGTGCGATGTAAACAACAGAAGAAAAAAAGTTGATATTGTCAAGTGGTTTAGTGCCGGTAAAAATTTAAGGAGCGTAAGAGATTTATTTTCTATTAAGCCAAAGCAACATTATTCAAACTAATTAATATGACAGCCAGACGTTCATTTGTTTTAAAAAGATATTTCGGATGCATAAAATTAGGCGCCCTTCAGAAGAGATTTTGTCTTTTAAAAGTAGACATAAGACATAGGGAAAAACAATACCTACACATAAATCCCTATGTCTACTTCTTAATGAATGCCACTGTATGTATTTGAGAAGTGACAACATACTATATCAAAACCGTGACCATTTTGCATTATTTGACCAATCTAAAAATAATAATGTAGGCTGCCGTTTGCTGGTAACATATACAATCCTTCGGAATTAGTATTAATGGGAATGATACTGGAATTAGTGATATTGCTAAAGTGTTTAAACAGTGCTATTATAAGTATTATTATGAATGTAGATAAGTGAGTAGAATATGGGTGGCCAACACATTGTCCCGCCTTGCCGCATCTTTAGACCCGCGAAGCTGGGAAACAGCCGTAAGCTTTGTGATACATTTTCTAGAAAGTGTCGGTAGGAAAGTGGAAGTGGTAGGTTCTGATGTCTTTAGGCGAGTTCTGTAACTATTGGCATTAAATTAACATTTCTAAGAAACGACACCATTTCCCATCTATCGCTTAATGTTGGTACTAATGTAAAATGTTTAAAAAAAAGAATATCATTGAATAAGTAATTATAATTACTTATTCTAGTCAGTCTTTGAAATAAACGATGCCATGCGTTGCTTACGACTTCATTTTCTATTGAAAGCAGTAGTGCGTGTAGGTATGTGAGAATTGGAAATTGAAGGAACTAATTATAATTAAAGTGTCCATTGTACAGTTCCGTTTTTTATTGAAAAACGAAAACAGATCCCACTTTTGAATCGTCGATTTTGTATCATGTAAAATTTTTCATCAAAAGGCAGGTATGTAACTAAATACTTCAAATAAATCCACCTCTTCTGTTTGTAAATTTATTAAATAAATTCAAAATGTCTAGTCACATAGAACAATTAACAAAAAAAGTGACCGGGGGGAAATCTTACTTTTCATATTTGGCCCGTCTGCTAGAAAGGTGGTCAACATCCATGGTGTAGAAAAAAATTGGACAGTGGAGAGGACAAAACGAAATTTGTTCCAAAATGAATATGCAAAAGATGAGATGCACTCAAAAACGGATCGAAATAATTTGCAATTCTAGCAGTTGTTACAGTGGAGCTTGGAGTGGAGTAAATCTTCCTATAATCCTATGCTATTTTGGTTTGGCCTAGATTTTTAGTGAGAATTTTTTTGTTCCAATATGTATAGTGCAGTAACAGATAAATATGTTAAAAAACGCAAACAATAGCACATTTTTTTTAATTCTTAAAAAATGCACTAAAAATTGGATGGTAGAGGAGTCAAGAACAAATATTAAAAACAAAGATTCTAAATGTTTAGTAAGAAAAACACGACCGTAAAGTTTCATTGTTTGTGTTTGTTCTTTAATTTTGTTCTACGCAATACAATGCAGATGTTTACATATTTATGTGTTACATCCTGTTTACGCTTAAGCTTAAAGTATATGTAGGTACCATTTTTTTTCATTTAAAAATTGAGTTCTAAAGACTAAAGGTTGTGGAAACGAAATTGCGTACGTAAATTTTAAGATCGATTTAAAAAGATAAGTTTCTAATTTGTTCAAACCGTAGATTAAAAAATCTATGTTCAAACTGATATTAACAAAAGTTATTTCCAGTACAGCTTTCGGTACTAAGACTCCCGTACATCCTTAAAATTGAATAAAAAAGATTTCCCGATTTCTTATCTAAAACGCTTTCTATATAAAAATATTAAATTGCCTACTTCTTAAATAAAGCATATAGTGATCAAGTCGTCGCACCCGAGTGAGGGGCCCAATCGTACTTTTTTTTTAAATATGTGACTAATTTTTATTCCTCATTTTGCATTAGAGATTTCCAATAGGACAGACAAAACCATAAACCGAAATACTCTACTAAAGCACAGTCCACAAATTTACGGTTTTTTAGTACTGAGTGCGCATATGGCTGACGCGATTACCGCCGACTGTACCTGCATTGGTACATAAGGTTTATGTCCGTTATGAATTTTAAAATGTAAATTTAGATTATTTAAGGATGGAAAACGTTTAAAACCCTCTTTCCATTGATATTTCTTTTCATCTGTATGCATTCTATGGTCACAAGTTAAGCACGATTGGGAACTAAACGGTATATCCTTTCAATTGTAGTGAAAAATGGATTCTCGGTTAGATATCGTGGTGTTTGGTGCAACAGGATTTACAGGAAAATCCACTTTACCTTACCTCCACAAATTGGCACAAAATCCGGAAAGATCTCTGACATGGGGAATTGGTGGAAGATCGCTAGAAAAATTACAGAATATTCTGCACGAAGCTTCAACGCGGATAGGTATGGACATGTCACCGTAAATGAGATAACGTTAGTGTTTCTTACGTTAAAGGTGCGGATCTTAGCGGTATCCCGATTATAATCGCAGATAGTACGAACGAAAAGTCTATAATGGAAATGACGAAGAAAGCCAGGATGATTATAAATTGCTGTGGCCCATATCAGGTGCATGGGGAAGTTGTGGTTAGAAGTTGCATCGAGACTGGTACTCATTATGTTGATGTAACTGCGGAACCTTATTTTCAAGAAGCTATGGAGAAGAAATATCACGAAGCAGCGCAGAGACAAGGGATCTATATTGTTAATTATTGCGGATATGGTTACATGGCTACCGAAATTCCAGTGTGTTTGTTAGAAAATAAATTTCCAGGTGACATTTATTATTTTTCAAATCTTTTGAGAATTCTCATTTTTCTGGAATCTTAAAATATTCTGAATCTCTGTCGACCTTTCTGAACTTTCTTAAATTTTCCTTAATTTTCTTGCGTTTTTTTGAGCATGGTTCTTTCTTAGGAACCCTGAATTCGGTGGAAATCTTCACAGACACCTACCAAGGGGTGTATTCGCAAGGTTCGCAATTCAATATTGGTAGCTGGAAAAGTGCAGTGGTGGCATCTAGTAAATTAAAAACTTTTTTTTGGAACAAAATAAAACGAGATTGGAATTCCGTAAAAATGCGGCCAAAGATATGTTCAAGGTACGTAGGTTTATACAGTAGGTATATTTACATACACAGCTGACTCGTCCATAAGCTCGTCCGCCATTTTGGAGCCCATTGAAAATTCACGCTTGCAAAACGAAGCATGTTCTGCATGCATTGTCTTATCATTTAAAGAAAAACTATTCATTTGTTTAACGCTTATTAATGCATACAGGTATTTATAAGGTGAGATTTTACACATTAAACAGTTTTGACTGTGCACAAATTTCGATTGTCAGTCGAGCTGTCAGTGGGCTGCAAAATGACAGACGAGTCTACTAATCGGATTGTATTTGGAATGAGTAGATAGATGTATAGTATATACAGGCTGTTTCTCGCAAACCGTTACTTAAAAGTATTCAGACCAACATAGTTTTTCCCGATTCGAAAGAAAGTATTATTATTATCGTTTTACTTCCGGTTTTACAGGATGTGGATGGCAACTTTCTTGTTTTAAATAGAATACCCTGTATTTTCTCGAATTTTCGAAATATACATTAAAATCTACGTCGTTTGGTACCTACTGCATTTCCCTATACCCAGCATCAAAGGTTTTCAAGTTACTGGAAAGTTGTTTTAACGGTGTTTTTTACATTTTTCTACCGATTTGAACAGGGATTATTAAATCGGATAGAGAATAATTCGAGGCAAATTTTCTCATTTGAATGAACCTATCCAGAAAGTTCCCATAAACAATTATATTGAAAACAAGTGGAGTGGAGTGAGTTTAGGTCTAAAACGTCTTACTTATTTTATTGATAAACGTCGGCTCCCTACCCCTATTTACTATTTTAAGATGAGAGAAATTATGTAAATCATGTGGACTTGCCTCTAGCATAGATAAAATATGCCTGTAGTGTTGATCACAGCCCAATATGGGGTCAACGTTTCGCTTATTGCAGTTGTCGATTAGAGCTCTAACTTCCCTTATGCTGTTACAGCCGTTTGACCGCCTTTGTAGGATATAGTTGATGGCCTCCACTGTAACCTGGAAATAAACTGTGTTAATGGTAGGTAGGTTATGGAGGTTTTATTAGTATTACCATTCTGAGAACACCATTTCCTTTGCAGTAAACCAACTTATCGCATAAACTAGACATTCGTTGGAGCTCCCATCTATAGGCACCCGGTTCCTGCCAGCACTACCTTTTGCACAGCACGCCCGAACGTGTCTTACTGTGCTGTAGGTCGCCTGTTGTGAAGACATATTGTCTTTCTTAATCCCTTTACCTTCCTGGACAGCCACCTCGCCTTTGAGGCTCACTTTCCCAACCTTCTTTGAGAAACTACTGCTGCCAGGATTTGAAGTGAGCTCCTCCAGTCTGTCATATTTTTGGAGGTCTTTCAGCCGCAGGCGTCGTGGAGGTTTTGGTTGATGGTTACCTGCCCAAACTTTTGACTGGATTCGCGGAGTGTACCCGCTCGCTTTACCACCACAACCTGCTTACTATAGTCGTGGTGGATGTAGCTTGGGGCCGTGGTCATTTTCCCATAGGTTAAACAAAATCGTAAACCATAATCTTGTACTAAATTCCTGGGTACAATTAAACGCTAATTTTAAACGAATCGGTCGTTGTATAAAAAGTTCTTAACGTTGTAGTTGACAAAATATTCTCGCAAGAAATATTTCATGACTTTCGAAGTAACAAATGAGACAAACGGCAAACTATATAGGTTTCTAGAATCATCCCCCTCAAAGTAGTTCAATATAACCATTGAATAAGTAACTTATTCAATGAACGCAGATGTGTCTGGACGAATGGAGAAACCTCACAAAAAAAGAATATCTTGAACTATTAATAAAATGAATTTAAAAGTTTTATAACCGTAGTCCTTTTTGTGTAACATTTTAGCAAATCATATTGCATTTTTCTTAAATGTGTATTGATTTAAGGTTACCGTTCAGCAGAATCACAAGCATTGGTATTCCAAATAAAAAGATTTTACCATTTCCATCGCCAGACATTGACATAATCAACCGCTCTCAGCGCTACTTCTACGAAAACGTCGAAAAGAGACCTATCCAGGTCCGCCACTACTATCTCTTGGATTCGTGGAAAAGTATTCTGAAACTGCTGTTTATGGGAATGATAACGATTATTTTCAGTCAGTTTAGTTGTGGTAGAAAATTACTGCTGAAAGTATTTATTGCATCAACATAGATAACTTTTACACTAACTTGTCTGTTACAGTATCCAAAAGTGTTCTCAGGGGGACATTTTGATCATGAATCTCCCAACGAAGAAGTAGTTGAAAACACAAAAATCTGCATGTATTTTTATGGAAAAGGTTGGAGTAATAAGAAAGATAGCCAATTTAATCAACCACCCAATAAAAGTATTCTAGGCAAAATTGATATTGTTAATCCTGCCTATGGGTTTACGTGCTTAGCTGTAGTACTCTCGGCAATTATCATATTAACTGAACCCTCCAAGTTGCCCAAGAAGTAGGTGTATGAATATGAATCATTTGAGTGCGTTTAAAAGCTTTGCTTATTAGGGGAGGTGTATACACGCCTGCAGCTGCTTTCTTCGATACGTCAATGGTGGAAGCGTTACAGAAAAATGGAGTTCCATTGAATATATTATCTGAGAATGATTTGTAATACGATAATACGTGGAGAGACTTAAACTTGTAGTACCTAAATACGTTACGTGCCTTTTCTCCAACCAAGGAATGCTCAAATCATTATTTATGGTCCAACTGAATGGGAAAAAATTCTATTATTTATATATATTATAGTGTAGATATTTGTCTGTTCGCTTATTGTAATGTATGTACCTACTTGTAATGAGAGACCTATGTGAAAAATTCATTTAATTAATATGGTAGGGTTTTTTACGTATAAACACAAAACTATTATTACGTGTAGCTTGTATCCAAGGTATTTGTTTCGTTGTAAATAGTTTGTTTACTAGAATTATTAAGGATAGGGAAATGTTTATCTCATTTTTGTTATCAATTTTGATTTGTTAATATGTGTCAGTACAGATTTAATTTATTGGGTATTTCGTTTATTTTTATAAAAGGTGTATGTAATTGTATAGAGATAAGGATGCATTTTAATCGGAAAAAAATTGTTTGTTGTAATTTAGATAATTCCGCGTAAAATTTGCCTACGTGCGACTGAAGAAAGAGTCCTGTAGCGAAACGTTCATTGGTTTGTCGCGTTGCCATGGTCAGGTAATTGGATGAAAAAATTCGATTTGTTTAACGTGGAAAAGGGGCCTTTTGCCAGTTTCGAGGCCGAGGTGCAATTCGTTAAGAGGCCTTTCATCAAGTTCGAGGCAGAGGTGTGTTTAGAAGACGCGCGTTTCTGAGTTAAAGTTTGGTGGCAAACTACTGCCTTTCGTCATGTAAACAATCTTGTTGTTGGTCAAATAGAATTCAGTATGTGGTAATCAAGAGTACAGTACATTTTGTAAGCTTAATGGTTATTTAAATCTTACAAACACTATTTTAAAATCGATTAGTAATAATTATTTAAAAAATTATAATTTCCTGTGCCCTTTCGCGTATTCCTGAAGTCGCTCTATTTGTATCCCAAACTGACTCCTAAGGTCACGTGTCACGTGATTTTTTCGAGCACTCCGGCCTGTAAGTATTGCATTGCAGACCTCGCTTTTACCTATATTTTTGTTCGCGTGTATTAATTAAAGGGGTCTCTACTTTGCTCGACTTTAGCTTCTTAACAGAACCCCCCCAAAATAATAACCCTCTACAAAACGGCGAGATGGTTCTGTGATCAGAGCTGGGTCGAGCGTTCTAAAAAACCGCTCTAGCGATCTAATTTTCTCAAAAATGCTCACGAGTATCGAGTTGTTTTGCAGAGCTAAACCGCTTGCGATTTCCGAGCACTCCTAAAAGTCTTGAGCGGTTTATCGTGAGTGCTCGGGAGCGAAAAAAAACCGCTCGGGAACGGAAAAAACGCTCGCGAACGGCGCTTAATCCTTCATCGTTTGAGGGCGGTTAAAATCGCTCACGAGCGAAAAAAACGCTCAGGAACGAAAGAAACCGCGAGCGAGCGAAAAAAAGACCTTGTGAGCGAAAAACAACGCTCATTAGCGAGAGGAAAAACCGCTCGTGGGCAGAAAAAACGCCCGAGCGCCGAGCACTTTAAGTAAACGCCCGAGTATCGAGCACCAAGCGGCCACTTGGAGCACTTTTTCGAGCAGAACGCTGGCGGGCGGTACCCTGCTCTGTCTGTGATGGCCCCTTTCGCGTGGTGGCATATCAGTTTGCGTTTTGCCTTAGTATCTTGACTTATTGGATTTGTTACTGTAGGGTGTTTTTTGAGCTGCCTACGTCTACCAAAAATTTCGGTTTACAAGAAATGACCAAACAATTGGAGGACACACTGTATGTAGCACCACCCTCAGTTTCTTATTAATTGATTATTATACAAATATTTCCTCATTAACTTAGGGAAGATCTGAGGTTGATTAAATATGGTCAAAATTATTTTCTGATAATATGCATACCTGTTTGCGAGAGTCCAATTAAATTATAAACTTTTTTGACATGCGGTTCAAAACTGTACAGAGAAGCGTTCCGTTCAATAATGGTTAGCCTACAACAAATGAGAAAAAATTTGTTAACAGTCATTTAACTAAAACTGAATTAGATTGACATTATGACAAATACTAAAAAAATAAACAAAATATAAATAGGACGCACAAGTCAATGATTTAACTTAAACTACCAAATGAGGAGTCTATGAGTTTCAGTAGTTAAATTTAAACATAATTGTTGTGCAAGGAATGCAAGGCATAATTTCATATTAATAAGTCACCTACATTGGCATCTCCGATACATGCGCAAATGATGAATTTAAATATTTATTTTATAATTCAACAACATGGTCACTAATTTTCTAGGTAAAATAGGAACACAACGGAATATCTAAACATTTATAAAATCACAAAATACAATATACCATTTAAATATTATAACAAACAATATTAAAAATATACACAAATTATAACAATTTCTATTTATATATACAATGAGTAATAATATGAAATCGAATATGATCTTCCATGTTGAATGGTGCTAAGAAATGTAGAGCAATACTGTCAAATAGTAGGAAGTGTAAGTCACACGAATCAAGTCTTGTCATAAACGATAAAGAATGTATACTTAAACCGTGGAATCTACAAAGCCAGACTGCAAATGGGTAAAGATCCACTCTAATCTATTTTTGTGGTTTCTTCATTCTAATCACACTAACAAGTTTAGCAAGAGGTATGCTCAGAGGAATGTTTTACACTAGAATTGCACTATTTTCTTTTCGATGTGGTTTCTCAAGCCATGACTGTCTAGTAGACAACTTAACTAGTGACAACAATTAGCTTTTTCTAATTTTAAACACACTCACTATCACACGCTGGGATCAAATGAAAAACTCACTGGTGCAAATACAATTGAGCTCGATCAAGTATTAAAAAAAAAGAAGTACTACAGAAGACCACAATTTTTTCCACATAAACCAAGGGCCGAAAATATTTCACTTGAGAGGTTGGCCCTCAAAAGTTCCAAAATTTGAGTGTCTTTTTTCATTCTTTTTGTGCAACTGTAACGCATTATGAAGATGGAACTAAATTTCTTCTCATTTTCAAAGAGTAAAAAAACTTACAGAAGAGAAGCATACTTTAGGACTTTTAGAGGCTCAGTTCCTCGACGAAACATTTTATATTCTTGGTTTACTTGCGAAGAAATTGAAGAGAACTTAGGGATTACAAAAACCATTCAAAGAAACTGACCAAATACAAAAAAATCCTTCTAGCGATTTTAACAGAAACAAGTTTACATAAAAAAGGGTCTATGTAACCCCATGGAAGCAAAAATGCTATTTGAAAAAATACTCCACATAATGAAAAGTACAGATAGGGTAGATACACTGAGCACACTTACAGAATCGTTTAGAATACTTGCAGAAATTTGCACTCAATATTAATAAATAGCCATGATTCATTTACTAGTTGTGCTACACAAGTTTATATTGACTCCCCTTATGAATATTGCTATGATATACCTAAATCGCAATAATAAATATTTTAACAAGCATCTCCTAAATCCAACGCGCCATCTTCTTCTAACTTGGTGACAAGTTTAATAACACGATGTCCTTCTTCGGTTTGCCTAGCCATGTCGATTAACGCCAATAATTTCCTAATACCAATAAACACTCTGGAAGACACGACAAATATAAGGCAAACGAGAGAGAATACAATGAGACATACCGTTTCCCTTGAACCTGCCGTGCTAACTGATGCATTTCCTGCTTAGAAAAAACTTCAGACTCTTCAAGCATCGCTAGCAAATGTTCAGATTTCGATAAGTTCGGTACATGTAAAACTGCTGTGAACGCCGAAAGCATTTCCATATCTTCTAAAACTTGCCTAAGAGAATGATTGTATAGCATAGGCAGTGAGGAAATAGCCTTACCTTCGACTACTCGTACACAAAACTAGAAGTTTTTTACCCGGCGGCGGCTGTTTCTTGAGTAGCACAAGTAAGGCTTGTAACGTTAGGTTTGAGTATCTAGGACCGATAGGTCCATAATCGAGTAATCTCTCGATATTGTCCACTAAAATGCAGCTAAGCGTAGAGCGATACGCGTCGTCGAAGACCTGAAACGCCCATACAGATCACTCGTTAACGGAAATTTAAAGGTTATACCTTTCGAATGTGTAAACATTTGGCAGTCTCCGTAAATCCGACCATTTCTTCGGGTGAGCATACTTTAATGAACGGAAAATCGGAATCTTTGGCTAACTGAGCGGCGAGAGCCGTCTTTCCCGAATTTGGAGGACCTTCGAGTAGTACTGATACTAAACCTGCAATAAGACTGCTTGTAGAAAATTTACAAAATGGCGGATACCTACCTGAACTTTCTGAGGAACGTGCTTGCTGTATAAACAACCGTCCGTCTTCAAGAAGTGACGTAACAGGAGGGCCCCAATTAAATATGCCCCGCAATAAGAATTGATCTAAAATTTCCAAGGCACTTCCAAATGCCTAAAAAAACGCGTATTCCTTGTTTCGTTAAACAGAATAAGCGCAACTCACCGGTTTAATATCATTGTCCAGGGCGTGAAGAAAATCACCTCTGCACACTAGCAGTTTCTCCATAGCTTCCGGATCTACTTCGACTTTCGAAGCTGCCTTTATTAGACGATTCATGGCAGTCGACTGTGCTGCTCGCACCAAGCCCTCGAGTTCGGCGCCCGAAAAATTTTTAGTTAAAGTGGAAAGTTCCTAAAAAAGTAATTTGTAGTCTTGTAAATTCCCCTTACCATGCTATTACAAACACATATGTTTCATACAAATACAAAAGTGGCACAAACTTCAATTAGTGGTTCTCCTGACCATCTATCAACTAGGTATGCGAGATACCAGAGAAATTCCCATGAGGCTGTTTCCTCCCCAATCCATCCTCTTACATTTAGTAATAATAATAATAATAATAACGTACAGACAAACACTAATCGTTACTTGATTTTAATCCGTGCAATTAGTTAACCAGGCTAGACCTGAGTTCTGACAAGAAACACCGCCCATAATACTAATAATTTATTGGCTTTCATACATGGGAGTTGTTTCAGCACGTCAAAAAACTTAATTTCTGTTACTAGATTTTTAAAATTGTATACATTGTGAAACCTTATGTATAAACATAATTTATTTAGATCGATTTTACGTACCTATGTAATTACAATAATATAATCAATTCAAGCAAAAGAATGCAGTTATACAGAAGTTTTGTTTGCAGCATCATTTTCAATTATAGCAGAGATCAAATATCAACGAAAACAATTTATTTCCAGAATTAAGACTTGCTGCTGTTTGGTCCTTGAAAGACTTATATGTATAAACAAAATAAAAATTGTTTCAAATAAACAAAGTGGCTCAAAATACTTCGTTTGGGAGCTATCTCTCCAAACTTCCCAAAATAACACATAATAAGTATGAAACTAACTGCATTACCATGCATGTATGTAAGTATTTGGGACAGTAGGCATATAAGGCCGACCCTAGACCAATTCAAGGTCACTCCCCACCTGGTGGTGACTTTGGAACGTAAGTCAAATTGCAGTGCCACGTGGTGGTGACCTTGGAAATGAGGTCAGGGTGAAAGTCGCGTGTCACGTGGGTGGTGACCTTAAAAAGTAAGTTGAAGTGAGTCGCGTGCCGCGTGGACGGTGACCTTGGAAAGTAGATTGCGGTAAAGCCCAAAGGACAAAGTGTATAAGCTTGTAGGTCAAGGTGAAGTTCAAGGGGCTCTGCTTTCAAGGTCATTGGAGATCAATAACCCCTTTTTGTAATGTCAACTATTTCAAAAAGTTCAGTGACCTGATTCTTGTCATTCTTATTTCATTTTCAAGGATTAAGAAAATCAGATCTCAAAGTCTTTCCCATACATTTATTGTTGTGCTATTAAAACTTTTAATAGTACAATAATAAACTCGATAATAATGAGGAAGGCTTTGAGATCCGATTTTCTTAATATTTGATATCACTCAACTCCATTTGGAGGAACGATGGATCATGTTCAAAAATTCATTTTCAAGGTCAATGGTCAAGTTCAGTTTCATTTGCTAGGGTTCTCAAAGTACAACGATTTACAATTATTTGCAATGTAATATTCAGAGTCCGCAACTGATTTTAGCCAAAAAATAGAGACTTGGTCTCTATTAACATATTTAAAAATAGAGACCATTTAGAGACCTTCGAGAACCAATTTCCATACAAAATTAAGCAAAAGATATTTATTTTGTAATAGATGAGATACATAAACGGCAATATATCTAAACAAGTATAAATTGTGCACAATTCTTGTGCGGATAAAGCGCATTTTTTTACCCAAATAGCTTTTTTTTTTACATCACCAATGGATATATTTCTCTTAAGACAATCCGTTCTTGAGGTATAAGGGAATAGGTCAAGGAGGAGGGCTGTGGTTGGTAGAAATTAATTCCTTTCTTTTTTTAAATTCTTACAAAATGCGCTAAAAATGTACAGTCAAATTTCTGCGGTTTATCAATTATGAATTATACTTTTTTAACATGCAAAATTTAGAGACTTTATAGAGACCGAATACGAAAAATAGAGACTTTTGGAGACCAGCATTGAAAAAAGGAGACCATTTGCGAACCCTGAATATTCCATTTACCAGATCATCAGAGGTCAATGACCCCATGCCCAACCTGGCCCAGTCCAAGGTCACGCCAGTAACTTTGGAAATTAGCTCAAGGTGAAATTCGTGTGCCACGTGCGCGGTGACCTTCGAAAGTAGGTTGTGGTTAAGCTCAAAGAGCAAGCCGTATTTATAGTTTTTAATTTGTTGGGATTTCAGCCAAGGTCATTAGCACCATGTTTGTGTTCATTCAAGGGCGTCCAAGGTCAATGACTGCATTTCTGTGATGTCGAATTACATTTTTGAGGTCATCCAAAGCCAATAAACCCATCTGTTTGTGGTATCAAATTACATTTTCATCCAAGGTAAATGCACCCTTTTTTTGTGGCGTGAAATTAATGTTGGAAGTGATCCAAGGCCAATGACTTCATTGTTGTGGTTTCAAATTACATTCTCAAGGTCATTCAACAAGAGTTCTGAATTGCTCACTTAAAGGTTCTGCAAAATTCTCATAAACCATTGAAACTTTGATAGGCCTAAAAATTTTCAAAGTCCCCTGTAGTAGCTTAAAGGTCTTAAAAAATGGTTGAAAAACCTTTAAACTTAAACTCTTTTAAAGCTACATAAAACCTTTTAACAGTGCAGCTATTCAAGATCAAATCCCATTATATGCTTTCAAACCCTCTGGAAGACCGTCGACCTCGGCTTCCACTAACTTGAAAACCTTTAGAGATTTATGAAAAAACCACTGCCTATCTATGGAATGTATAGAAGGGCTTTTGGTTATACATGCGACCTGAACCCTCGACTGGTATATTGGCTTTACACTGTAGGGATAAGGCCAATAATACTGTATGATACACTTGTATGGTGGTCTGCCATGCGCAGGGCAACCTACAAGAAGCAGCTAGGAAAGGCACAGACAGACAGACTGTCTGAGAGTCATGAAAACCAAGCCAACTTTGATCATGGGAAACTTCTGGGACTAGTGGACAGATCAAGGCAACAGCCTTAGGCACGGGCGAATCTGGGAGGAAACTCTAGATCCCATGGAGCCTACCTTAGGAATTGCTCCCTCTGTTTTCAGGGACAGGATTAAGGACTGGGTAACCAGTCAATTCTAGGCTCAGTAGCCACAAGCAACTGCACTCTTGACAGTCCAGGGCCTTATCAACAGCGCCCCTTGGTAAAACTGGGCCTTCTAAGCTTCTAAAACTGAATAGACACCAGATTAAGAAGATCACCAATGTTCTTACGGAGCACTGGATAGTCAACTATCACCCGTGCGACATTGGACTTGTAGAAGACCCATGTGCAGATTCTGTGGCAAGGCAGATGAAACTACTGAGCATGTGCTCTGTCACTGTGATGCCTTGATTATAGACAGTTATCTGGAACTAGGGAGGGTGAAGCAAGTTAGGCTAAACAGGGTCCTATACTTTATTGAGATAGTTGCGAAAGAACGGGGGAAGCACAATGGTCCTTTGGTGTGCCTAAGTGCTAACTGGTCGTGCTCCCCTTATGAATAGACTAGCATCTCCTCTAAGCGACAAAGTACAACGATCTACAATTATTTGCTATGTAATATTCCATTTTCAAGATCATCAGAGGTCAATGACCCCATGCCCAACCTGGCTTAGTCCAAGGTCACGCCAGTAACCTTGGAATTAGCTCAAGCCTCTTTAAAAGTTCTTAAAAACCGTTACACATTCTTAAGAACCAATAAAGACTATTATTTGTCGAAGTTGCAGTCTGTATAAAGCAATAGTCTGTGGATGGTCACATCTACCCCTACTCTTTCTTTTAGTTTATAAAATAAAGCCAAATAACATTTTTCCCAATTTGTTTTGTGTTTTATGGTATCACTCATTACATTCGTTTCACCCCCTACCAGTAATAATTTGAAACTAAAAATAATTTCCAGGATTTTCCTGTGATTACGTTTATATACTAAAACTTTATTCGAAATTTCCAATACTACTATGACACATTTGACTCTGTTCCAATGCCATGTTATAAACGCTTCTCTAAGTGATACCTACCCTATTGTCAACATCAGGATCAATCTTTTTAAACTGCTTCATTCGTGCAGTATGAATATTTAGGATCTGAAATCTACCATCTTCACTGGGTAAGCTAATTTCCATTTGTACTTCCAATCGACCAGGTCTTATTAACGCCTCATCAATCATATCTTTTCGATTTGTCATGCCTGCGAGAAAATTTACAGTACATCGACAAGTTCTAGTAAAAACTCACCGATTACTAAAATATTATTAAGTTGTTCAACTCCATCAATTTTGGCTAGCAACTGATTGACGACCGTATCATGCACGCCAGTATTACCAGCTACTGACCCTCTTTGTTTACAGATCGCATCAATTTCATCAAAGATAATAATATGTAAACCACTATTGGGGCCCGCCTAATAAAACGTTGTTACTCAAATCCTAGTTTCAATCTGAAAAACCTACCCGTTTTTCTTCCTCCTCGGCATCAGCGAATAACCGTCTTATATTCGCTTCAGATTCGCCAACATATTTGTCCAAGATTTGTGGGCCGTTAACAATCTTCGGCTCACGCGCATTTAACATTTTCCCTATTTGACGCGCCATTAATGTTTTACCTGTTCCTGGCGGTCCATACAGTAATATACCCTTAACATGCTTACAACCTTAAAAAAACAACACCTATTACCTACACTCTAGCATTGCGTAAAGAATAGAATAGGGAGACGAACTTACGGAGAAAATAAGATATATCAGATTTCGTGGTTCAGGATTTGACAAGAAAGGGGAGGGGATTGTAACACATTCTATCAATTTTTTTTTCTTAATTTTGCTCCTGAAGTTTCATTCCCTTCTGTTAAACGATTGAAATGGTAGGCCAACTAATTTTTATGGTAGGTTCCTCTAATAAAAGCAAACAAGGTGAAAGTACACAAAAACGTATTGCACCTAATATAGATTTTTCCCCAAAATGAGGATATAAACGTAAAATACACCCATTTTCAGAAAATTTGTGCCAAATAACCTTACGCTAGCGAAGTCTTAAAATGCTAAGCATTTTTACCAACCTATATGATGTGATTGACCAAAAAAGAGAGTATCGATATATATTGGTGCATTTCTGAGCCCAATCAAATCTCTTTTCGCTTTGTAGATTTTTCCAACGACACAACATTCTCACAACAATCTGTAACGTCTAAAATCGGCGTGCGCGCGGAAAATTGGAGGGAGAAAGTAGATTGGGAAACAGGCGGTTGCGTTAAGCAAAAAGGAAAGGGAGAAGAGAAAAGTGTGAGAGAGTGTGTTTGTAGCGGAGATTAAAGAAAGGCGTTTAAGAGAAATTGCCAATCGACTGGGGCCCGAGAATTGCATTAGAAGAAATAATAATTGTTGTAATTGGCCGTCCAAAAATTTAACAACGGACCAAGTTAACGCGAGCCGTTTTCCATCTATAGTAAGTAAAAGAAGGGCGTTCGTGTCCATTCCTATACTGCGTAATTTTTAGGGTTTTCTTTACCCCAATGTGCATAGAAGATAGAATGTAGATAGATTTGAAGTAAATCCGAAGCACGGAGAGTGAATACCGAGTCCTTTCGATATTGAACTAATCAGCATCTTTGTCAGCATTCAGCGACCTCCAAATTTAATCAAGAGCCTGCTCCGCCAGCTCGGCTGTACACAATTCCTTTCCGGAAAACCGACAAACAGATAAGAAAGAACGCCCTGTTCATAATTGTTTGTACCTGAGTTATCACCCAATTAACCATCATTCACCTCATTTTATTCACCATTAGTACAGCATAATTCTAACCACCATCAATCGTAACTTTGTGATATAAATCAATTAAGTGTTAGGTTAACTTTATAATCAATAATACGTGTCGATTTATCTGTCGGTTGGCATGTGAGTTAAAGACAGATTGGCGCCCAAAAATTATGTAATAAATTTAAATGAAATTGTAAATATTTGTATCCACGACCCCGCCACCCCCAGGAACTGAGTAGAGCCAGTGGCACCATTAAACTTATTTTTTTTCTAACGTCACAAATCAAGCAAAAAAAATTCTATATGGTAAAACATTAATAAACGGCGTTTGCGAACAAAACGACGGTGATAGGTCCATAAGAACCTATGTATCTAGTTAGCATGTAATAAACCTAACTGTATACAATTTGACCATTGTGCAAAACTTAAGGGTAAACAGCTGTAGGAGGTTGAACAGACGGACGGACAAGATAATAACTATACCTACATACATTGTCAACCCTTTGAAAAAATGAGGTAACAACTAAAATGAATGACCACCTTGTTCCTAAACGCATTCCGAATTTTTAAATTTTGTTGCTTTAGAGCCTAGCTCTATTTTCAAAGCCTCTCAGTAATTAGTAGGCCGTTAAAAAATTATAAACAATTGAAATTATAACAAATTTACTTCAAATAAAAAAAACAAAAACTCAAAAATTGATTCAGCCATTCCTTAATGTTTATAGCAAAATGATGTAGGGCACCATCGGCTGAAACCACGATGTGCACCAGAACATTTTGTAAAAGTAAAAAATGAGTATTTAAAAATTCATAGTAAAGAGCACAATTTAAAATATGTTATTCAAATTGCATTTTTCTAACAAATTAACTTAACTAATCAACAATCAATAACAGAATTGTAAATGCCAATTAACTAAACTGACAGATGTTATTTCATTTTATTTTGTTTTAATATTTTCCAACATGGCTTACTATTCAAATTGATTTATTTAAGTTTACACATTGGTTTAAATGTGAAATTCATTATTTTATCTTTCAAAATGGGCTATGAAAAACAAGAGTTTTTGTTTTTTTTTGTTGGGGGTAAATATTTTATTATTTGAATTGCTGTTTATACTTTTTAATGGCCTATTGATTACTGAGAAGCAAAATCGAAAAACAGTGAATTATTAGAAATTGTCGAATTACAAAAAATAGGCAAGCGATACATACCGACATGCTTATATAGTTAGAAGTTTTTAGCCATTTGGCGTATGTTAGTACATTTCATGATTAGTAATACTGCGGAGTCACGGCCTTCTCAGTTTAATGATAACTGGGATATTCAATTTTTACTGGACATCTACTTTTTGAAAAAATGACGAATTGATGCTAAACGACTCATTTTAAATATCATGTGTACTACATAGTCACACTAAAATTGACCAAGGAATCGAAATAATATGCAGGGGGTTCCATTTTAAAAAATGCAACTTTGATATAAATCACCCTGAATAAAAATTGTAATTTTGTTGAAAATATTTTTGGTTTGTAGCCGTAAGGGTCCCTTAATATGCCTTGACAATTAATTTTAAATATGGGAGTTAATAAACCCACAATCTTCCACCCACCACACCAACAGATGTCAAAATTGCTATTGATCATTAATTTCGTTTGGAAAACGTCCAACAGCATTAACTCTTGCAAGGAATGAATTTTATGCATTTTCCTCAGTCAGTACAGTTAATGTGCACTTTGTCTAAGGGTACAGCAAATTAATTGCACTTTTCAAACATCTTAAAAAACCATAGGCATTGCATTTGAAAAATAAAAGTTCCATCGATTTCCGATTAAACTGAAAGTTTCAATATGCGATCGGGCAGATTGTAATGTCACATATCAAATTATATTTGACAAATTTTTCGTATCTCTTCAAATAAAAGAGATATTGAGGTGTCCCCCTTATATCGAACACATTGTATTTTGAAGTTTTTGAAAAGAAACGTAAAATTGACTAAATTTATATGTATCACCATACTTTGCTTTGCCAAACGTATGTAGAGGTTCTCCCACTGTTCTATTCTTTACACTAGTTTCGCATGGTACCTAATTGTTCGACAATTTCCGGTGGAAAGACTCTGGAGGCGAATGCTCGTCTAAATATCGCATTGAACTCTTTATCCAAGCCACCGATTCCCATTTTCTGAAAATCCCAATCAGGATTGATGATTGACTGGCGAGGTTGCTTTCTAAAGAATGAAAGATCAGGACTTATTGCCAACAGAAAATAACCCACCCTTTAGATTTTCCGACTAAATTCAAGGAAGAGCTCTCGGCTTTCTCAAACTGAACGACAGTATCGGGGAGGAGACGTCCCATCTTGGTTTTGCGAGGTTTCGCATCTCTGCCTTGTTTCAAAGCATTTAGATCGACAGCTAAAAGTCAAAGTCAACATTTTGAATTGAAAGGGGCACAGAATCACCTTCTAAATCTTTAACGACCAAGAGTAGTAACCGTTTGTCTTTAAATGCAAATGCGAATTGCTGGCCAACAGTGAAAGCTTGAGCGGCGAATGTGTACAAAAATTCGCGAGCCATCTCATCGGTGTCATACTGCTCTTGTGTAGTGCTAAAAATGATAAGCGCATGCAAGATCAACCAATTTATTTCTCTACATACGTTTTTTTCTGCATAAAGTCTGCTTCGAGTATAATGGTGCAAAGGCAATCTGTACTGCCGGAAGGGCTGAAGTAGTGTGGTTTAACATCAATGTCTTGGTTAAGAGATAAGACAGCCCATTTTCTTTGTGGCAAACTGAAACCGACATTCTTGCTCGGTATACTAGGATGAGATTTCACGGAGAACACAAAGTGCTGACCTCCTCCCGTGTTCACATCAATGTACCTGCGAAACTTGCGAGTAGTATCGCCCCAATTACAATAAGCCTTACTTTACGTCAGGAGGAAAGTCGTTGGCATTTATAATAGCACAATTCGTTAATGACAATTCATCTGTGGGACATTTGGTCGCTTTGAATGACTGAAAATGCAACAGTATTAATGTTATGTCAACTCAGCTGTTGAATCAACCATTTCTGTTGATTTATTACACGTGGAATTTACACACACATACAACTGCAATGCAGAAATCCTTGAACTATGCGAAAATCAATACAATTGCAGCCTTCAGTACAAAGTATACATAAATTAGAAACTTAACCTTACTTTTTAAATCTTGCGCATCCTACAACTGTCAGTGTCTTTTCACATCGGCAACATTGCAATTCGATTTACACGTTACAGGGTGTTTGCGAAAGACTGTAATGGCCTTTGCCATTGTTCAAACAATGCCTTTGCCATAATCAAAAGTAATGGGTATCCACACTTCCAAGCTTTCCTCTTTAGACAATTAGAAAACGTATAAAGTGTACTATAAGTCAAATTCTATTTTGTGACAACAAAAACTCCGATAAATCAGATTTGTATGGCTTTGTAATGCACTTAAGGTCCATATCATCATCACGTCTTAAGTTTTCTGTTTCTCACTTTTTTACAAATCAACGCATCATGCAATTATTCCTTTTCTATGAAGGCGTGGACATGATAAACAACCACTGGTGTATTATAGTCTCTTTACCGTTCACAGACTTGTACAGTCATGACATTCCTTTTGTTATTTTAAATGTGCTTCATTATGGATCTGCAAGTCATGCAGAATACTTTTTTAATAAAATGTAAGATAACTTTTTGGGACACATTCAAAGGTTGGAGAGTTTAAATAAGGATCAGGGAAAGATAAAAATAGATATATGTTGTGATTATTTACACACCAATTGTAAAAGTTGGTCCTGTATGGAGTAGGTATTCCATTCAGATGTGGAGCTCGAAGCCTTTCGTTGTAATTCACATTTGACAGAAAACCGCCCACATACAAATATCACTTAAAAACCAAAAAAATGTACATATACATGATGTAATTTTTTTGTCACTCCTCAGCGTTATGAAGAGGCAAAGGTATGACGAAACGTTTGTACAAACTATGTCAAGGTTTAAGATACGAAATTCTCTCTAGGTAAAAAAATAAAGGAACAGATAATTTGTAGAATGTATTTTAAAAAATGACCTTAAGACTAACTTTTCAGTATGAAATACTAATACACTTTCGTACCAATACCTAGGTCCTAAACATATCAGTCAACAACAACGTAAAGTACGAAAAAACACATCAGCCCCACTTGAAACTTTTCACTGGCGTCTATAATTCATCGCGTTCGGGTTCCTAAAATAGCAAAAATTATTTAACAATCCACACGATCACCAAGTAACAGTACCTGTTCTGCGGGTGCAGGGGATGCTTCTGCGTCGCCTCCCTCGCCTTTCTCTGCCGCTTCTGTCTCCGCAGCCTCTTTCTCCGCGGCCTCTTTCTCTGCCTCCGCCTTTTCCGCTGCGGCCTTCTCTTCCGCTTCTTTCACCTCCGTCTCTTTCTCATTTAATTCCTTCAAAAGCGACATTGCCGCTTTCGCGTATTCCAGATCGTCAGTTATTAAAATGTCATCGAAAATCGTTCCCGACTTCACCTGCCACAAGTCCAAACCGACGGCACAGATTTCCCCTCTTTTATACAGATTGGGGTTGGGTGCGTATTCCGGATTGTCGATTTCGGGATGCACCCACTCACCTTTGTAGTCAGGGTTGTCAATTTGCTTAGGAGACCATTCGCCTTTGTAATCCGGGTTAGCGATTATCGGACGTTCCCATTCGCCGTCCATTTCGTCATCCCAATCGTCCGGTTTCGTTGCCTTCATGTCGACGATGTCCGCTGGTTGATCCCAGTCTTCCGGTTTTGTGTCATTGGGATCGGGTATCTGGGCCTCGTCGACCCAATCTTCGGGTTTCGACACAGCGGGATCTTTAATTTTCTTTGGAGGGATGAGTTCCCAATCCTCTTCCAGTTCCCCGCTTTCCACCTTCTCTCCATCGATTAGTACTTCATATGTGTTATCAGGTTTAATAACCCACGTGTAGAAGTGTGTGAGAACATCACTTTTACATTCGATTTCTTTTTTAATTAAATTATTTTTGTTGTCATAATTTATAATTGCGTGCACCTTCTTACTGCCTCCGCAAATGTCTGGACCAAACATGAGAAGGTATGGAGATTCACCATGCATGTCCTTTTGATTAAGATTGCAGTCAAATACCTTCAAGTATCCTCCACCGCAATCGATATTTTGTTCATGCTTTACGGATAATTGAATAACTAAGTCTTTACCTTCTACCTTGAATGCTTTAAACTTTCTACTAAGTGCATAGAATTTTGCATCCTCTGATGTTTTCAAACCCTTATTTAGCTTTTCATCTACATACACTTTCCCTGCTGACAGTATAAATTTGCCAAACTCCTTGTCTGGATGTTCGCTGTATATCCAATTTTTTTCCCATGAATCTAAATTATAATTTGCGTTAAAACTCAGTTATTCCAAGCTCTTTACAATCTTACCATCCAAAAATTTCTCTTCAAAATACACTTTAGCCGAACAAACGTGTAATAAACATAAGACCGCGCTTATTAGAAAATACCGCCTCATTTTTACACACTAGGCACTATCGGGACAATACAGCACAGAGACGTTCTCTCAGTATTTATATGTCCTATACACATGTAAAACCAGGATAACGCCACCACTTGATGTTTGGCATTACTTCTACCCCTGCCAAATGGAACAATTTCATTGGCTCGCATATATCTACAAAACACTTTACCTCAATTGTTATTTATGCAACTTTTAAGCAGGTACCTACATCAGATCGCATAATCAGTATTCTTAGGACATTCGGTGTACATATGGCAATTTTTGATTGGCTTAGCATATAGTGGCGGGAATAATTCATATAAATGTAAGTATTTTAAAACAAATACCTACGAAGTGATTTTTTATTGGATCGCTGTAAGTAGGCACTTATCTACCTACTTGTTTGTTCACATTCAGAATGTTTACTTTAAATTACGATTAAACGATAACCAACATTTTTAAATGCTAACAGGAAACTTAAAATAGATTGCTTGTGCCAGGTATAATATGTGATTATAGGTCACAAGAGAAAAACAAAATTTTAAACTTTCCCATTTGTGTCTTTCCGGTTTCGGCAAAGTAGATACATATTACTCCCTGTGTATTATAACGGTCGAAATTTATCCACTTACCTAAAATATGTTTTGGTCAATAGTGTAAAACATTTGTAATTTCTGTTACAAATTTGTCACTCAATGAGAGGAGCACAAACATATCCGTTAGGTATATGATGTTTTGTATACTCTGCCATTTCTCACCTACAATGCAATCCTTGTCCTTTTCTCTGCACCATTGACCATTTCAAATGAACTTGGGAACAATCATGCCCTAAAAAGTATCACGTGTCCCACACGTCATTTCAAAATGTTTGCCACTAAGGAGAAGGAGGCTCACCAGAATGGACTTGGTTTGAAAAAATTATCAAAGTCCTCGTGTGAGATCGAAGGGACTTCAGCGCATTTTTGTGTGGCAGATCAGTATTCTATTAGCCACTTTCGACTCAACCATCAATAACAGATCTTGTCGAAGGCTACTACATTCACTAACCGTTTCCCACTTTCCGCGTGCACCCGCAATTCGCTTTTAAAGTTAAAATCGTGTCGGGGGCTACCACATTCCCTTTGACGGTAGCCACTTCCGACGTCCCGTTCACCCGCAATTCGCTTCTATTGGCGACACGAGAGACAGCGATTCGAGATTTACGAAACGTTGAACCGCGTGAGTTCGCAACGGAAGGTAAAAGGCGCCCGAAGTTGACTACTTCTCGAAGACGCGCGCGCGCGCCTCGCAAAAGGTCGTTAATTTCACCCCTAGGACAAAAAACAAAATTCCGCCACGCAGGAGCTGTGCGCGTTTACAACATCTTTCCGACGACACCAATTTGAAAAGAATCGGACCAAAACTGTAGTAGAAGATAGGAAAAAACTGAAAAACCTTCACGTTAGTATACTACGCTCGAGGATGACGCCCAGATGTCGCCAACCCCACATCATGTAGCCATGTCCCTAAGGTTGACAAATTTCACGGCCTTGTAGATACACGTACACCCGGTGCCTTTCTACAAGAGTTCTTCTACGCGCCCACATTTGCAGCCAGCCAGCCAGCCAGCCAAAGTGAGATTAAAAGCTACTTTTTACAAATAAATTTGCAAAAATGCGCTAAAAATGATGGCATATCGATCATAAGTACATGAAAAAAGTACATGAAAAATACAAGGCAGGTATATGCAGGGTGGTGCTTAGCGCAACGCAGCATAGGGATTTCAAGGGTAATTTCTTTATAGTCAATTACTAGCTCCCCTAATTATTTTAGAGCAAGTCTAAATACGTTTTTTTTAAAGAAAAAAATACCGCATCTGTTCATACTATTATAGTTATAATTTAATTTTCCATTTTTCAAAACCGTAGAAATCAACAAAATAAAAAATTACATTGTTATAAATCAGTGATGCTTTGGAATTTTTCAACAAACGAGAAGCGCATCGCATTTAAGTTATCGTTGTTTGACGTCGAACGATTTTCATATTTAATTCTGTTTCAACTAACCGACGCAATAAAAGGCATCTATGGGGTAATGTTTTTTTAGAAAATGTAATATGCTGCATCTGCATCAGATACTATTTGTGTATCATTTTCCGGAACCAGAGTACATAATCGAAGAAAAATTGATTTGAGGAAGAATTGTTCTTAAACTTATATTCGGATTTTCCGCTACTGCAGCCAAAACGATGAATATATTGTTGTTTTCTTGATGGTTTTGACGGACATTTTGAACATTATTGCACTTGCAGTTATTTAACTAATTTGTAAACAAGTATAAATTTAAATTTAATCATTGATCATTGCGCTAGGCATCACCCGGTATATACAAAGATGTGATGAAAAATTTAGTACATGAGAAAGGTAAATAATCATCATTTACTAACATTAAATATGGACATCAAGTATTTGTTTCTTTTTAACATCGCCCATTAACAATATGTCGATTAGTTTTTCCTACAAGATTTTTTGTATGTTGCGTGGTTTAAATTTACAAAAAAGTACGAGCAGTCATAAAATATTTTCATATCAAACAATCGACGCCAATGGAAATCAAAATCGATTAGTTTCTAAATTGGACAATTCATCTCCTTCAGTCCCAACTGGCAAATCGAGGCCAGCGTGGTCGAAGCAACATAGAAAATGCAGCACAATCGGTAATGCGAACGTCAGTTTGCACTGAAGAAATTGTGTAAAAAGTACGCCAAATTGTGTTGCATGTGAAAAATCACAAATCACAATAGGTACATTCCAATAGGCCATATAGCTGTTTTCTGTACTACAAGCATCTATGGTTAAAATTTTAAAAAATGTCTCCGTAAAAAACGTTAGCATTGCGCAGTGTGCCTGCACACACCCGATTTTACAATACGGGTGCAAGGGGATTTGTGAGATTTGTCGCGCTTTCTTCCATAAGCGTTAGGCTTCTTATAGTGTTTTTATTCAATGCTACTACCTAATACTATGGTTAAAATTTCAAAAAATATATCTACCAATAAAAAAGTTACCATTGTGCAGCCTGCGCATGCGCACATTAATCGTCAAAAGTTTTCTTGGTTGATGTGCCAGAGTTATAAGCTACCGAATGCCAAAAAAAAACAATCGAACAAAATATATTGAAAACTGTACAAAACCAAATTAATTTTAATTAGAAATTACAATTATTAAATATGTTGCGTTGTGACGTTAAAACAAAATCTAAAATCGATAGGCAGCAAAAATTTAAAAAAGGGAGAACGGCACGCGGTGTTCCCAAGCGGTCACCCATCCAAGTACTGACCGCGCCCGACGTTGTTTAACTGCGGTGATCAGACGAGAACCGGTGTTTTCAACGTGGTGTGGGCGTTGTCGAAAAATACAGTGTTATATATGAAACAATTATAGAATCTTTTCTTAAAAGAAACGCACATGAAAAGGATGTAAACGCGCCAGGAGTTAGTGGATTTGGGCAGGGGCGGACTGGCCCGGGGGGGGGGGGGGGCGATTACCACCTGGCCTGTAGATCAGGTGGAAATTTATAAGTATGTACTGTATTAGCATTAATGTAAGTTTCTTGCATTATTAATAAATTATTAACACTCTCATTGGGGTTGAAGTTAGGTTGATCATTGATAAAATTCTGTTTTTATGTAAGTGTTTAAATGAAGTTGTTGTGGTGCAGTGCCCCCTCCCCCCCAAATTCATTACACACATACTTTAATGGCTCGTAACCTATGCAATTCCACCTGGCCCGTAAGTATTCAGCCCGCCCCTGGCTTTGGGCACACAAAAAGTCGCATGGTTCAAGAATGCAGTAGAAGAGAATCGATACTACCGCAATTACGATCGATTGCAGTGAAAATTCTCTAGATCAAGTGAAATTTGTCAATCAAAAGTGGTGGAGCATATATAGGACCGTCAATTTTAAGAATTGAATTACAGAATATCTAAACAAACAATAGACAACATAAATGTAAACAAATTCTTTAGTCACCAAGGCGGGAAACCATAGCGGTTAGTGACGCCGCGTGCGTCAGGCAGAAACTGACCTTCAAAATGCGCACTTCGTCAATGCCGATAGTTAAAAAACAACTTTCAATAAAGAAAATGTGCCCTTTGCAGCGAGAAGCTGTAGCATTTATTATAACAGCGCGATTTTTTTGGCGCGTTCTCTTGGGGATCCCAAAAATAAACGTATGAGTCACCATTCAATTCAACTGAATTTGGGACATGTTTATTGCAATAATTTATTTGTACAGCACGTAAAAATGTTCCTATTAATTAACCTTTTTCGATACAAAACAATCAATATACTTTTGAGATTTTTCTATCAGATCTTAGTACGCACAAGTCTTAACATAATCAGTCAAATAAACGATGTACACTAGTAACAAAACACTGCACACTATTATATAAAAAATTGTCTCTCGCGCCCAACCTCTCTATAATTCATCATGATCTGGTTCCTGAAACAGAAAAATGATTAGTTGAAAATTCCACTGACTAAATGTTAGTAACATACCTCTACTTGTGGCACGTGGGGTTCCTCAGACTCTGTCTCGTCATCATCATCGTCGTCATCCTCAGTATCATCCTTCTTTTCATCTACAGCTGCCGCCTCCTGCTCGGCCTTATCTTGCTCCTCCTTCATCGCCTTCTCTTTGTCCTGCATTTCCTTCAAGTTGGCGATGGCGGATTTCGCATAATCAACATCATCGGTAATTAAGATGTCGTCGAAGATTGTTCCAGACTTCACCTGCCACAAGTCCAAGCCTACCGCACAAACCTCGCCTCGGTGGTATAGATTGGAATCGGGTGTGTATTCGGGATTGTCGATTTCGGGATGCACCCAGTTACCCTTGTAGTTCGGGTTATCGATCTGTTTCGGCGCCCACTCGCCCTTGTAGTCGGGGTTATCGATCTGTGGAGGTTCCCATTCGCCGTCCATTTCGTCGTCCCAATCGTCGGGCTTGGTCGCGTCGGGATCGGCGATGTGCTCGGGCTTGTCCCAGTCCTCCGGTTTGGTGTCGTCCGGATCGGGAATTGTCGCTCTGTCGTCCCAATCTTCGGGTTTCTTTGCCTCGGGGTCTTTGATTTTCTTAGGCGCAAGTAGATCCCAGTCGGCTTCTAATTCGCCGCTTTCGGCTTTCTCTCCGTCGATTTGTACTTCGTAGGTGTTGTCGGGTTTGATGATTAGTGTGTAGACGTGCGTGTAAACGTCGTCCTTGCACCGAATGTCTTTGTTAATGAGGACATTTTTATCTTTGTAATTGAGAATCACGTGGACTTTTTTAGTGCCGGGACCGCAAATGTCTGGACCGAACATGACAAGGTAAGGAGACTCGCCGTGCATACCTTTTTGGTCGAGTTTGCAGTCGAATACTTTAAGGTAACCGCCTCCGCAGTCGATATTCTGCTCGTGTTTCACAGAAAACTGAACAACTAAGTTTTTACCTTCGGTGTTGAGTGGCTTAAACTTTCTACTAATTGCATAGAATCTTGCATCCTGTGACGTTTGTAAACCTTTACTTTCCTTTTCATCCCCGTAGAATTTCCCGGCAGTTAGCACAAACTTTCCGAATTCCTTGTCGGGGTGTTCGCTGTACACCCAATTTTTCTCCCAGGAATCTAAAACCACTTGCGTTAAGCGCGCTGCCGGTTAAACGTTGGGACAACTTACCATCTAAGAATTTTTCTTCTAAGTATACTTCGGCGGAACAAACGTACATTAAACTTATAATCGCGCTTATTAAAACACACCACCTCATTTTGAAAATTTAATATAAAACGAACTTAAACTTTTAAACGCCACGAGTACCGCAGAATATTTCTCAAACGAATGACATGAACCTTGATGTATATACAGAGGACGTGTTCACGGAAGAAAGCGCTGGCAGTACTTTCCCATATGATATATACGCATTAGACAAAGATAAAATTACGACCTATCGTTCGTTATTAATTTTACCCACGACAGATGGAAGAATCTGATTGGTGCTTATAAATTATACAAGCACTAAACAGAACATACTTTCATCTCCCATCTCTTACACTTCACCTCACTTTCCCGACGTCACTCCGCAAATTAATAGCGACTATTAAACCGTGCAATGTACAGATGGAGGTTTTTGATTGGCCAACCTATAAGCGCGATTATCGTGGCGGGTTTGTTTAAATTTTACCTTCAGATAAGCTAACGATAACAGGTACAACATTCCCTAATTAAATCGCTCTACTTGTTACCTCATAAGTAATTATGATTCAATTTAAAATAAAAACGTAAACAAAAACCAACTTAGTAGTAGAGCTTCAATAGAAGGAAAGTAAAAAAAAATGAATACAAAGGAAACTTGTTCGCCTACATTCAAATGAAAGTAAAAGTGCAGTTGCACCAAAGTTAGCGGGCAAGTTCACTTTTAGACTAATTATAATGTAGATTAACCCAAGAACACATCGATATTACATAGAGGTAATTATCAAACCCAGCTTTATTTATAAAACCACCTTTCGACATACTAATTAGAAAAAAATATATATCATCGGCAACCAGTTTACCTTGAGCTTGCAATGGCATAAAATGATTCAAGACAACCTTTTGTGGTTTCTTTCTAATACTATTTTAGTTAGTATCCTTAAAATTTGATACAACTGCAATGAAAAACCGAAATCACAGTTTAATACCTTGTTTAGAGCGTGAGCGTTCGGTTTAAGTGCGGGAAAAATGTCAACGGTCACAGATAGAAAAATTAAAGATGTGCGCGATATTTGGGGAAGCAAAGAAGATAAGGAGAATCCCAGGCCGTCAGTCGACAATTTGTGTCAAGATCATAGCAGTAAGCACAAGTACAAAACTTTAGAGAGGCATCTCAGTATGAAGAAGACAATTCGAAGGAAAATGATGAGAGATCTTCGGGAAATAGGGGATTCCTCGAATGATAATGACAATAATCAATCCGATCAGGGTTTCCTGGAGCAGATAAAAGCCGATCAGCCACCACCTGCCAATATCGACAAGCCCAGCTTCTGGAAGCGACTAACAAAGGGATGGGGACATTCTTAATTTGGATCTCGTGTGTCAGGTGAAGTGGGTTTTCGTTAGCTTTAATTAGCAGTAAGCGCGTTCTGTTCCTAATTTTGCCATATTCTTGTGACCAATGTAAAAATATAAGGCAATCAAAAATTCGTTACCATTAAATCTCATACCTACTTGCCTACCTGCCTGTTACAATCTTGTGATAAAGCGATGTATATATTCTAAGTTCCTTATTGGTAGGTTTCATGCTCTATGTTGTGCTTATGTTTCATTTTATAATATATAAACCTATAATAGTGTTATCAAGCAAGAATTTTATATAGTTGTTGCTGTTTCATTTTTCAGAATTGTTTCTTCTGTTTTCAAAGATTAGTTTAAGTCGTTTTTTAACATAATAAAGATTATCTTTGTAATTTCTGTTTTACATATAACATTACCACAGTTTTGTAAAGAGTTTGTGGAATTGTTTTATGTTGGGTTTTACCCAAGTAGCACAAGAATTACATTGTCCAGTTGCTAGGGTCGCTATACCTTCAGATACACTGTGCTCTTGAACTGACATTGAACAACGTATTAGGGATCACATATATCCTTCCACCGATTCAAGTCTTACTCACTAAGTACTTATAAAAAACCTTACATGTAAACTTATAAAAACCAAAAAACAAGATATTTTCGTTTGTTTATAATGAAGGCCCTAACATGTTTGAAACCTTTGATATAGATATATGGGTTATATGGTTGTAAAGAGGCTGTTTCGACCCTTTACCGAAAGGACCGCATGTAAATGATAAGAGAACTGTAAACATATAAAAATAGAGGACAAGTCAACGATTGCAAGGAATGCTATTATGACCCTAAGGGAGGTTTGTCGAGAATGTGGGAGAATATTCTGCTTGTTTTAAAAATCTTTTGAAAGAAACCATAGGTATAGGAAATTATTAATGAAGATTAAAACATTAATGAATAAGTTAAATGATGACACACAAATATTAAATTTTGTAACTTTAATAATAATAATGTTTATTGCAATACCAATGTATTACAAAAGGTTACAGGTTCGCCTTTACCACCCAACCTAAGTTTGGACCCTTATGGAAAACGCCCTGTAAATAAACTTTTAAATATTGGGTGGAAAACATGTTCATCAAAGTTTAATTAAATTCGACACAAATGGGGAAGCCTACTGATATCAAAACTTAAGAAGGCAAAAATTTCCAAATGAGATTTTTTTATTATAATTGGAATTTTCTTTGAAACTATACGTTTTGCGTTGGTTTTACATACACGGTGTCCATTTTTCGAGTGCCACTATGGGGATCTCGCTTATCTTAAGATAGACACTTGGTTAAATTAAGGCAAAGTTGCGAATTTTAGTGCTGAATAATAATTTAAAAAGAAATTTATAATATCTTCAATAGTTTTGAAAATATGGCAAAAAATCGAAAATTTATGATTTTCATTTTTAACTTTTTCATGGTAAACCAATTGTACTAGACATTTCTAATTAACACATTATTCAGACATTTTTTAATGGAGATTTCGAATATGGCATCCCGTTTTTAATAACTTTCAAGATAACGGAGAAACACGTGGCAACTTTAGTTTTTTTTATGGGCACCGTTTTGGATTTTAACATTTTGAGATTAGGTCTTTTTTTCTCTTTACAACGATATATCACACAGTATCACATTTTTTCTAAAAATACAATTTTCATTTTATGCGAAGAGTGCTATGCAAAAACAAAACGTTCTTTTGTTGTGAACAAAATGTTGACCTATTTCAAGCAGTGTCATTTACGTTTGTGCTAGTTTTATTGCTAAAATATTATGTATTCTTATGTATTTTGTTCTATTTTGAATTATAATTTTCTTGCAAAGCGAATGTTCAATTCTGTTCATATGAAAACGAAAATACATCTAGTTCCCTGATACCAACGCTGCAACCGGACATATGCATCAAACTGTCACAATAAAAGAACGTTTTGTTTTTCCAAAGCACTCTTCCCAAAAAATTAAAAATTGAATTTTAGGAAAAATGTGATACTGAACCACCATGTGTGATATATCGTCGTAAAGAGAAAAAAAGACGTAATCTTAAAATCTCAAAATTAAAAATGGCGCCCATAAGAAAAACTAAAGTTGCCACGTGTTTCTCTGTCATCTTAAAAGTTATTTAAACCGAGATGTCACATTCGAAATCTCCATTGAAAAGTGTTCGAATAATGTGTTAATTAGAAATGTCTAGCACGACTAGTTTATCATGAAAAAATTAAAAACGAAAATCATAAAGTTTCGTTTTTTTGTGATATTTTCAGAACTATTGATGATATTTCAAATTTCTTTTTAAATGGTTATTCAGCAAGAAAATTCGCAACTTTGCCCCCATTTAACCAACTTTCTATCTCTTACAGTAAGCGAGATCCCCATAGTGGCACTCAAAAAATGGAAACCGTGTATATTAAAAAAGACCTAGAATTTCCGTATAATCCACACCCTTAATATTTGTCTTGACAGTTTTCCTTAGTATTTTTACCTGATTGAATTTTTGTTTGAACTCTACGTTAATTTTGGTTCGAATTTGTGATCACTTTTCCTTTGATAAATTTAATTCAAAACAAAATTACCTTATTATTTAAAAAAATGTGCTGCTTTGCACCGTAATCTCCAATCCAAACAATGGGAGAATCTTGTAATCCCGTTTATAATAGCCTAACTCGCTACATTTATTTGTAATATTTTAGGACAAACGTCTTCAACTTATCGCCACTCCCACCGCCCTTACCGTTACCATTCCCTTGCTTGGGTTTATTTTGACTGGCAAAATAGGCATCATCTTCAGCAGAACTATTTGAGAAGCTTCTATATATAATTCAGCCGCTGCTCAACAACACGTAACCTCTCCCTAAGATTAGTTTAGCGTTTTCCGATCGAATCCACAGATTCCTTTCCTCTTATACTAAAAAAATTATTGAAAAGGCGATCTTGCCTTTGCTGCGATCCCTGGTTATAAACTGAATGCAATTTGTCCTACAGTTCCTTGCTAGTCGTAGACATATTTATCAATCGGCTTACCTGAGTTGACAAACTCATGACAATAATATTCTGAGCTATAAATTCAAGTTTCTTGTAGGCTTCCTTCTTACCATCCATACAATACGCCAATGGGTGTAGTCAGTTCACTAGATTGCGTTGCCTTACTTTCCACTATGTCTGTGGCCATTTATATTCAAATGAATTTCCAATTAACCCAATTGGAATGTATCTATCAAAACTCCCAAAACTTCCATGACAAATATAAAAATAACCCAGACGATAGTAACTAAGTTCTCCTACTAAAACTACGCACACGACTCACTTTTGTTACGATCGTTCATAACGAAGTTCCAACAAAAATTAATTACGCGCAATACTGGGCCCATAACCTGATGAGATCTGTGGTTAAATCAATAAAGACGAATGGTAAACAGTTGCAAAATATAATTTAACATGGCAAAGCAACCAAGATTGCTTAATGAAGCAGCTCAGGTTGAAGTTCTTGGCCAATTTGCCATAAGTCCCTCAATGTCAACATTTAGTTTTTTTTTGTTACTTATTAAATTTTTGTTAAATTGTCTTAATGAATATTGGCTTTATTGGTACCACTGGAAAGCCTTTTTCAGTAGCTTTCCAACGATGTGTCACAAGTATGGGGTTGCCATTTAGGATTTTGGAAGAGGGGGGGCTGGGGGGGGGGTTAAGGGGTTGTCACTCATAACGTCATTCTGGTTCCCCCTTGATACCCCGAAACGGTTTTGCGTGATTTTCAATATCTTCTTTAGTTTGGAAAACATGGCCGACTGCAAGTTTTAAAATTGACACCTCGTATGTGTGGATGCGCCGATATTACATTATCACTTCTTGTTTTATTTGTGTACTTTGTTTAATCCTTCCATCTACCTATATTCACATAATTATTTGTGAAACAGAACGTAGTAGGCTTGTCGTCATATTTCATTAAGTGGATCACGCGCCCTCGAACTCTAAACCTTCCTTGGAGTTCACTTAATTTAGAGTGAAGCTTTTGTATCCTCCATTGAAAATCTAAATAGCATTAAATAATGATCCATGTTTTAAGCAAATCGTCATCAAGTGTTGCCCTGGATCAAGAAATTCCAAACAATTGAAAATCTATCTTTAATATATTAAAAGGCGAACATGAATTTTTTCACAAATGTCATTCACCAAATTCCACTGACTAGACAACACCCTAAGAACCAAATTGCTCCGAATACTCTTCAATGGGCTTAAAGCTATAACCACCACGACCGTCCAAGTACAATGCATACTCGTGATGTTGCCAAAGAGATTTTCTATGTGACACTGTAAGTAGCGTAATTCCAACTTCTTTACAATAACTGTACATGCTCTCCTCGACGTCCAAGGAAACTGCACTCGTACATTCGTCTAAAATGGCAAATTCTGGAGCATGATAGAATAGCCTGGCCATTGCGATTCTTTGCTTTTCTCCCCCACTTAAGATTTCCAACCAATCAGCAACAGCATCGAGTCCACCTTCTCTGTCGACCAAGTACTCCAGCTGCACCATTTTTAAGTGATTTTCAAGCTGCTCGTCAGTCACTCCACGCCTAAGTGCCTCACTTCCACAGTGGGGATACGTAATTTGATCACGCAACGAACCCAACGTCATGTAGGGCTTTTGAGGGATGTAAAATAGTTTGCCTCTGGGTGGTTTCGTCAATGTGCCGCCGAAAAGGGGCCAAAGCTCTCCTAGAATCCGAAACACGGAACTTTTACCCGCGCCGTTCGGACCGCACACTAACACGTTCATACCAGACTTTATCTCCACAGACAGCTCTTTTATGAGAATATCGCCGTTTGGAGTCACCACCGGTACTTGATCGAATTTAATTGTGTTATTTTGGAAGATGATGTGCCCACTGTACGGTTTTAACGATTCCGAACCAGGCACCATATCCCTCTGATACTTGCCCTCATTCAAGTCGTTAATTACTTTCCTCAGTTCGGTAACGCGACTGGTATAACCAGCCAATTTTGACAACTCGCGTCCCGCCAGAATAAGACGTCCGATCGCCTGACCGAGTCGCACGATCATTGTACCGTTTTCGTAATAAAACTTCGATCTATCAGCAACGTGCAATCTACGTAGATCTTCACGGTCGGACATGAATGGTATGGACATTGAAAGAAATCCAACGCTGATTGCGAAGTATTTTGCAACTATGTTCTCGACAAATCCCATCACAATTTGAAACCGAAGAAATTTCCTAATGTGCCCCATTAATTTGTTGAAGCTGGTGAGCACGGTTAACTTCTCCTTTTCGTTGCCATGATAAAACGCGATTTCTTCCGAATATGTGATAATTCGTGCGTTTACGTGCCTAAATTCGCCCTCTAATTTTTGCTCATTTGACGTAAAATAACTGACTGGTTTTCTTAGATAAGTCAAAAAAACGCCGGCGAATATTAAATACCCGCACATCAGTCCGATGGTACCGAATCCCATATTTGTATTAAGTTTAAAAATATACAGGAGGATGTCAAGTATCGGTTTTGACGTGTTGCAGTATAACTCGGCTACACTCTCGCAAAATTTGTCAATATCGGTTGTTAATAGCTGATCTGCGTTAGCTACTCGATTGTCTAAATTAGACATGTGATAGTAAGTGAATTTTCTGAGATAATCGTCGTATAATCGACGCGTTACATTTGCCCTCAGTCGAATCTTCAGTTCTCCAACTGTAAACTTTAGCATGTTGTTAATCACTGATATCACTGGAAGATAAACTGCATATTCGGCCAGTGTGGTCATAAATCGACTTTTATCCATGCACACGATGGCACTAAAAGCAGAAGTTATTATTTTTTTGGTGAAGTTAAAAATTAAATGTGTTGTGAGTTGTGGATGCGAAAAGCTTTCTCTTCTAGAAAATGATGCTACACTCATATTTAATGAAAAAGTGCCACTATATAATTGATTTCGGTACAAACTTTACATTAAATACATCTACCACTGGAAAAATACAGTTGTAGAAGTTAAACGTAACCCTGTAAGACGGTCCACCATGGCATTGTCACCTACAGTGACTCTATACAAGACAGTAGCGACAAGGGGAGTCTCATTTTTGATTGGTTGCTGAATCACATGGTACGCGGCAGCCTACAGTGACTCTATACAAGACAGTAGCGACAAGGGGAGTCTCATTTTTGATTGGTTGCTGAATCACATGGTACGCGGCAGCCATTGTGTGGCAAACTTTCAAATTATTTACTTATTACTGTTACTGTCACTGTAATGCCATAAGTAAATAATGTGAAAGTTTGCCACAAAATGGCTGCCGTTGCACGTTGCAATTAATAAAGAAACACGACTTAAAAAACAATCCAGAGTAAGTACATGACATTACTGCGACTGTCACTGTACATGCCATAACGGGTACGTTCCACTTAACGTCCGCAACGACCACGACACCCAGCAGCCGTTCCACATAACGACCACAGTCGTTATGGTCGCGATCGCGACGTCAGATATGACGTCATTACTAGCGACCGCAACGAGCCCACGGCGCTCGCCTATCGTACCTGGGTCAGCGGGGACGTTCTAATTTTATAACCTTACATTCTTGACAGGAGACATTTCTAGAGACATTTGACTGTCAGAAACTGATTGTTTGAACACGCATGCGTTACAAATTTTTCGTTTTCGCTATGGAGAAAATATAATTACGTGTTTCAGAACGTAACCTTGTGGTTACTATGGATGGTCTACATGCACAAACTGGTAAGTATATATGCTGATTCATGAATGTTAAAGTTATTTGTTAAGCAAAATTCTGCTTTAACACAATTTTCTTTATTGTAGATCTTAGATTTGCAACTAGTTTGCTGCAAAGTGCTTTACCAGGGAATGCGAATGAGACTCGTATAAATGGTAATGCAACGATTGATGAAAATGAGAATGCACGTTAGTTTTGAATGAAGAAGAGAAATTGTTTTCGAAGCAGCATTCCCACAAGAAATTCTGGGGAGAAGTGTTCATTATCATCGTATTAAGTATGGCCGCAGCATTTATGATAGAAATTCAAAAGTCGTCTTCAATATTTTATTAACAAGAAGCAATATCTTGTGTAAAGCAAAGAAGTATGTGTCAATTTGGTACTGAAAATAAAATAGTACATTATATATCAAGGTAGAGAAGTACAGTATTATTGCCTGAGCACCAAGATTACATCTCGAGGCGCTTGCGCCGAGGGGTGTAAGGTGCGAAGGCAATAATAGACTTCTCTACCGTGGTATATATACTTTTTTTTTCACTACTAGTACTTGAAGTCCTCTAAATTAACATATTATATTGATAAGAAAGTGAACGGTTGGACAGAATTGTTTGTTTCTTAATTTAACATGTTAATCAAGTACGTTGAAGAACAAGTCAAACAGGCCGTATTTTGTTCTGTCATTGAGATATTTTCAAAGAGTAATTTCGTTCATATTTTTTCAAAATGTGATAATTTTAGGTATGTAATTTGTCTGGAAATGGCGAATGGTGGCAATTATTCATTTTAGAGAACTTGCCTAAACGTTTCTTGAGCGAAATTTCGGGTTGTGTTTTCTAAAAGTGACAGCGTGACAGTTCTCATTATTGACTACTAGTTAATAATGTCCACATTATTAACCACTTTGAACAAATGCCGAGAAAGCCTACTTTACAAGTGGAAAAAAGGTTAATAATCATGTCATCAGACGCTAGTAGTGAAAAAAAATATTTACTAACTTAATGTGACTTTTGAATTCATAATCCACCCCACTTTGTATCCTTTACGCATTACGATCTCCTCAACGGCGTCCATGTTGGAAAACTGTTCACTCACGCGTGACGTCACACCGTACTCAAAAGCGTTCCACTTAAGGTTTCGCCCACAACGCCTCTAAGCTAGTGGAACGACAAAACTGCGTTCGCGGTCGTGATCGTTACGGGCGTTAAGTGGAACGTACCCAACATGTCATGTACTATGGGGGGTTTTCTTAAGTCATGTTTTTTTAATTAATTGCAACGTTTATATGTTGTGGAGTTCCGTGTGAAAATGACAAATTACTGCCCGTCTGGCAGGGCTGATTCGAAATACGACCTTGAGCTGTAAAGGTGAGTATTAAAGGTTAGCTATAGCTGCTTCATTGCCAGGGGACCGTGACTATTAAAAGGGTAAAGAACTTTAGTGTGATTAGACGGTTCTGATCTTAGCTCATCTCGTAGTGGGGGGGGGGGGCAGTATTTATATAACCACATATATTTCGCCCGGGTCGTGTGTGTGAAGTCGGGGCCGCGGCCGCCGCCGTGCTCGGGCCATTGAGTGGAGTGGGACCCATTTGTTGGAACCATGCTCACGAATTTTCGATTTTCGCAAGTACTCAAGACAGTCAGTTTGTGTAATTATGAGTTTGTGTTTTGTTTCAATACAAAACTTTGTATTAGTTTGAACCTTAGACCATATAGTACATGGACTGCTATTCGCCCTATGCTTTCAATACAAAATGGATGGTCACGTATAGAGGGCACTGTAGTCGTGGGTATGTGAATCTCAGGGTAAACTAAAGTCGTGTAAACACCACTAGGATCGCTTAAAGAGCAGCTTTATAGTAACCGCGTAGTAGGGAAGCTTTAAATGCTCTTCATTATTTGCTATACGTCCACAAATAAGAATAAGTTTGCTTTTTTTGGGATATCTAGGCGATTAATTAATTGACGTTTGTTAATTTATAGGTTGACAGTCTCAAATCGTGTCTCATCAGACAACTTCGGGCAGACTCGTTTACCCTGAAACTCACATACCCAGGCGATGTCCTTGACCATATTTTAGTTACAATTAGCAGTCCATGTACTATATGGTCTAAGGTTTGAACCCAAATTGCGGCCCTGGATTTTAGGAGTTTCATGTTTGTTTTGGCGACTTTATTAAATTCAGCTAGCAAGACATAGGTGTTTTGTGGTTGGATTACTGACCGTTTGTCATGTCACTGTCGTTTGCACACAGTAATATACAGGGTTTTCAAAAATATAAGAGACCACAAAACAAAAAAAAAAAAGAATTTGCGATTACTGACACTCCTATAAAGAACCAGTTACAGGAAAAATAGTGAAATTGAGAAAGAAAATGCTACAAATACAGAGATCGAAAGACAAGAATATCATAATAAACAAAAGTCCGCGTTGAGAGAAAGAAAATACATTGCATTTTGATTTTTTGTAAGCAGTACTTACTTATACTTTTTCTGTTTTTTTTTAATATGCTGTACAAATAAGAAATAAAAATAGAAAATAGTTTTTTTTGTTGCATTTCACTTAATGTTTTGGTTTTTTGTAGGTATTTTGACCTTTATTATAGGTATAGTTATTATAATTATATGGATTCATTATAAGAAGGTAGCAGATGGCGCTGTGTTTGAAGAATAATATAAAAGGGTACCATATTTGAAAAATATTATGGACTCCTGTTTTAGCCAATCACAGTGAAGGTCAAAGCTCCCTCTATGATTTCTACCGCTACCTTCTTAAAAATGAATAGAGTATAGTCATATATCAAATACAAGGTAACATTCTAGGAAGTTTAAGATGTCTTTATTTATTTATTATCCCTCTCTTGTTCTGGGCTTGTCTTCCCTTGACCAGTCACTCATTTTTCACACAAGAACGTAATATACGTCTATTCGCCATCAGTGCACAGACGAGACTGACTCAAACGTGTGGACGTGTCGCAAGTGCTTATGGCAAATTCCTTTTTATTTGTGACAAAAAACCGATACTTGATCGGATCAGCTACAAACTACAAACCTTGCTACAAACCAAGTCACACAATCTCCACATTTGAATTTGTGATGGTTTGTATATAGGTTTGGCAAGCATGTGAACGTGGCATTACACCAAACATCACAGACACACACACACGCAAATGATAGGTGTAGCTTATATGTGATCGACAATAATTGAAATTTACTTACTGTTCAATTTTTGATAAACTATGAATCATCCATAGATCACAGCCCGTTCTGCCGACTAGACTCAGCGCGACTAATATCATGTAACCAACTTCGACTGTAAATACTCCTGGAACTCCAATTTTTAATAGCTGCCAAAGGTGGTGGAAGAAAAGTGCATCGACTTGGGCTCTTTTTTTTCTCGGTGTACCTTTCTCCGAGATCATATACTGAATCTCTTCCTTCTCCCGTTTCGCTACCGACTTGTTGCTGTGAGATCGATGTTTATGACAGTGTTCCGCACGTTAAGCTGATACTGACCTTGCTTTCGCTTTCGTTGCATGATTTTGTTTGTAGACTAACCATAATGTTATCGCTATGCTACTGGCAGCCAGGGCATTATTTCTTGTTAAGTACTTGCTTAAATTTGGAGCCATCACTTGTGTTCCTTAAGTAAGGCAGCTACATTTGAATAAGGAGATAATGCTATCAACGTTTCAACAATGTTCACTTACGAAACCAAGATAACGTGCGAATCTGTAAAGTGAGAGACTGTAATGAAACTTGTACTTACAAAGATAGCAGTGACTTAGCACATACCCAGTCCAGTAGAGGTTAAATTAAAACTTAATTCTACTTCCATGTTTTCAAAACCTGTTGATTATAAATAAATTGTTTTTGCATAAAGTGCTTTTTTATTGGTTCAATCAAATGGTCTATAGCCAATAGGAGTAGCCTCTGTAATTTAGGCAGTTTTTGAATCATTATCCTAATTAAATGCATAATTGTACCACAAAAAGGGACAGTTTTCTATTGTACTAAGTTCAATAAAATCGATTTAATTTACCCCGTATGATCTACGAACATAAAACCAAAACAAAAAGAAAAATTATTAAGTAATATACAGGATGTTACAACACAATCGGAGAGTAGAATCATCAATATAAATTTAATTACCTATGCGATTGATTTATATAAAATAAATAATAATAAAACGATAAACTACCTCTGGAGGTTGCAACGTGTCCAAAAGGGTCGCGCGAAATACAGAAAAAAAATAAAAACAAGTTTCAAGGTTATTTCAATTATTATTATTATTACAATTATTACTACAGTTATTTACAAAGAACCATAACTAAAAGCTAAAAGAAGCATAACTAAATCCTACGAGACTAAATCGGAGTAGGTACTTAAGTATTTTTATAAAACGATAACCGTAAAATTTAGTGAATTTACTATTTGCCTAAGCTAATATTTTTAAAATTACAGCAATTGTAGTCGTTTTTATTATGTATTTAATAAAAACATAATTCATAGAGAGGTCGGCAAGATACCTAAACAGGGGATCGCAGTATCTAAAAGATAGAGAACCACTAACTTAGGTACTTGCTGTCACCACTAAAGCACTTAAACACGAGCGTGAATTTTATTATTTATCACTTAGACATCGATGTTAAGACTGAGCCTAAACACCATTTAATTTACATAGCAAATAATAAACCTTCTAAAGAAATCTCAAACCAGCATGTCATATATTACATAGAATCAGTTGCAACCGCTTTCATTTCCTATGGCCGGTGATTAATCTGTTATCGATATTGATCTAGAAAATTCGCTTCACTGACCCTGCTAAAACTGTTGCGTCTCACAACACGGGCGACGGTTGTACCTATATCAGAGATACGGTCCTGGGTGACTCTCGATCTATCACTTGCACGATGAATCCTTTTCGAATAAGCAATTAACCGTTCTATGAAATGTTTGGAATTATAGCGCCGACTAAATATTTCGTCCCTGGTCAGTGTGTAGTTCCAAGGGTACCTACTCGCAGATATAACGATGGGGTAGGATGCATCATGCAGAAGATGTAAAAGAATGGTAAGGAAGTCCAAAAAAAGAGGTGAAGAAGCAGGCGTTAATAAGACGGAAAAAAGGTACCTACTTATATCAAAAGGAGATGTGAAAAAAATGTGAAGTAGTTGAATGGAGGTGGAGAGCGATGTAAAAGTATGAGATGAGGAAAAGTGTGAATCATGCTTTTTGAGGGTTTTGGGGGGGGGGGGGGGTAAAAAATAGACTGCAGAGTTGTGGAAAAATCCCAAAAAGGCGTGAAGGGATAAATAAGACAATGTGAGATATACATAGACTATGTATGTGAAGAGTAAATCGGTTGTAGTAGTGGATGGGGTGAAGGAGCGTCAGAGACATAGGATTTAAGTGACCGTGAAGCATTGTCAATAAGTTATTTTCACTAATAACTTATAAAAAATGCTTACCCTTTATTAATAGGCTTAGCAGATTTTTTTGTCACAAAGCATAAATTAAAATTACTTGACAATTCTAAAGTCTACAGCTCTTGACCCTCTCGATTATTTATGAACATCTGCATACGTAGTTCAAACTGCAAATTGGAGCGTTTTATGTCACAAATTTACAACTGTTGGCATGTGTGCGCATATATTCATCAACTTATTACACAAATGTAAATATACAGCGCATTAAAGTATACTACACGACTTGTTTTACACTACTCCTCCTCCCAATGTTGAGTAGGTTCTGTTTTTATAGTGCAGAACATGTACGTTATTATCTCACCTCTGTACTTTATCGTATATGTTATATGGTCAGCTTTACAAGTCTATATACACAAGAAAATAGTGAAGATAAAATGTACATAAAAAATAAACTGGTATAATCAGCTCATTGAAGTTCATTTTTTTGAAGGTGAACAAGGATAATTAATTCTCAACTATAATTACCTAAATATAAGTGGGAAATATTAAAATTAAATGCAACTGAAAACTGTATTATTCCCTACACTTAAAACCCTGGACAATGTGCTATTTTTCCGATTGTATTCATATAGCAAAGATACTCACATATTCCACTAACATCCAAAGAACGTAAAAAAAATGTTATTCCTCCTCACAATTTACAATGACTGTCCAATTCTGTTCATTTTCAGCACAACCTACTCTGCATACAATGGATACGGAAAACAAAATTAAAGGAAGGTTAAAAAAGTTTCTGACCAAAAATGTTTATTTAACATACCCAAATCCAAACGTGCCTTACCAACTATACATCCGCCAATAAATTAACAATTTAATATTGAATCGAGCACATTGGCCACAAATTTATTTCTAACATAATGTACACATTCCCTAACGTTTCAGTTACACATTTTAAGCACGAGCCCTTAGCAATACTAAAAAATAATATCACTCACGTCATACGAGATCCCTTTCCATTACAAATTGCACGAAACAGTTTCTTTAATGGACAAAAACTTGTCTTAGTTTCTGGTTTTGCCAGTTGGCGGTATGATAACTAAGAAAAAAAAGAAGGTAGCTTTGTAATGCAATTTAGTTTATTGTGTTTGCGGTCGCAGAAATAAATTCGAATTGACATTGATCTTAAAATAGTAAGCAATCCATTACCAATCAAAGGAAAATGATGAATGGAACAAGAGCGTTGCGAAATAGTTACCTACTCTTACCCTGTACCCATTGATGTTTATACTATGTTGATGGGCGATCAAAACTAAATGAATCAGATAAATTGTAACAATCAAATAATGATTATGTATCCTATATAATAATTTATGCCGTTTTGGTTTCAAAATAATTGATCTTCTAAATCAAAAGGGCACTTTGTTTCTCAGAAATCGTTGATAGTGATACGATACACTTTTATGATTAGAAATGGCAGTTTCAGAAATTAAGAAATATATTATATATTAAATACATTTAACAATCATTGGTATCAATTAAGCTACAAATTTTGAATTTATAACTACATTCGTACAAAAATAAGATACCCAAAGGGAAGGCAAGGTATTTAAATATAGGATTTAATACTTATGAGCCGAACTGTTCAGCGCCATCTTCTATTGGTTGAAAGCTATACCCTCCACGCCCATCAAGGTACAAGACGTATTCGTGATGTTGCCAGAGGGACTTTCTGTGAGAAACTGTCAGCAATGTGATCCCAACGTCTCGGCAGTACCTATACATGCTCCCCTCCACATCTACAGAAACTGCGCTGGTACATTCGTCTAAAATCGCGAATTGAGGTGCATGATAGAAGAGTCTTGCCATAGCAATTCTCTGCTTTTCACCCCCACTTAAAACATCCAACCAATCAGCGACCGCGTCCAATCCGCCCTCCCTCTCCAACAGATACTCCAACTGTACCCTGCGCAAATGCTGCTCCAAGTTCGCGTCAGTAGAGCCGCGCCGAATTGCCTCGGCTCCCGAATGAGGATACGTAATTTGATCACGTAAACAACCGAGAGTCATGTACGGTTTTTGAGGTATATAAAACAGTTTCCCGCGAGGCGGTTTTACAAGTTCGCCGCCGAAGAGGGGCCACAGTTCGCCCAAAATGCGAAACAGGGAACTTTTACCAGCCCCATTTGGCCCACATACAAGTACATTCATCCCAGAATGTATCTCGACCGATAATTCCTTTATTAGCACATCGCCGTTGGGAGTTACAACAGGAACCTTATCAAACTTAATTATTTTATCCCTGAATATTAATCTGCCACCGTTCACGCTTAAATTTTCCGCACCCGCTAGCATAGTTCGTTGGTATTTACCGTCATTTAATTCAGACAGAACGTGTCGCAGTTGGGTGACACGTGCCGTGAACCCAGCCAGCCTGGTCAACTCGCGGCCGGCTAAAACCAAACGGCCAATTGCCTCTGCCAGCTTTAGAAGCATGCGTCCATATGTATAGTATAAACGTGACCTTTCGCCATGTGTCGCGTTACCTATACCGTCGACGCGGGCCATGAACGGTTTTGAAACTGCCCAAAACCCGACTGCGGTAGCGATGTACTTGGCGATAATATTATCAGTAATTCCCATCAGAACACGAAACCTTAGGAATTTCCGCAAGTGATTGACTAACTTATTAAAACTGGAGATAAGGGTTGCCTTCTCCCTGATGTTCCCTTGATAAAACGCAATCTCCTCCGAATGCGTTATAATCCTCGCGTTGATGTGCCGAAATTCGCCTTCCAATTTTTGTTCGGTCACGGTCAGTCGACCTGTCGGTCTTCGTAAGTATGTCAGTAAAACGCCAGACACAAATAGGTATCCCAACATAATCGCAGGCGTACTAGACCCGATACTTTTGGTTAATCTGTAAACGTAGATCCCAATGTCGAGACACGGTTTCGCCACGTTACAATAGAGTTCGGCCGCAGACTCGCAGAATTTATCGATGTCGGTCGTTAGTAGCTGATCGGCGTTCGCTATTCTGTTATCCAAATTTGTCATTCGGTAGTAAGTAAACTTCTTAAGATAATCGTCATATAGGTGACGGGTCATGTTCGTTCGTAATCGTATTTTCAAATCTCCTATAGAATATTTTAACACGTTATTTACTATCGATATAATGGGCATTGCAGTTAAAAATTGTAGTAATCGCCGTTTGAAGAGATTCCTGTCCATTGCAATGATTGAACTGGAAAATAAAACCAAAGTTTAGAGCGGAGACTGAAAAAGTTGTTAATAATAGTTCAAATAAAATGTATATAGTTCACTTGCACCTATAACTTTTGGGAACTACCCAATGACTATTAATGTTACTTAAGTTATTAAAACAGGGAAGTCGCTGTTACTCCTGCAAATCACCAAATATATACCTGAAAGTAACTTTTACTGTAAAGTCGCGGCTCTAGTTCTAATGAGGAACCTCACTTAAAATTGCTATATTAAATGTAATACTAGAATTAATCGTAGTGTTAGTAATTTCATGGTGACCATCATTCATATTTGCTAGTAAATGCAATGAAATATAATTTGCAGCGTCGCTCGCAAGCGCTTTTTCAAGCGCAACACCCTGTATTTAATTTTTTTTAAAGTACATAATTTGGAAATGTGATATATTTTAATGTAGAATCAGGATGCGCAAATATATAACTTTAGAACCGTAGTAGTTCTAAATTTCAGCTTGTAGTTCAAAAGTTTCAACATGTTGAGATTGAAAAACGAATAAAGAGATAACTCGCGGTTCGAAAATGAAATGTGAAAGTTTAAAAAATATATTTTGGACACAGAAACTTCAATTGGAAAACCAAAATTTAAAATATGGTCATGAGGACTGCTTATTGTTTATACAGGGTGTTAATTAACGTCATGTAGAGATTTCAGGGGGTGATCTCGTCAGAATAAGATAAAAAATGTAAATATATGCATGATCTAAAGGGCGCCGTTTTCGTTATACAGGGTAGCAAAAAAAATGTAACGCCCTGTATACTGCGACTAACTATTGTGATACTTTATTGTAGAGATTCTAAAAAACAATTGATATATCAAATTTGAAACAATTATCACATAAGAGAGAACACGCAAAATACGAGAAAAAAAAATTGCACCCTGTATAACGAAAACAGCGCCGTTTACACCATGCATATAGTTGCACTTTTTTCTTATTTGACGAGTACTATGACCCTCTGCATGACATTAATTAACACCCTGCATATTCAAGCTATCATAAGTATAAACTACGAGGCATGTTTTTATTGATTTGCGTTTAGTGAAAAACTGGAAAATGTAAGGTACAAGGTATCTAGACACAATCCAGTTTTGAAGACGTCTTGGGCTCTATGAGAGTCGTTACGGCTAGAAGACGGTAGCGAATTTTCTAGAACGATATCAAGGCACCATCAAGTCAATAAAGTTTTTAAAACAAACGAAAGTCAAATCGATTTTTACAAGCCTCCTCGACTAAAATCTGGCCGTTTTACCACAGCCATTGCCCACTAGATTAAAATTTACGTATTTTAAGATCAATAGTTGGACAGGTGTCATTGTATTCAGAATGTCAAGTTCTATTAAAATATGTAAGAAAGATTTGGACTGAAAAAGAAAAAAAACATCTTTCAACAGGTTTCTGAACACGCTTACTGGTAGTTAAATGTGCTTAGAAGGTCATAATTAATTATAGAATAACGTTGCAAAATCTAAAAGAGACTAAAGATAAGAATTTGAAATAGGCGATTTTAAAAGTGTACACGACCTATATCATTTTTCTAGAAGATTGCACAGCAACGTTCCAGTCTGGAATAATATTCGAGGGGTCAGAAATGTGGGGTATCTACCTGCTCATTGTGGAATTGAAAGCGATTGATGCATTCAATCTTGAACTCTCTCGCCATCTCGGCGCCAATAACCCATAAGTTAGGAATGTAGAGAGGGACAATAAATAAAATATAAAAAAAATTTAGATGTCGCAATTTACATATCCGCAAACATATTTTGAAACATTCGCAAGATTAATGCCCGTTTGCACCGACAAATTTAAGCGGAGCTTAGCTTATCAATACAAAAGTCACTCTAATCTAACTAAAAATATCTACCCTGGATTTATACTACATAGAAACATAATCTAAACATGACCCGTAATGATCACCGCAGCGTCACGCGGCCTATTGAAGCAAGTTAACACAGTTCTGAATCTGTCTGTGATGATAACTAATCATTCATTTACTATCAATAAATTGTGTTATTTTTCATCCGAAGGTCATACATTGCTTATAATAATTAAAATCATTACAGAACCCTACACACAATAGCGGTCAAGATTTGATAAAAATAAATACAATAAATGATCGAGTTTATTACATTTTTATTGTCGTAATCAATTGGATTTCATTAATTATTTAAATGGAATCAACAAACAAGAATAGAATATTCTGTGATTAGAAAGTACATTGAAATTGCACTCTCAATTAGCTTTCATCATTTCAAAATCATGCTAAGTGAAGGTATCATGACAAGAGGTCGTCATCCTGATAAGATAATACTAAATGCAGAGAGGGACTCTCTTGGTTCTAGTCTATTCCGAGGTCTATTCCTTAAAATATCTGCGCCCCAAACAACAACAGTATTCTCTTTTGATTGGGAACGTACATAGAGTAGACACGGAATTAATGGCCATTACCTAGACACTGCAAATAGTTCCTGTTGTAATATGAGTCGACAGTTCCAGTGGGCGTTTCACTGCTGTACAGGTGGGTAAGGTATACTTTAAAGTATAACTACTTTAAAGTATACCTTAGTATACAAAATTACAAACTCATTGGTTTGTTTTGTTGTCAGTGGCGTACTTGTGCATGGTCAAGGGGGGCATATTTTTTTAAATAATAACCACTATTTTTTATTACATGTTCTAAAACCGTACACCTTTTATGCTGTTATATCCCAAAAAACTGTTCTCTTTAATAATATGTAATGGAATTTATATTATTATATTATTCCACAATGTATTAACACCTCGATTAACACTTAACAGCCAAAAATAGTATGCCCATGATATTGTATTGCATTAAATACCGAATTTTAGTTTACCGTGGTGTCATAAAAACAGGAGCAAAACAATTTTATAGAGCAAAGTTAGGAAGGTATCCCACTGTACATGATGTTTTTTTCGGTAGAAAATAATATGCATTTTCTTGTACAATTTCTTGTGTGCATTCTCTATGATATAATTCAAGTTCTTGTAATAAAAATTCTGTGATTGGTTGAAATTTTTAATTCAAAAAAGTCGTTAAATAGCGCTTATAAAATCAAAGGATCCTGAGAATTCTTAATCGCAAACCTAAGAAAATTTCTACACCGTTTGAAACAAGTAAATAAGGTGATAGGAACCACAGATGTGGAGGCAATTTGCAAAATTCCAAATGGAAATGTCAAAAATTAAACAATCCAACGCGAGCTGGCTAAACTAAGAACGTTAACGTTTACCATGCAATAGCTTGATTATTGTACCTAAATAATACAGGGAAGATAAGTCAAGGTAACCAGACGTTAATTAGTGTAATTTAGTATCGTTAAACTGTAACTCTAATAACGTGCATAGTCATATGAAAATCAATAGAGATCATTTATTTCCAACAATTCTGTATACCAGTTCTTGACATTCATTAATCAGTGCAAGATTAATTTGAGCCAGTAAACAATGCGAATAGTTTACTGTTCTTTTCTTTCACTTAACTGGTTTACATAATGAAAGTGATTTAATCTATGTTTATTGAGCTTCCTGTTATCGTAATAGCAGATTTGACTAATGCAAGTGTTGTTGTAGATAATCTTTGTTTGCATTTCACTTAGAAGCAAAATCTCAACTTTATGGTAGACACAATAAAGAATAATACTACATAATCATCACCATCACTCAAACCTCCAAAATACATAAACAGTAAAAGCACACAAACAAATGAGATCAACTGTAATTCCTCAAAAAAAGAAAAAAGGGGTGGCATGGGTATTGGTAACTTTCTTATTACTGAAGGTGGAAACTAGCGAGGAAATTAGGTTAAATGGGGAATTCTGAAAGTCAAGATGGCGACTAGTGACACATGGGTAGCGACTTTCAGAAGACTTAATTATTTTAATAATTAATTTAATAGGTAGTTCATTTTCTTTGGTACTCTTTATTCGTTTATAGATTATCTTTCATTGTTAAAAAAAATAAAAATAAATTCTCTTTATTGTGGCTATCCATATGTCCGCAACAGTCGTTTTGAATATTATTATGCCATAATTTTTTAGCTCGCACTTTTTTTGTAACTTATAATTGAATCTAAATTTTTTTTCAGAATTGTAATCAGTACACAAAAGCTGCAATCCTATTTGCGTTAGGACATCCTAGAATTTTACTTGACGCCTAAAAATCCTTGAAAATCTTTTAGAAACCTTTTCTTTTTGGAACCTTTCTTGTACACTTTTTGGGACTTCTACTAGAAATCGTCGTGGAGACCCATTTAAGAATGTCCCTAGAAACATTTTCTGGGAGTGTTTTTTGTAAAACTTGAGAAATTTTTTAAAAATATATATTTTGAAAGAATCGATAAGGAAAAATGCTCAGATGGAGAATCTTACCAGAAACCTGAAAAACCAGTTAGGAAACTGAGAAATCTTTGTAGAAACCTTACCAGTTTTCCTTTTACTAGTGAGTAAAATTAAAAAAACCTTAAAACAATTGAAATTTTTTTATTTCTTTTAGGAGCACGGGTGGCTTGAGGGCGCTGTAAACAAAGATACAAAACATTTGATACACTAGTTGCAATAGACAGATTGTTATCTAAAGGAAAAATTTTTAAACAGGAAAAGTCTATACTTTTATGTGCATTTAAAAGTAGCTTATAGGTCCTGTAGACAAAATCGAACAATCACAGCCCTTACAATAGACTAGAATATCCACTAAAAATGGGCCTGTTGGGAGAAATCTGGATCTAAGTATGGCAACACTAAGTTGACATGGATGAAAAAAATATCTTTATTTACATTGGCGGATTTACATATAGGCACACTAGGCACGTGCCTAGAGGCTGCAGCTTTAGAGGGTGGCATTTTTTGCACTATATTTATTTTAGGTAATATTTTGAATAAATGGAATTGTCTCAAAGGGACAAGATGTGAAATCATACCACTATAATGTAGTATTTACTTTGACCCAACGCTTGACCACCGATCCCATTAATATTTTTATATCTCATTAGAGCAATAAATATTCAAGGTTCCATTGTTTACACCGTCTGAATACGTATTCTTAATGCCAATGATATTTGGAAACTGATCCGGCAATAAAAAAGTAAACCTTCAACCAGTCGAGTATGTGTACAAGACTAAAATTGTGTTTTTTTATCAAGTGGCCATAAATGTACAAGGGGGGTTGGTACTACTAGTGCCATAATCAAGCTTCCTAGTAAGCTGAAAACAAAAACTATACCTTTCAATCTTCGTGCTATGACTGATCATCCATAAATCGCAGAGAGACCTGCATATGAGACTGCCGGCAACAAGAAACAATAAACCGGCCTCGCATGACGTCCATCCTGGAATGACGATCTTTAAAAGTTGTGACAATTGGCAAAAGAACTGTCGATCGACATGAGCCTTCGTCGTCGGTTCCTTCTTTTCTGTGATCATATACTTAATTTCTTCGTCTACTTTCTTTCTTGCATGTCTGCACATGAAAATTGTGACTCGTTAATTGCTAAAACATACTTGACTACAATTAATTCAATTACCTTCCAGTCTTTTTTATTTTCGATTTTTGTAGATAGGAAAGATACCACAATGCTGCCGCAATTCCTGCGGAGGCATACGCATTTTGTTTAGTTAAATATTTACTTAAATTAGGTGCCATTGTTTATTTAAGCGAGCATTATTTTAAAAGAACGGTCAATTACACAATGACACGGCAACAAACCGATCGAGGAAGGAGGAAACGTACGAATATTACAGAAAGTACAGAAGCACCGATTAGGCAACTTGAACTTGTATCTAGTTGGTTGTGACGTGCTCACTCACTGACAGCTACTGACAACTGACAATCGCGTGTTGTGCACGTTGTACGAATGTGCTACTTGTGTGTAGGCAACACACCTTACTGGCCAATTATTGGCGAACAGGGACTGAACCTCGTTTGGACCTGCCGATTGTTACCGCACTTAGTAATAATTCATGGAATTAATGGAAAGACAGGTCCGGCTCCCGAAAATCAGAATTGCAAGAATTCGGGAGTGTTTAAATCTGTGGTGTAATCCTCCGGAATCTTAGGTAAGTAGGACCTGTAATGTTCGGCAAAAGCAATCCCCGGACCATAAGGAGAAGGGAATCAAGGAGGACAAACTGGACGAAATAATGGCAATGGTACGGGCTTACAACGGATATGGAGAGCTGCAATGGTATATAAGGACCGCTCAAAGGAAGGAAATTGCAGAATTTATAACAGAAGAACAAGATCAGCATAAAAAAGTACCAAAAAGGCGAGCGGTGAATTAGAGTTAACAGAAAGTTTGTATGAGAAGAAGGAGAATAGGAGAATAAAGGAAGATATAAAACGTACAAAAGAGTGCAATGTGCTGGAAACACAGAAAATCAATGTATGATCAAAAATTGAAGAAAAAAATTACAGGGAATAAAGTACCACAACACAACATAAGAAGAAAAAGAAAATGCCAAGCAAACATTAAAGTGAGGCGGGGGGAAAGATATAAAGGAGAAGAAATAACAGACTGGAGAAGGAAAGCTACATACGTACCTGAAAGCCCGCGAACACTAAGGTTGAATGAAACCATCAGTACCAGACCCGCGGTAAATTCTCCTGTACAAGGCCAAGAATGTTTCGCTCCCAAAATTCCCTTGAGCGTAAAGGCTCCGTCCTGCATCTCCGCATCCGAGGACATTCAAGTGCTTCTTCATGGCTCCAAAAACGTGGAAATGGTGTCATCATACACAGCATCAACCATTCTGCGATTCATCTCGATCGGCTTCGCCTCTTCAGCTGTCAAGAAACGCACAACACTCCTCCTTCGACGCCTCCATGCTGACGCTGTCACTTCAAACAATTGTTATCCGGGTTGCCCTAATAGTCTAAGAGCCCATCAGTTAGTACGTCCGAACGATTGTAATTTCTTTTGAAGGAATTCTTACCAACTGATGGCGGTGCCAGCGCAAACCTCTTGCCGGGGGCATTTGCAAATTAATAAAGTGTGTCTTTTTGTTGCTCGAAATCTACCGTTCATCCCGGACGGTCAAAAAACACAAAAAAAGCTTGCATTCGTATGAATACATGTATAAAAAGTCATGGTGCCGGGTGGCATATGTTTCTCGCAACCCTTGGCACCGCGTCGACAAAAGGGGTTGTAAAATTTAGTAATCGACCTTTTTCTGCCGGACGAAAAAGTGCTATATAAAATTTGTCGACGAGGAGTAGACGAATTCGAAAAACCAACGGTGCCGACTCTCAGGTTTCCGGAAGTTCTTGGCACCACCGTTTGAATAATGGCGCGCGCGCCGAACTCGGGTACAGATCAAGCGCGCTTCAAGTTTCTCGTGAGATACTCATTTCCTGTTTTTGCATCGGTGTTTCCGATTCATTTCCAAGACTAGGAAATCATCGAGAAAATCCCTTACATGAATTCCGGATGGAAAATTTCTGTTACATAGAAAAATCAAGAACAAAATATTCTTGAAAAATTAGCGAAAATATGCCAAGAAAATCAAAAAGAGAAAGTGTCGTCGCTGAAAGAAATAATTCCGAGTCTTATACATTTATAATTAACAAAGATTTTATTAACACACGTAGCAGACTGTAATTATATAGATCCATTAGCCCATAACATTTATTATTATCTCAAACACTGAATTAGAATCGTAATCTGAACTGTTGGGAGAGTAGTCTAGTCATACCTATTCTACTTACATCATCAGTTACTCAGCTCTCGGAACTGGAACCATTCCCTTTCAAAATATCATCTACACAATGTATATGAGTTTCCAAAATTTCTTTCGCATAACCCAGCCATATTTCTCGGGATCACGCGTGATACAAGATTGTTACGTTCCACATTTTTGCCACAAAAATGGTCCTGAGAATTTTCTGCTTCAAATGATTTAAAGCACTGCGAAATCATGCACGAATCGAACTCTCTAATTTTTTCGCAAGTTTCTGAGAATCTTTTCTGCTTGAGAAAATCTTATGGAAAATCCAAAAGGAAAATGAACGCTATATTGTCCGCTCTTTGTCCGTCTGTACCACTATACTACTCAGAGCTGGGCAGAATACTTTCAAAAAGTATTTGAATACTAAAATAGTAAATACTTTACACAAATCAAAGATATTTGAATACTAAATACTTTTACGTCCAGCACAAGCGAATACTAGATACAGATAGTCAGATACATTGAAAAGCATTCAAATACTTAAAAAAATAAGTATTCAAATACTTTAGAATGTATTCGAATACTTTCAAAAGTATTCTAATACTATCAAAGGTATTCGAATGCTATAAAAAGTATTCGAATACTTTGAAAAGTATTCGAATACAGTAAAAAGTATTCAAATACTTGTCACTCAAATACATTAAAAATTTAAAATAGTATACTAGATAAAAGGCTGAATACTACTTAAAAAATCAAGTTATACTTTGTATGGGGTCAGCTTTTTTTATATTTCTATTGTTATATACAAATTTAAGGGGAGTAAAAGCGTATTATTATTATTATATTATTATATAGGAGGTACCTACCAGGACCTTTCTTATACCAGTTATATCCTTAAGAATATGTGTACCAGTTTTCAAAGCGATCGTACGTACGTAGTGCACACGATACGTACGCCTTTCTGAAATTAATCCTAGCGATTTTGGAACAGATCCATTTTTGACCATCCGTTTGTCCGGGTGCATGATAACTTGTTTAGAAACGTGCGATCGCTTTGAAAATTGGTACACATGGTTTTAAGTTAATAAGAAAGGTCCCTATTGTTTTTAAGTTACGTAGACTATCAAGTTCGGTATTCAGATGTATCGGATTTTTATATTTGATTTTGTGACAATGAAAACTTTCCCTAAACATTTCTAAATTGTTCTCAAATATTTGAATAACTTAAAAGTACTGCCTTTTTTTGAGGCCGGAAAAAAAATTATCTGAGATCGAGATCGATCGAGAGTCCATAATTTCAAACAGTTTGAAGATTGGGCTACTAGTTCAACCAAGCAAAAAGCTACACACCAGCAGCGGCCCTAATATTTTTCAGATAACTTTTGGTGCATTTCACATGAATAACGAGCAGGCACGAGCAAGGGAATACGACATACAAACGTTCGATTTCATTTTTGATGGCGATATACCAAGAAAATGGCCAAAAATGTCGTCTTTCCACTTTGATCAAAGCGTTATCGCCATGTTTGCTTTTTAGAGTCTTTACGCAGTCTCTGACGCGAAATACAAAAAGGGCCCGGGTGCCGCAGTTCAGTTGAAGCTGGATTGTGGTGCTAATAAGGGTCCCTGGTTCTGGCATGGATATTTGTAAATGTATGGGGTGGTAGAGCAGCCTTGGCTGAAACCCCGCCCACTCAAAAAGAAAGGCAAAATAGAAATTTAAAAAAAATTAGCTGATGCTGCTCTACCGGATACAACAAAGGCATAAAACGGTTGACTGTACGTTTTACTGATGACGTCGTTCCAAGTGCCAGACGCCGGTTTGCTAAGGCCTATGTCTACGTGCTGCAGTGCATTCACGAACGGGTCACTATGTTTTGGTACGGATATACAATGCGATCAAATACCAGTTGCTGTCGAGTCACCTTTGGAATTTTTGTTTACATGGGAATTCGTATTTAAATTGAACATCCAAAGGCGACTCGACAGCAACTCATTTTTGATCGCCCGTTATATAGGTATGTTCTTTGCATATATCTGTGGTTCCGGTAATCGCCACCATTAATTATATCAATGCCACCACCATTTGATTTTCTCCGCCGTTCTGCGAAGTCGTTGCTGCTGGCCGATGTCAAGCCAGACGTCCATGATATAGAGGCGGTGTTCAGGTGTAATCTAGTTGATGGGATGACCTTTGCATTGAATCATCACAAAGTGTCACGGCTTTTTCTTGAAGAAAGTGTTTACCATCGTCGTTGGGCACTCCTGATCCAAGGCCGCAGTGAACTTACTCATAGCTATCTCTGTTTGCCCCTACGTGACCACTGAGGTCGCCGCCAATGTAACATGTTCTTCTGGCCTAAAGACCTGCAAGCGAATTTTGAAAGACTCCCATCCCCATCGTTACAGCGAGTATTCACAAGTGAATGTTTGGGGTGCTAATTTACCATATGTATATACCTATAAGAGAATATATATATATGTAATTTACCCACAGAGGGGAAAGAGAACTTCTAATAAATGTCACGACTCATCGTGCAGTTTTTAATACTCGAATGGTACATGTGACCACTTCACATATTCAGTTTGATTCCATTCAATTCTATGAAGCATGCATTAATAAAACCACTACTAAATTTATTATCTGTCGTATAATTTACGGAGAAGTTTCACATGCGCAAATAATTCATGTAAATATTCACCAGGGGAACAATTAACAATTATTTTATTTAATTTACTAAATTACATTGTACAAAAAAAGTCCAGTCTTATTAAAGTCATCACTGTCCTCCTCACAATTCATCATGTTCTTCTTCTGCATCTACGTCCTGCGCTTCTGCTTCCTCATCTGGAATACCATCTTCAGGTAAATCTTCTTCTTCTTCTATCTGTTCATCAGGCGACACTCCCAGCGTTTTACGCATCATACCTTCGATCGATTTGGCAAAATCGACAGTATCCCGAAGCATGTAACCCGATCTAAGGGTGGCCGTTCTGAATAACATCACGGCCATGTCTTTTGCGGTTGGATCGTTGGGATCGTCATTGACGCGCCTCAACAGCTCCTTCATTACAGGATGCCTGGGATTAATTTCCAACGTCTTCTTCTGGTTCAGATAATGCGCACGTTGCACGTCGTCCGACTTTTGGTGGGCGTTCGACGTCGCAAGTCTCTCCATGTTACCGGTCCAACCGAAAATTCCCGCAACTAAGGCGCAGGGTGAGTCACTCAGTCTTTCCGATACGGTAGCTCTGGCGATTTGATCTTTAAGTGCGTTGTCTCCCAACCACTTCGTGAGGGGCTCGAAGGATGTCTTCAGCTGCTCGTATTGTTTTTTGGTACCTTCGGCATCAGTCAGGGAGAAGCCCTCCTTGGCGACATTTTGGAACTTCTTTCCTTCAAAGTCGGGAATGGCGGTGATTGCATATTCGTCAACCGCTTCTACTAAATACAGCACCTCGTAGCCTTTACGTAGAAGTCTTTCGACAAATGGAGAATTTCTTACTTCGTCCTTGCTTGTTCCGCACATGTAATAAATTCGTTCTTGCTTCGGCTTCATGCGTTTCATATAGTTCGATAACGAGGTCATATCTTCGCCGTTTGACGAGAAGAATCTCAATAGTTTGGCCAAGCGAGTGCGGTTGCTGGGATCTTCGATTATTCCTAACTTAATGTTGGTCGAGTATTCTTTCCAGAACTTCTCATACTCCTCTTCGGGAACCTTCTTTAACATATCCAATACTTTGCGAATAAGCTTCTTTTTAATGACCTTGATCAGCTTGTGCTGTTGTAAAGTTTCACGCGAGACATTAAGAGGTAGGTCGTCAGAGTCGACGATCCCCTGGATAAAGCTCAAGTATGATGGCATCATATCGTTGAATTCGTCTGTGATAAATACTCGTCTTACGTATAACTTAATATTGTCGGTCTTTGTGCCGTATTTATTAAAGCTTTCAGATGGCTGACTAGAGGGTACGTAAAGCAAGGATTTGAAAGTGACCTCGCCTTCGGCCACAAAGTGCACTTTCGCGAGTGGTTCCTTGGTGTCCTTTGTGAGAGATGTATAAAATTCGTTGTACTCCTTCTCTTCTACTTCGGCGGGTTTTCTTGTCCAAATTGGTTTACTGTCATTTAAAAGCTCCCAGTCCCACACAGTTTTCTCAACCTATTATGAATTGAGTAAATAATAGCTATCATGGAATGCTGTAGGCACATACCTGTTTGGTTTTTGGCTTCTCCTCCTCCTTTTCATCCTCAACAGCGGCTTCATCTTCTGTGATTTCATCAACCTGTTCATCAGCTTTTTCTTCGTCTTCAATTGGTTCATCCACCTTAGTTGTATGACTGGTCCATAAATATATGGGGAAATTAATAAACTGAGAGTACTTCTTGATGAGGGTTTTGACTGTGTCATGTTCCAAGAAGTCCTTTGACTCTGGTTTTAATTCAAGGCTTACAGTCGTACCTGGAATACATTTCAATATCAAACATCGATTTCTATTACTAAACATTATCGAATTATATTATTTAAAAGATTCGTTTGTCTAAATTGTGTCTCTTAATATAAAATCAGGGTTTTAGCAGAACCCGCATAATACCAGAAGCTCCGTCCTCTAAAAACCGCACAGCAAATGCACAAAACCTACATTTCACATTTGCACTTAAAAAATAGTATATTGTATTATAAGGTATACAGTGAGTGATGGCGAGTTTTTTCTAAAACTAGATTTTATGCGCAAAAAATCCTGCGCCTGCGCAAAACGCAGCTTTTCTATTTATGGAAAAATTTAATCCAAATTTTTATGGTAGGTCCCTCTAATAAAATCAAACAAAGTGCACGCGTAAAAAATCACTGCGTATGCGCACAACTTTCCTATTTATATTAAAATACAAACAAAATCGAAATGGCTTGAAAGGAAAAAAAACCATCAATAATCGTCGCTTTTTCAATGCCATTTTATACATTTAGCCAGGGAAATTGCAAAAATAACAAAATCTCTTTATAAAAAATTGATGAGTCAAGTTTAGTTTTAGAGTTTTGCATACCTTTATAAAAAAATTAATAATTTCACTATAAACAATTCAAAAGCGTCTACGCAATACGATGCCAAAGTGAAAATTAAAAAATTAATCGAAATGGGGGCCAAATGGGGATTTACTGGTGAAATTCTTTGAACTTTTTGTTATTAAACGATTACATTTGTTATATATGCTTACCATTCAGACAGTACAGTCGCAGGTACGTTAAATCAGAATCAATATGAAAACGTCGATTTCTTCAAAAATTTTCATGAAAAATGTAGTAATTCTGTTTTTTGCTAAAATCGACGTGAAAGTACGAAAGTAAGTGAGTGCAAAAGTTTGGGGCCTCAAACATTGATATTAACAAAAAATGATTTTTAAATGATCGGAAATTGGAGACAGTTTGACTAGAATAATCAATCGTGCCACATCAAACGCACACCCAGAGACGATTTGAATCTAAGTTTTAAAAAAAGTCACTTTGTATCGGTGAATTTCCAAAAAACAAAAATATTCCTTACAAATTCAAAAATTGCCAATTCAAAGATTGAAACTGAGAAATTGTCTTTCTTTCAGATCTCATAGTGATGTTACCATCCGACAAAGAAAAACATTAATCATTTTAGATTATTTCTTTCAAAAATGCAGAACAATGAATAGCGGCAGGCGAAGCCAAGTTATGGACTATTACAAATCCGAGCAAGGCGAGGTGGTGAAGGGGCGTGCTCAAAATTGTACCGCACCTGCGCAATACTCAATTTCCTTATTTGTGGAGCAATTTGATTGAAATTTTTATGGTAAGTTACTCTATGAATGCAAACAAAATGAAAATGCGTTCAAAGCTGAAAACACGAACGTCAAATAAAAGCATTTTTACCAACCTACACTATAAGATTGTCTAAAAAAGAAACTATCAATATACAGGGCGTCAATTTTAAAGCTTGCAGTCGCCCATATTTTCCAAACTAAAGAAGATTTTGAAAATCGCGCAAAACCGTTTCGGAGGTATCGAGGGGAACCATAATGGCGTTATGAGTGACAACTCCCCACCCCCCCTCTTCAAAAATCCTAAATGGCAACCCTATACTTGTGACACATCGTTGGAAAGCTACTCAAAAATGCTTTCCAGTGGTACCAATAAAGTCAATATTCATTAAGACAATTTAACAAAAATGTAATAATGAACAAAAAAAAAATAAAAATTAAGCCATGCCTATGTTCAAGATTTGGTCGCTAAATTCGAAGAAACGGGATCTGTTATCAATAAAAAAAAGAAAGCAACCAAGATTGCTTAATGAAGCAGCTCAGGTTGAAGTTCTTCGCCAATTTGCCATAAATCCCTCAATGTCAACATTTAGTTTTTTTTTGGTTAATTATTAACTTTTTGTTAAATTGTCTGAATGAATACTGCCTTTATTGGTACCACTGGAAACGATTTTTCAGTAGCTTTCCAACGATGTGTCACAAGTATGGGGTTACCATTTAGGATTTTTGAAGAGGGGGGGCTGGGGGGGAATAAGGGGTGGGGTGGGGCAGAGACTTGCTATAACTAGACTGCGCTTAACGTATCTAAGGTGTTGTCGACACAGTATGCAACACACAATGCACCGCGGGGCAAAAATCGCAGAGATGATGTGCAATATAATGAAATAAGCTGTTATTTTAGATGTTCCGTTCTTTAATTATTCTCGTGATTAGCTCGAATTAGTGAACAGATAAATTTCTGTTGAGAATAAACCAATAAACTTAGGTTAACTCGTGCGTATCAACATGTACTCTGTAGATAGAATTTTAAATAATATGCAGATTTCCAACGGATAAAAGTTTAAAGGGCCAATGGATCAGAGCCATTCGAAGAGAAAAATTTACTCCCACCATAGTGCATTTGCGGGGAATGAAGCCGATTTTAGAAAGGTACCTACGAAGGTGTTAAACAATAATGCAATACCGAGCGTTTTCGACTTTCCCATTCACTTAAAATAACGTAGAACTATTATTCGACATCCTTTACCAGATAACGGCAGTACCTATTTGCCTATTAGGTATAGACGTAACTAAGTACTTACTGGTACTAAGTATATTTCAGGTTTTGTTACAAGAAAAATAGCTAAGTCTGTTAAATGTTCCATATGTGCAGATGCGATATTCGCATCAGAGAGTCATTCAAAGCTTTTAACTAGAAAAAATCGTGGAGGATTGTTGCACGTATCAAGCGATGCATTAAAAATTTGCCAAATTGCTGAAAATGTGTTCAGGTTTTTCATTCAATCCACACCACACCGCGTTGTAAACAAAATGGTTATCAGCAGTCTAAGAAAAATAAATAACAGTTACAGCCCATTTGGGTTTTTGGATAGGCATATATTGAATCAAAATCCGCTAAATAATCATATCTTACTACTTACATCTTTAGTTTTAAGAGTATATTTTCCCATACGTGTTCACCACCAAAATACACATATAAATCAAATTCGGACTAGAGTAAGGCAGTTATATACCAATTTAGTTAAAAAAAAATACCAATAAATTCGATTAAAACAGTTAACAGTAAATATGTTACCTTTTTTGCTACTAAAATTTAGAATAAACATGGCTAAAGCAAGCTGCAGAACGTACGTCTGCCCCGCGATGAACAGTTGGTTGCCTATCCTATCTTGACAACAGGCGTTTACAGTAAAATCTATGTTACGCGCGGTCTAGTTATAGCAAGTCTCTGGGTGGGGGATTGTCACTCATAACGCCATTCTGGTTCCCCTCGATACCTCCGAAACGGTATTGCGCGATTTTCAATATCTTCTTTAGTTTGAAAAATATGGCCGACTGCAAGTTTTAAAATTGACACCCCGTATATCACTTTTTTGAGCCGTATGAAATTTCTTTTCTATTTCGCCTTACACAACAACCCTAAGTACATTCTCCTAACAATTAACCAAAATTACACAATGATAAAACAATATAAATCAGCAACTGCTAATAAAAATGTGGTGATAGGTCCTATATCTAGTTCCATAAAAAAAAGACAGCAGATAAAACCGTTGAATTCGTAGTTAAAGAAGTATACATACCTCTAGGAAGGGTGTTTCCCCTAGGATCTTCGACGATACTGAAACTTGAAGCATCAGATTCCCAAATGTATTGCTTGTCATCGTTATGCTTTGTTGTCACAATTACTCTATCGGCAACTAGGAAAGCAGAATAGAAACCGACCCCAAACTGACCGATCATGTCGTTTAAATCTTGAGCGGCACTCGCATCCTGCATTTTATTAAGAAACTCAGCCGTACCAGACTTGGCAATCGTTCCCAAATTATTCACTAAATCCTGACGAGTCATTCCTATACCGGTATCCGTAATATGCAGCATGCCCGCCTCTTTGTCCGCCTTTATTCGTATATTTAATTCCGCCGTCGCATCTAGAGCACTCTTATCGGTTAGCGAGAGCAAACGGATTTTATCCAAAGCGTCGGAGGCGTTCGAAATTAATTCTCTCAGGAAGATCTCTTTGTTTCGATAAAGCGAATTTATGATAAGTTTCATCATTCGATTAACCTCAGCTTGGAATGTGAATTTCTCGGCGCGTTCTCGTAGCTCCCGGAGCTGGGCGACATTAAGGCCATCCAATTTAATGGCCTCCTCTTCTCTTTTCACGACCTCATCGTCTATAAAGGAAATAAAATCAATTCATATTGACACGCACCCAAATAATAAAAAATATTGATAAAACTTGATGTAAATAAATGAAAATGAGTTCGAATAATCCGAGCTCATCGAAAACTGAAGTGAGCACACCGCCGAAGAAATTGCCAGCCTTTAAGTTGTACTTTCCTGTCAAGCAGAAGATCGGTTTCTCAACTGGCAATTACCCAAATCGAGGTGCGATTAATAAAAATGACTAAATCTCACTTATTTAGCTGACAGTTTCAGTGGTCAGTTCAAAATTTTATTCGAAAACTTATCCATTTGCGTATAAGGAATGTGACTTGAGGAAATGCATAGACATATTAACGAGTAATGGACCGAAACAGAAGTACAATGTACCCATAACTGAAAATCAGAGGTGGAGTATTATTAATCTTGTTGAGTGCATGACATAAATATATAAGTGTTGTATAGATATGGTTGGTACGACTTCGGAGGGTACGATCGAAACTTACACAAGCAAATCAAGTTTACAAAAAACACCCATCAATTAGTAAAAGAGCACTTAATGAACTACGCTAAAATAAGAGAATAGAAACTGACCTGTTCGGGAACCATCTCGACTAGCTCCAAGATCAATATCAATTTTTTCAGCTGTTCCGGCGACCGTGGGGTCATCGGCACGTACATTTCCTAAAAGATCTCATTGAAATCTGCACTGACAGGACGAAAACCAGAAACTTACCTATAAGTACAAATAACGCTATCACAATAAACGCAAGCTGCTTCATTTTCAATTACACCTAAAGCACACCATACAATTCTACAATTATTTCATAGAAAATACTGAAAATGTTAACACGTTTTACTCGGACGAATTGAAAAAGTGAAACGCGTAAATTCCGTAATATGTCTAATATGTAATGCCGGTAACCAATTAGAAAACACCAACACATAGCATATACAAATGGCTAATTCTGATTGGTCCAACTCACGTGTAGTTCTACTGTCATAAAATTGCCGGGGAATTTAAACATTCAATTTCGTACCATGCACTGAGTACCATGGTATACTTTCTTGAATAATTAGCGTTATTATGACCTTGGTCTTAAATTATCTACTGATAACAATGCTTGTTGTGTGTCTCATGGCCACACTCGATATTTACCTATGTTAATGTAAGTTGAGGCAGGTATACAAATAATTTAATTATCTTACCTACCGGCATTCCTTGGCAAATCTATAAGGGTGTTGTTTAGCATAGGTTTATTGTCTAGAACAGGCAACAGGGGCGGATTATCTATAAATTACAGCTTAGGATCCTAAAAAGTTGGAGGTACGTCAGAGCTACGGAAGCGTGAGACATTCGTCATGTATTTTTTTATTGATTTACTTTTATATATCGAAAATTCGAAAGAGCCGCCAGACCCCGTCATTAAACGATCCCGGCAACTTTTGGATACCTACTTCCCGTCTTCGATCACCGACCTGGCAAAGAAAACCCTGCGATTGGTTCATTTACAAATCCTGACACCACCCTATACGATGTTAGGCACCGTTTGAAATTTGGTCCCTGCCCTCCGGCGTAGCGCCGGGGGGTCTAGTGGGAAATCGTGAGATTTGATTAGGTATTCACGAAAGAAACTGACATCCTGGAGAAGATAATTAATTCCTCTTGTGCTGGGGGATATTCCATACCCCTAGGTACTACGATAGTAGAAACCAAAATTTTTATATATTTCTGCAGAAATTAATCATAATAAAGCTGATTTTGAAACTCATTTGGGAGAGAACATAGCACCGGGGGTCTGGAATATCACCCAGCACAAGAGGAATGCCCCCCAGGAGAATGTGAGATTTAATTACATATTGCCGAAAGCAACTGTAGCATCAAGGAGTCAGGGCTATATATGCAATGTCAAACAGCATAACACAAATGAGCATTCCATACCCTCCTAGAAACCGTGTAGAAATGTCTACCAGAAAAGGAAAATTTTAATGGCTCTCCCTAGGAAAATAACAAAATTGGATTTATACACCGGGGCTTCTGGGAGATTATACATACAGTTAAGACCGGGGTAGGTGGATTACTAATGACATTGTAATGGATTACTTATCGTTTTAAGCCAATATGAACAAACTTAAATGTTGTTTTATCAATTTAGTGGTACAAATTAATTCTCTTAATTTAATTTATGCTAATATTCGTAGTTTAGGAGAAATTTTCAAAATTTTGTCTCCGACGAATTGCAAGAGTATTGAATAGAATCCACGTACATTATTGTTACTCTGTGGAAATTGCAGGTTATGAGCGTATGAACTAAATTTGCTATAAAATTACCTGGCCATATAATATCTTTAGTTGTTGTAATGATAACTTATAGGGCTGGAGGACGAGTTGTTATGTTACGCCGCTACATAATGTAGATATCAGCCCAAGTGAAATATAAAAATGGAAACGGCAGATGCGTTACTCCTAAACATTAAATATCAGAACATGTATTTCAATTTGTTTGTTCTCTTAACAGGCTTCACAAAGATACGGAAGGTAATTTTGTCAATTGAAACTAGGCAATATATTACCGAATCTTGTCAATGCCATAGTTATAATTGGAGATATAAATCTTGATCTATTATCTATAAGAACTATGTCCATAACTATAAAAATCTTTAGGCAATAAATTAGTTTAATGTCGCTAATTAAAATCCTACAAGAATCGCTGTTAACTCCAAAACACTGTTGACCATATTTTTGTAAGGCACACTAACATAAATGGACTGCAATTTTGATATTGTTCTTACCGACCACTGTGTTTTTGGTTAAAATTAAATTATCATTCAAAATTCTAAGAAGAAATGGATAAGAAAATAGCAACTTAAGTAAAAGTTAAGTGTGAATTTACGCCTAATCTAAAAACGAATCTGCTAAATTACTGATTGGGGCGGAATACTATGCAACACAAAATATAAACGTCTGTTTTGCAAAATTATAGATCTACTAAATTCAGAAACCAATGATTGTAAATTGCACAGCAATATTACCCAAAAAATTAACTAAAGCTAATCTGTTACCCCTTGGTTGAATTTTAATCTGTTAAAAAAACTTAAAAAAAGGAGGAAGCTTTATAATATAGCCAAAAAGCGTCCGTACGACTGCAATTTCAACTTATATTATAAAAACTACTGTATAAACTTGAGAAGTGAGCTGGACGCAGCAAAGAACGAGCATCTAGCAAATAAAATAAATAGTTGTAACGGAGATCCTTCCCAGTATTGGAAAATCATTAATACCCTATAATCAATAGCTCAGTAAATAAAAATGTCGAAAAAATTGAACTGTAAAACGGAGAGGTGATAACAGAACCGAGTAAGATAGCTGAAGAGGTGAATCGTTACCTTATCAGGGTGCAAAGTCAGGCCAACAACGACGCAGGATACGAAAACCTTGGTTTAAGTATTCCTGGCAGACCTCTACACTGCTTAATTTCTTAAGCCCGTGGCAATTTGGGTTCAGATCAGGAATGTCCACTGAAGATGCCTTGTCCATTGTTACCGAATTGATTCATAACGGCCTAAATGCTAGTAAAAAAATAACAGGTCTGTTCATGCATTTTAAAAAGGCATTTGACCTAGTGGATCATGTCATTCTACTATCAAAGTTAGAAGCTATTGGAGTTAGAGGAGTAGTTCTAAACTGGTTTCGTAGTTTTCTCACCCATCGATTACAAAAAGTCAGGATCCAACATTACTATAGTTCACCTCTTTGTGTAAAATCTGGGGTCCCTCAAGGATCTGTGTTGTCGGCACTCTTATTCTTAATATTCATTAACGATTTACTGAAACTGCCGTTCGCTGGGCGCGTAAGTGCTTTTGCAGATGACATAGCGCTTTTTTATTCACAAAAGAGATCCAACGATATACAAGCAGAAGCTAATGAAGATTTAAGATTATTAAGTGCATGGTGCCACGTAAACAAAATGGAAGTGAATGTTAATAAAACAAAATACATTAACTTTAGTATAATGAATAGTTTTGCTTTTGATTCTGATTTAAAGTATCACGTTTTTAATTGTCTACAGTTTAACTGCAGTTGCCAAAAAATCGACAAAGTCGATAATTTCAAATATCTAGGAGTAATTCTAGACGAAAATATATTAACTGGGAAAAACACATAAATACGTTACACAAAAAGTTGAAGTCATCCGTAAGAATTTTTTACTTTTTACGAAATTTCTGTTCCGCCGACCTGATGAGAGCCATATATATTTTGCTTTAATTGATTCAAGGCTACAATACGGCTTGGGGCGGAGCTTTCAAAACTTTTATTGAAAAATTAAGAACGACTCAAAATTATCTCATACGAGTGATGCTTCATCGAAGTAAACGAGAAAGCTCTTTTCAATTGTTCACTCAGTTACGAATACTGCTCATACAACATCTGTATGTACATAAGGTCTTGAGAATATTTTATGCAAGAAGCGGGAATATTGGTACCACTGACCTCCTATACGTAACAAGAGGCAGAGAGCAGCGCATTTTCAGGCTGCCAAAAGTAAATAAATCATTTTTAGACAATCGCTTCAATATATAGGACCTAAGTATTTCAATCAACTGCCCAGTGATATAAAATCCTCCCATATTACCGCTTTTTGTAATAAGATTAAATCATGGCTATTATCCCAAGAAGACATCAATGTACTGAATTATGTGTTGTCCTAATGCTGTTATATTCAGTGTTATCTTTTGTTTAGAAATTATTCAGTTTTCAAATCCGGAAGCCATATTAATATCTTTTGTTGTTGTGATTTGTTAAATACAAATATGCATGTACCTTATTTTTTCTAGCATAAGATTAGCTTAATCTCTGTTAGACGCCATGTGGAGAGGCATTTTGTTTTCTGTTTTTTACCTTAGTGAACTGGACTCTGTACTTTTTATTTTTATATAGTTAAATATTATCTAGCGTCGGTCACTTACTACTGGTATCTGTGACCAACGTAATTCCGAATTTCTATACCTTTATATATTTTGTAAACGATTAGTGGCGGGTTCTGGGGATATACAATACAACCCAAACCCTGGAGAGGAAGATTACTAACACTTTCCCGGTTTTCAGAAAGAGTAATCAATCCAGCCAGGACATTGTCACTGTGAATGCAAAGTTTGGAGTTGCAAGATCTTGACATTACCCACAAATTTGCTGTAATGTGGCAAACAAAAAACAATAAAAAAGGGCATTTTGTATTGTTAATTCTCAGAACATGATGTTCAGGTCTTTTAAATTTAAAAGACTTCCATTAGATATCAACTCCATGCAAATTTACCAAAGTAACTCAACTTTATGTACTTCTCGTGCCGGCAGTAGGTAGGTACACTAGGCGAAAAATACATTAAAAAATTAAAGAAAAAATATCCTTGGTATTATGTTTATTCCGTTTCATTTTCAGATTTACATTTAATTTAATTACATTCTAGATGGAAGTGAGCAGGTACCAATGGAATAAATAAGTAATGAAAATGTAATTAAATTGTGTAAAAGAAAAACGTGTTGTACGACAAGATATGCATTCTAAAATTCTTCCTCAAAGACGACTAGGTACTTTTCTACTATCATGTATGAAGAAAATTTGAAATACTTGAATTATGAAAACTATCAGTATTTAGGTTTATGGAACACATACAGGGTAATTTCTTTCGCAATACATTTCCTCGAAAAATAACTTTTATTTCACTTAATACTAATCCTGTATGCAAGTGCAACATGAAGTTATAGGAGCACTAAATAAAAACTATGGTTTGTATAGAAAACACACAATGGTCTTACAAGCACCTAGCTCTTTCTTTGATTGAAAGTTCAAAAGACATCTATTGACCATGTAATTAACTACTTATTGTACTTTAGTGGTACCTCGGCTTGTGGTAAGAGGTATAGGTGTAATGTTTGCAACATCCACTAACGGTTTTGGAGGGTTGGTAACACTTGCAGTGTTATTTTTTGTACGACCTCGTCGACCCCGTCCTCTCTTGGTACCTGTGTTCGGGCGCTGCGTATTTTCTTGTGAGGTAGAATCTTTATTACTGCTTCCTTCCAATTCCTCTTCATCAGCATTGTGCATCACCTGCATAAACCGAACGCACTTTTAGAAAAAACTGAAAATAATATCACATCTTGATTGTACTACTTTCTGCATGATGCAAAAATTTATAAAATGAACTACGCCCAAGTTGCAGGTGCAGTACAGCAGAAACCATATTCAAGCAACAGTGGTGCACCACAAGGATCAGTAAGGAACCAGTTCTGTTTCTTACTGTGAGAGATGCAGTGTTAGATAATAATATAAAACAATCAAAAATATTAGGGGCTAGTTGTACCATAACAGTTCATCAGTTCAATTGACTCGATTGGACAATTTTTTTAATAAATAAGGTTGACCTATTGTGGTAAAAAAAACCCTATAACGTTTTATTCAATAAAAGCTCAATACAGAAATAATATTGCAATAGGAGAGCCTATCTGAATACCTTTTGCGGTGAGCTTGTAACACTCGATGATGACATCGGTTGAACTTGACGCTGCTGCTTCACAGGTTTCAATTTATTCCCAGGCGCAGTCAAAGATGAATGCGTTAGGGTCCTCAGAACGTTTCCGACTGCTTTTGTGCGTCCCTCACGGAAAACCATTCGCTGACCAGGTACAATGTATTCTGGATGCTTAATAAAACGGAAATGTACAACAGCTTTATCACCGGTTCGTAGACAATCCTGGGACATGCTAAGAATGCTGGCAGTTTGCCTAATACTCCCGCAATGTACTACAAGTTACGTGAAATTATTAGGTTTGTTATCAATAATTACGTACCCATGGCTTGGTAACGTGAGCTGATCGTTGTTGGATGATGCAAAACCAAAATTTCACCTTCAAACTCCCAACACGCTTGGGGATTTAAAGCAGGCGATACCATTACCATACCCTTGCGAATTTGTGATCTTTTAATTTTCTTCAAAGCAAAACTAGCAGTTTGTCCTGCACGAACCTCTCTAACTGCCATACGTTTTCTATGAATACTTTTAACGGCGATCGGTTGAAAATGTCCTAGTGGATCAGGTCCCAGCACTAAAGTATCATTTAACCTAATCACTCCCTTTAGAGTTGTACCAGACACCACTGTACCTACACCCTAAAAATAAACCGTTCCATAACACACCAAAGCAACAAAATTCAAACACTAACAGGAACTGAATAGGTATCATCAATTTGAAATTCGGCCGGCTCATTCTCGTGATACTCCATTCTAGTGGTCAAAAGATTAAGGAAGGTTTTCAGTAGCTCCAAATTCTCCCCAGTCACGTTGGAAACTTGAAAAATTGGACACAATCTAAAAGTACTTAGTTTGAAAGCACGTTTCTCGCATAAAAAATTTACCTTTCCGACACAAAGTTTGTGGCGCTCAAAACGACGTCGTCCGCCGTTTTGACCATAACCGGTACCTTTCGACAGCCTGGCGATTTTAAGATTCGCAGCAACAACTTTATGTTGTCCTGTAAAACGTTAAGAGGACACATGTCGATCTTCGTTATTACAACAAACACTGGTACGGAAAGAGCTAACGCCAGTCCCAAATGTTCCTTCGTCATGCCGACAATGCCAGCGTTTGCGCCGATCTAAAAGTATTGCAAAATTTAATTATCAAACTCTAGTGGAATGGGGGGGCATTGGGCAATTTCGAAACATCTAGCTATAAGTATGCCAAAGAGAAACAAACGCCCCACACCCCAACAATTTTGGACTACCCATCCCCACTAAAGAAATCATCTAATGGGGAACAATTAAGGGTAGACATCCAATTAAGTGTCATAAATTTTATTAAAACTGTAATATGTGGTGTATAGGTACAAATACATGTCTGCAAATTGTGTTAGCTAAAATTTGACATTTCATCCACACATTCTTAACAATAAAGTCAAATTGAAGTATCTTATTTGCGTTGAATTCAGAATAAAATAGCGTATTTAGAGAAAAATTGAAAATGGTATGTTTCTTCCGGGAAGTGGCGCCATCTTGAAATGATATTTCAATTTGCAATGGTCGCTTATGGCTGCAAACCCAATTTCCATTTCAACTGCAAGTTTAAAAACTTCCTATCGCATGGGTCACGTAAATCACCCTGTATAATTGTTTATATTTATTCTTAAAAATAATTTTGATTATTATTTCAAAAAATATTTAATTTTGTGTAAAAGCTGACAACGCGACTAAACTGTGCTTAAGGAACTCTTCAGTTGCATAGTCAGCTGTTTCTCCAAAACAGGTAGTATTTTTTAAAATAATAACCAAACTTATTTTTAAAAATAAATACATATAAACAATTATATATTTTTGCAAAACTTTCAATTCACGCTCAATCGATATAAAAAAACGTGGCAAAAATGATTCATTTTCAAAAATTTAAGACATCCATGAGAATTTTGACTTTTACCTATGGGGTTCCTTTGTTTCATCACAAAGGGAAAACCGCAAGTTCACAATTGCGCAATTATTATCTTGGGAACAGGAAAATCTGTATTTATTTATTTATTATTATCCCTCTCTTTGTTTTAGGCCCTCAACAGAGGTGCCTCTGCAGAAGGTCTTAAGTTGGTCTATACTACTCCCTTACGAATTAGGAAAACTGCAGGAAAACCTCATTCGGAGTAGCCGGTAGAATGCTCGGAACTGGTCTAAGGTAATTTCCATCTCCGCCACAGATGAAAAATTCACCTGAACCCAGGTTCGAACACCCGACCTCCGGATTTATAACCCAATTGCTCTACCACTGAGCCATAAATCCGGTACGTAGTAGATAAGCAGATGGAATTAAAAGCTTTAGGGTCGCAAGAAGTGAACCCTGGTTTGGTGCTAGTGGATATTCAAAGCCTGAGATACCCTCCGTTCAAAGAGTACAAGACCTGGTAAATTTTAGTAAGGATTATAATATAATATTTTTGATAAGTCTCCTAACGAGTCACTATCGAATGAAAAGACCTCCACAATATACGAGTAAAAGTAGACCCACTGTGCAGGACGAAAACACATTGCTCTGCATAATATACTGTGTCCCTGTGAGGTATATAACAAGTAAAGGCACAAGTTCCTTGGGGAAATGATACAAACAAGAATACGACAACATGCTGTTCCCAGGATTCTAGATATTGACATTGTAAAGGAATGATACTAAAACTATAGCGTGTACCCGAAAAAGTACAGGAACTACCCTCTGAGAATAATAACAAACAAATCCGAGCACTCTGAGCATAGCATGTCATCTTGCATACTCGAGCATATCCAAAAAGTGAATATTTGTTAAATAATAAACAATTTAATTAGACCACCCCTGTATCATACTTACATTTTATACAGGGTAAATCAGTTTTTTAGCTTGAGAGATATTTCCTCTACTTCTTTTTTTATCTAATTTTGATCATTTACAAATCAAGTTGGACCAATGTATTTACCATTAGCATTCCGAAATCCGGTGCATGTCCGGTCATTCCGAACACTGTGGTTTTCAAATAACGCTCATGACCGGCCAAATCGATGAACGTTATCACCTTGGAGCTTTTCTCGCAAATCTTGACCCAATCTAACGAACCATGCTCCGGTTTGTTCACAACGTTTCCCTCACTGTCGAAACCCAAAATGTCATTTCCTACGGAACTGGTACGTCCCGATTCCATTTCATGTTTGTGCCTAAACAGCTTTTGACGAGCGTGCCCCCTGCCGTTGTCCAATTCGCCGTGGGTCAAAACGCCTAGCAAAGTCGACTTGCCGGCATCCACGTTACCGACGACTGCAACGCGAATTTCCAGGAAGTCTAGGGAAAGAAAAATTAGTTTTTAAAATGTGACCGATGCAGTTACCGCTTTGATCTAATAGCCTCCTTATGAGATACTGGAGGATACTTCCACAGCTTCCCTTTCGTTCACGTAGCAGGACACAGCTGCACTCCAAACTAGCAGCGAGAGACTGCAGTGTTGCAACCGCTGCCTCCTTTTCATCACCTTTCAAACCGTTGTCTCGTCCGTCAACAATACCACCGATCTACCAAATTATTGTACCCACTTGGCAATTTTAATCACAAAGCTTACCTCGATAATAACTTCTCCTCTACCCTCATCCAGTTGGTGCTTCAATCTTTTCAATTGCATCTCGAACTGCTCCTCATTCGGGCTGATAAGGACCGATTTTCCAAACACTGTATTAAAATCGTCGATAGTTTTCAGCAGCTTTTCGCCGCCCCCAAACTCTCCCATTTTAATTTATTTCAAATTCACTTGCGGTAGGTACGTATAATGATTCAGTTACATTACTGATGAATGACTGCCAAATATTGTGTAAACGCCGACCTTTATGGCAAATGCTTCACGCAAATCCTACGGGTATTGTGCAATGTTAATGTTTTGAAAAGTGACAAGCAACAACAAAACAAAGACAGCTTATATAACAAAAACAATAGGAATTTTTCTGTACGAAACCGGTACGGAAAAACCGTGATTAATTGGTTATCTTTATTAAATACTGCAAAATTGATGACACCACCAAATTGTACATATGGAGCACTTTCCCTTCGAAAAACAAATAAAGAGGGAGAGGAATGGAAAGTGAGACTTACATGCTAATAACTAATTCGGGCACTAATCTGCAATTGTAAACAAATTGGAGTGGATTTTACTTGGCGATTTATTTATACAGAACAAATGAGAGGTGACATTCCCATTTGTTCTGTTGTAAATACAAGCACGCACGTCACTGAGCTCAGCTGGTGAATTTAGCATTGCCAACATTACCAATTGCTGCTGTCCCCATTGTCTAACCTATAAAATCCACTAACATAAGTGAAATAAATAAACATTTCCGATTTTTCGATCTTGTTCCAAAATGAATGAATTGGAAAAACTAGAACACTTGTCTTTGGTTTCTAAGGTGTGCACAGAGTTGGAAAATCATCTGGGAATTAACGATAAGGACTTGGGTAAGTTTTGATTTCACTCTGTTTTTGAACCTAATTCTAACCCTATGGCACGTTAAACCTAAAAGGATTGAAGGTGGTAGTTGAAAATGGTCATGTATTAAGTATTTGGGTACTTGCGTCTGGGAGAAATTCATTACGGAACCCCTTTACTTGGTCAGTACTGAGTATCCACTAAGGGTGATATCTAAAATGTCCTTTATTCCGCTAGTTTGTGTTACAATCAATTGCACTTAGGGAAATCACAAACACATGCTGTAAGTTGCCACACATACTATACTCGTTGGTATACCTACTTTGCGTTGGTGTCTTACCAAATCAGTGGGTAAACTTGTGTCAACTATTTTTTGTAGTCCTCTCAGCTACCGTAATAAGTCTAAATTTGAAAGAATCAATTTTGTTTAATTGTAGAGTCAAGATGCCTTGTAATGTTACAATTGTTTCGTATAATAATATAATTCGTGTACAAAACGATTGCGCAAAAACGTTTATTTAATACCCACAGAAGAAGCTACGAGGAAATAATAATAATATTAGTGCCTTTATTGCAGTAAAAAGAGTTCTTTGTGATGCAAAAATATGTAGAGGCGAAGTTCAGCCAATGCTGCTCTTCCACTTAGGTTTAATTACAATAAGTAATAAACTTTGCAACGTCAAACATAGAGTAGGTAAATTTGCTGTACATGTGTGAGAGTCTTTAATGGGTAATAAACAATGTAGAACAGTAATGTAGATTGGTAACATTTGAAAAAGTACACACAGATAAAATTTAAAATAAAAAAAATTGGATCCCTGTAAAACGCATTGCCAACAGAGGGTATTATTCGAGGTATTATTTTGTGTATCCAGAAGGTATGACTTAAGTTGTTTTTTAAATCTCAATCCGTCTAGTTCTTAATTTGGCGGGGATATTGTTCCAACTTACTGCAATGTGGTACGAAAAAGATCGTCTTAACATGAAGGTGTTATGTTTGGGGGTTGTTAATCCTCGAAATCTTAGATTTAGATTATGTGTATCAGTCCTAAAAGTTATTTTGTAATATAAATACGGAGGGGATTGTGACTTAATAATTTTATTACTGCTTCTATTACTCCCCAATCCAGAAAGATACAGAAACCATAGAAGATACGACAACGTTCAAATTAGGGAAAATTTGCGCAATTAAAGGGTTATTATTGTGCTGTAAAGAAAACCGAAAATTCCAATTACTTCCGAAGATATGCCAGAAAAACCGAAATTTGCCTTTTTGTTTTTATTATTTTTTTATCTGATTTGAACAGATACAAAAAAAAACACCCATTTGAGCTCTACAAAACACAATTGAGATATTTTCAATACAATGTTTCGTTTCGGAGAAATCATCTTCAACTTTATTTATTTTTCTATGGTCCTCAAAAAAAGTGCATACTAGGTATATAGAGTAGTAATATTAGGACTACAACAATGTACAGCACAAAAAAAACAAAAGTTTAGAAACTCTGTTGGTTTCAACCTCGGTTTCAACAGGATGGTGCACCCACTTACAATGTTCTAATCAGGCGAGAATACCTATAGGACAAATTTTCCTTTTTCCAGGAAATTTGCCGTTGGAGCAGGTTTGTATGATTATAGATAAGCACCCCCACAAATGGATAAAATATATTTAAACTCTAAATAAATTACAAACAAGGATTATAAATTTTTTTGCTAACTTACTGGTATTAACTTCAATATTATTATTTGCTTAATAAACTTAATAAGGTCTCGGATTAATTGCTGTGATAAATCGTGTATGAACTGTTGGAGGTGCCAAAAGCAAGGTAAGCAATAAATATGGAGGGGGAAGTATATCTGTGGATAGGTAAGGATCGGTCTGTAAAAGATCATAGTGCCCACAATATGTTTTTGTGGTTGCTGCATCTCCGCGAAACTACACCCTTAGACTTATTCCTTATGCCATAAGCCTTTCCTCGAAAGAGATGAATCACAAAATTTTAAATGGAGGCGATTTTAAAAGGGCTTCTTGTGTGTTCTATAATTTCAAGCTTGTACATTTAAAAATAATTTCTATAGATACGCAACCATCTATAATTGACATACGCACACACGATTTTTTTATTTGATATTTTATTTTTGAAAATGAAATTAAATATGAGAACAAAAAAAGTTGACCTTGAAAATGAAACCTTGACACTTTCTAAAGGAGGGCGCGACCTTTGAACTTCGACTTGACCTACTTTTCAAGGATATTGTTTTGTTTTTTTTACTTTCAATTTTCTTGCAATTGCACTTGCATTTGCAATTTAGTAAGCAATTAATGTAGAGAGTGGCATTAAAAGAAAAACTAACAATTTATTTATTTATGGCATTTAGTAGGCAAATAACATACAGAGTGGAGCGGCAAATGAAGCAATTAATTTCACACTTGCAATTTATTAAGCAATTAATATAGAGTGGTTTAATAATAAAACCGTAGGGGCTAGTAATTAATTTATGGCACTTGTGCAAATAGTTTACCACAGCAATTTTTTTTAAATTTTTTTTTTGCCTTTATTTTTATTTTACCTTACCTTATTACCTCTAATATTCATAAAGTTTATGGCGTAAACAATAATAGAAGTACCAATAAGTTAGCAAAAATTCTATACCCTCTTATGTGGCGTTAGGGGTGCTAAATTAGATCACCTTTATATGGAACACCATACATGTTGATTTAATTCACCAAGTATAGGAAACAAATCATAGCTTAATTTGTCCTAACTGGCCGAAAAGGCTCTTTAAACATTGGATTTGGTATAACGGCACTGTACAAGTATAAATTCCAAAAATAAATTAGTTCTACTCACTCTATGTTTCGTTTGTCGTCCTTGTTTAGTGTTGTGAGGTGCGTGTATTTCTATTTTGCAATATTTTCGGAAATATTCGCGAATTGCTAAGAACGAATATTCGCATGCGGAAAATTTAAGCGAATATGTCTCGTCCCAATCATTCTCGAAAACCTTACGGGAACGTTCTTCCGAAATGTCCAGTTTATACTAGTTTTTAATGGACCAACCCCCAATTTCACGAGGTTACATACAGTAGTTCTTCTCGGTGAAGTTCTTCATTACTCAGGTATCAAAAGATCTGCACCATGGAATTTTCTACATTTTCGTAAATGTTTTAGATTTTTGTGAAGTTTTTGAATGTTCAATCATATTTTTGACTTGTTTAGTGTTTCCTTTAATTTGTCTGACTTTTGAGATTTGTTTTGAAGGAGCAGTATTGGTTGTGGCTGAAAACTTCTTTTTTATGTATGTTAAATAAATAATCAGTTCAAAGCTCGGATGCGTTTTTTTTGTTTTTAAAAACATAATTTTATTAAAATATTGATTCTGTATTTGGTGTATGTAGCTATATCTAATTAGTATAGAATAGTTTGAGTAGTAAGTACATATAGGTATGTAGTATATTTGTCGAGATATTTGTAAAAGATGATTATTACCGAAAATATCCGAATATTTTGGAAAGTTCCCGAATATTCGCAACGATAAATCATTTGCTGTGGCTATCACAGATACCTCCCGCACAATTGCGCTTCAATTCTATATGCCTTAAATGCTTTAAGTCAAATAAAATAGCAGAATAGGTGGAGTAGAAAACCAAGGTACACACGACATAGGTTAGAATAAAGTAACTGGTCACAATCAACCAAACCCCATAAAAAATTCTACACTACACGCTTAATTTTTCAGCTGAATTTATAATTCATCTATCGAAAAAACATAGTACGTTGGAAGATTTTAAAAAAGTACTCGCTGAGAATGGGGCCGAATTTTCAGAGTCTTTCTCTGCAAACCTACTCAGAATCATTCAGCACATGAATCCGGATAAAAGCAACGACATAATTATCTCCACGCCGCATACAGATGAATTGTCAAAAAAATTCCCCGGTCTGGCTTTGCCGAATAAAGCGCCCGTCGAGCTTCCGCCGCCCGAAATCAAGGAGGAGAAAATAAGCGATTCTGAAATAGTTGACGATTTGATGGCGCAGTTTGAGGCACAGGCGCCGTCGAAATCGACGGTGCCGGACGAGAAAAGCGTTAAGAATGAGAAACGCAGTCGTAGTCGCGATCGTGAAAAGCGCAGCCGTAGAAGCAGAAGTAGGGAACGGGATAGGCATCGTCGCAGGTCGCGAAGTCGCAATAGACATCGAGATCGTTACAGGGATAAGAGGGATAGGTCCAGGGACAGATCTGGTCATCGCAGGAATAGGTCTAGAGATCGCCATAGGAGTAGATCCAGAGATCGTAGTAGGTCACGGGATCGGAAAATCTACGAGAAGAAAATCAAACGGGAGAGTCCCGAAATTGATGACGATCCAACTCCCGGAAATGTAAGTACTGTTTGACTCGCGCGGACTTCATTACGACTTTACTGTTATAGATTTACAATGGCAAGGTGGCCAATATAGTACCGTTTGGATGTTTTGTCCAAATGGAAGGCTTGAAGAGACGCTGGGAAGGGCTGGTGCATATATCACAATTGAGAGCCGAAGGAAGAGTGACTAACGTGTCTGAAGTAGTTTCCCGAGGCAACAAAGTCAAGGTTAAGGTGTTGTCCGTGACCGGTCAGAAGGTTTCGTTGTCAATGAAAGAGGTATGCCAATTCACAGGGAAGGACTTGAATCCACTTTCTCACGCAACCCAAGAACGCGAAGACAAGGATCGAAATCCAGACCGACCCACTTACAATTCGACCTCCGTTTTACGGTTACCCTTAGGCATTGAGGAGGACGATGAGAGCTCGCGTAAAAGAGTGACCCGAATATCCAGCCCCGAAAGATGGGAAATAAAACAGATGATCTCGTCCGGATGCATCGATAAAAGCGAACTGCCCGACTTTGACGACGAAACCGGTTTATTACCCAAGGAGGAGGATGGAGAAGCCGACATCGAAATTGAGCTAGTCGAAGAAGAGCCGCCGTTTCTTCAGGGGCACGGCAGAGCAGTGCACGATCTCAGTCCCGTTAGGTATGTGCCGTTATGGTTAGTTTAGTTCGACAGGTCTCGTTTTAGAATTGTTAAAAATCCTGATGGTTCACTTGCCCAATCGGCTATGATGCAGTCGGCGCTCGCCAAAGAGAGACGCGAGCAAAAAATGTTACAACGGGAACATGAAATGGAATCGCTGCCCTCTGGTTTAAATAAGAATTGGATCGATCCGTTGCCTGAAGGTAAGAAAAGCTTTAATTTTTGGGTGGGTGGGGTTCTTTGGAGTGTTTCTCTCTATTTCTAATGTGCTGTGGCTGCTCCGTTGAATACGCTTAGCGGATTTATGGTATCTACGGTTATGACTCATCATTATTCTTAATACGTATTTTTTTAAGGGATTTGTCTTCCCTCAGTGGTCCCTCGTTAGACATTGCTACCGCAATATTTACGTGCCGCGCTATTCACTATCCCACTTGTTTCTTTGTTTGTGTTGTTATCTATTAAGGCCGTCTGACACTATGCTAAATTTTGTATAAAATTTTGCACTAGAAAATTTTGTAAAAAATTTTGTACAAAATTTAGAAAAAAAAATGAAATGTGTCTGACACTATTTAAAAATTATGGTAAAATAAAATTATTCACGCTTGCTCAGTCTCAGTTACAACATGGGGAATTTTGATTTTGGTTGTTACCTCATTGGTTTTCACTAAAAGCAGCTGTTGGTGCGACATAACCTATACGCTTTGTTATTATATGTACTTATTTAGTCGAATCGATTACATTTCATATCACTGACTTTAGCTATGCCTAATACAAACATATCATTAATGCACGCGGCGCTTGCCGCCACGGCAATTATTCTTTTGCGAAAAATGCTGTTACGCTTAAAACAAAAACGCAATCGACGAAGATTGTGGTCGAGAACGTGGTTACAACGGCGAAATGAAGGTAGAGGCGTTTTAAATATGTTAAACCAAGAGCTTCTGCAGGAGGACCCCGTATCTTACCAAAATTACCTTCGCTTAAACAATAAACAGCTGGGATATTTGCTAGCATTAGTGAAAGATGACATAACCAAACAAGATACCCACTTACGAGAGTGTATCCCCGCTAGAAGCAAGTAAGTATCAAAGAAGCCTTACATTTTAGGGCATATAGCATGTACAGTTCTTAACTTCAGATTACAAGTTACTCTAAGATTTTTGGCAACCGGAGAGACGTTTCGATCCCTTATGTACGCAACAAGGATTCACGAAACTACAATTAGTCGTTTCATACCCGAGGTGTGCAACGCAATCGTGTTAAAATTGAAACCAAATTATTTGAAGGTAAGTTGTCGTTTTGTCAGTATGTTTATAAAATTTATTGAAACAATTTAAACTCTTACAGACACCAAACACGCCAGAAGAGTGGAATAAAATTGCGGATGATTTTAATAATTTATGGCAGTTTCCACACTGCATTGGAGCACTCGATGGACGCCATATAACATTCAGAGCCCCAATCTCGGCAGGATCGTACTATTACAACTATAAAGGTTCTAATAGTATTGTGCTGCTGGGTTTGGCAGATGCAAATTATAAATTTATTTACATAAATATTGGTGTTAACGGACGCATTAGCGATGGCGGGGTGTTTAACAACAGTAAGTTGTCAAAGGCACTGCAAGACAACACACTTAATTTGCCACAGCCCAAACTGCTGCCAGGAATGGAACATCCAATGCCCTATGTCATTGTCGCCGATGATGCATTTCCATTAGCAACAAACCTAATGAAGCCCTATCCTGAACGAGGACTTACCAAAGAATGCAGGATATTTAATTATCGTCTATCACGTGCAAGACGCATAATTGAAAATGCATTTGGCATTTTAGTGAATAGATTTAGGGTACTTTTAAATCCAATTAATTTAATTCCAGAAAAAGTAGAATTAATTACATTGACTTGTGTCTTATTACATAATTTTCTTGCCACTGAAAACTCACAATCCTATATAGAGATTGACGAGGACATCAAAGACCTGCAAAAAGTAACACGACAGTGTGGTAATCGAACGTCGAATAATGCGAGAGAAATTCGTGATCGATTTAAAACTTTTTTCAATTCTTTAGAAGGGTCTGTAGATTGGCAGGAAGAGGCAATAAATAATTTTAATATGTATACAATGTATTTTATATTCTTACCCTGGCCTATTATTTACATTCTACTTTTTTTTATACTGCGATACAGGCATTCAACAATTTCCTGTTCCACTTCGAGACGTATGTCTTCGTTCGTAATTTGATTTAATTTGCAAACAATAAATTTTGCTAACGCTTCGTCTTCTTCATTTTTGCCTTGATTCGTCTTCATTGCCTGATTAATAGATGCAAGTGTATTTGACGCTTCCCGTATGAGATTTTCTTCCACTGGCTCTTGCCGCAGTTTCCTCTTCTTTGGTTTTGGCTGGTAAAATCCATTGGAAGAGGAAGGCGAAGCAACTTGAAATGACATGTCTGGTGACTGTACATTTTCATCACCTGCATCGTGGAGCACGCCGTCTTCTCCTACGACATATTCCTGCACTTCTGATGATTGCGAATCACGCTCTGTGTCTTCCTGCTCTGTCTCTACGTCCTCCGTTAGGGAATCGACTGCCAATCGCACTTTGCAGTGCTCAAGAAGGAAAAACATGACTTTAAAATACCATATTGTTGGTTTATATAACTGTAAATAAAAGTTTTAGTTATTACTACTGTACAGAAGTTTGATGGTATCAGCTTACAGAATCGTCATCATCGTTGTCACAAGCTCCGCTGCGCCTGGATACATTCCATTTCTTGTATTCGTTTAGGAAGTTCGTTTTCAAACCACCAAATTTGGTTTTTATTTCGTTAATCGTTACGGACGGCCTTACTTCCTTCAGCACAGCCTCTATTTTTTCTAAAGCATGCTGTCGTGCATGCCTGTTTTTGTACAACACTGATTTTGTAGCATAGAGACAGGGATGTTTTTGATACTCCTGTATCAAAATTTCACATTGTTCCCGCGACCAGGACATTTTATTAATAAATTTACAAAGTTCAATAGCAAACGAGTGTTTACACCACTACACGTTTAAAGGTAATAATGTTTATGTTTATGGTTCAGGTTATGTACCACACACGTGCATAGGATGCGCCGTAAAACTATGCGCACTTTTTGTACAAATTTTAGGTAGTTTTTAGAACGCGTTCTAAAAAATTTTATACAAACAAATTATGTAACAAATTTTTGTACAAAATACGTATGACACTATGCAATATTTTGTATGAAAATTTATCTGCAAAATTTTCTACAAAATTTAGCATAGTGTCAGACGGCCTTTACAGGTCAGACAGAAAAGCGTAATTTTTTATTTTCGACGACTCTTTGATTATAACGTTTGTTTACATACTGGTTTTCTATACAATCAAATTGTAATGACTACATTTGTTTGATACTCATTTAACAATTATAGCACCGTTGTTCTCTGCGGAAGCTTGTTTTGATATGGACCCTGACTACGAGATGATGGCATGTTGATAAGTAACTGGTATACGGGTGGGGGAAAAGGGCAGACAAATTGTTAATAAACTGCTTATCTAAACGATCATGATCACTACATGATATCATACAGAGGAGCTACTCATAAGAGATTAATATTCAAATCTAATTATGATGCGTGTTTTTTGCATCAGTCACCAGTCCTCCTATCCCCCCTCATGAATCTTCAACATCGAACTGATATTGAAAGTGATTATTTTTGTCATTAGCCGATCGTGCTTTGGTTGCAAATATGAGAGGAATAGGACTTCAGTCCCAAGACCTCCCCGAATGGAAAAAACACGTAATCGGTGGTAAAAAGTCTTCATTTGGTAAAAAAACCAATATGACAATAATCGAACAAAGACAGTCGCTCCCTATTTACAAGCTACGTGAGGAATTAATCAAAGTAAGTGTTGAAACAATCGCAGGCAAAGTGCTGACGCAATCTTCTTTAGGCGGTGACGGATAATCAAATCTTAATCGTAATTGGAGAAACTGGTAGCGGCAAAACGACGCAGATCACGCAGTACTTAGCGGAGTCGGGATTTACGGCGAGGGGAAAGATTGGATGTACGCAACCTCGTCGTGTCGCCGCGATGTCCGTGGCGAAACGGGTCGCCGAGGAATTTGGTTGTCGGTTAGGTCAAGAAGTTGGGTACACGATTCGTTTTGAGGATTGCACAAGTCCCGAAACGGTTATAAAGTAGGTTTCTGTTTTTATTCGCGAGCATGCGATTGCAGTGTGATTTACAGGTACATGACAGACGGTATGTTACTGCGCGAGTGCTTAATGGATTTGGATCTTAAAAGCTACTCAGTCATCATGTTGGATGAGGCACACGAGCGTACCATTCACACGGACGTTTTATTCGGTCTACTAAAGCAAGCAGTAACAAAGCGCCCCGAACTTAAATTAATAGTAACTTCGGCTACGTTAGACGCCGTGAAATTTTCTCAATATTTCTTTGAAGCTCCCATTTTTACAATTCCCGGACGTACATTCCCCGTGGAGGTGTTGTACACCAAGGAACCGGAAACTGATTATTTAGACGCGAGCTTAATAACAGTCATGCAGATACACTTGCGCGAACCACCCGGCGATATTCTATTGTTTTTAACGGGCCAAGAAGAAATCGATACGGCGTGCGAGATCTTGTACGAACGAATGAAGTCCCTAGGCCCGGACGTTCCCGAACTAATCATTCTTCCAGTGTACTCTGCTTTACCGTCGGAAATGCAGACGAGAATTTTCGAACCCGCCCCGCCCGGCAGTCGCAAGGTGGTAATTGCGACAAATATTGCCGAAACCTCGCTGACGATCGATGGAATTTTTTACGTGGTTGATCCTGGATTTGTAAAACAAAAAGTGTATAATTCGAAGACTGGTATGGATTCGCTAGTTGTCACACCAATATCGCAGGTAGGTGTACATGTCCATTTCTCCCACTCGGCCTGCGTTAAAAGTAAACGTTTTACAGGCACAGGCAAAGCAAAGGGCGGGTAGAGCTGGACGTACCGGGCCGGGCAAGTGTTACAGGTTATACACGGAACGGGCTTACCGAGATGAAATGTTGCCCACTCCCGTACCTGAAATTCAACGTACGAACTTGGCGACCACTGTGCTTCAACTGAAAACGATGGGAATCAACGACCTATTGCATTTCGACTTTATGGACGCCCCACCTGTCGAATCTTTGATCATGGCGTTGGAACAGTTACATTCCCTTTCGGCACTCGATGATGAAGGTTTACTAACAAGGCTAGGGAGACGGGTAAGTAATTATACAACGCGGGCATACGCCCCTTACCTCCCAATCACAAGGTATTGTTTTTTGTAACAGTACAATATTATATGTAATTTGCTATTTTTTAGTTAACATAAAACCCTGATCCACAACAAAATTACTCATCCTATACCTCAGGGTAAACTAAAACTAAAACCACCACATTTAAGTCAACAATTAAATGAACCGTGGCACCTGAAGCAACTGATATGTAAATCCCGGAATTATTATTATTATTATTATTTTTCTAAAATTCAACCCCTTGGCCCTTTGACTGGATGATTTCTCTAATATCACCTTGGCTACTCTGATTATGCACAGGAATAATAAGCCAATGTTTCGCTGTGTTGATATTAATTTTGCCCGATTTATTAACTAGGTTTTGTGTTATCCAAATATGTCACTCAACTTGCTTTTAACCAGCCGTTACTATTAGCGATCCGAAAAAGAACTTAGTTGTTTATCACAATGAGTTTTATTGTGAGTTTGGTTTGTAGCGCGCTTCTACGCCTCGAAAATGTTCCTTTGTGTAAGTTTTACCACTCGTAAATGAACGGTCTTGCTACAAGGCAGGCTGCCAGTCCGTTTTATCTTTATCTTTTTTGCGTAAGGCTTAGGGTAAACTCGTCAGTAATTCGTACCACATATTCGACTTTGTTTAAAGGTTTCTCAACGATCTCACCGCCAAATATTCGCAAATAAATATTCTCACACATAAATCGTACGTGCTAACTCTTTGAAAGTCTCGCCTCGTCTGCCCACAACCCGCATAACAATTCGGTCTCACTAGTTTTATCTTTAGACTACCCCATATTTAAGAGACGCATAAAAAATTTTCTTCTATGTAGCGCATTTTATTCTTTTAACGAGTTTGTGGCTAGTGATAGATTATGTAATTAGTTAGCGTTTTTATTGCCATTTTACTTTTTTTACCTATCTGTTTTTAGTTTGTTTGTTATATTGTTTGTTATATACTATTATTTTTAATGTTTAACGTAATTTCCTGTTTCTTTTGACGAGTGTAAGTGTAATTCACATCTTCTCACAATTAAATATTATTATTATTATTATCTCGAAATGCACACTTTTATCGAAAACATATCACCTTTTATTTCTAGACATATTTTCGCTCACATTCGCTATGAAGCGGTGCATGTGTGTAAATTTTCATATTCAAATGTCATAACCACTCCTTTGGAACAATTTTTATTTATTTTAGATGTGAAAATCCACATACCGGTTGAGGTATAATACTTTGGAACCGTTCAGATAATTTTCCAGAGCTTTTTCGGGATATTTTCAGGAGAAATTTTTGATATGTGGGTTGTTATAAGAAGGAGTGGCTGACAAGTGTGTCATTTTTATATAGAAATGTGCTTTCTTGAAAAGTAAAGTTGACGTTTGTTCACACAGTTTTTTAAAGCCACATCAAATGACTTAGATACTAAAGACAGCGTTTTAGCTGGAATGCACTGTATACTTGTTTTATATGGCAACCTTCGTCCTTTCGTTCACTAGATAACTTTCTGAATGTTTTGTATGGTTTTGAACCAGATTTCATGTTACCCTCCGTTAAGAGAGATTTGCACAAAAAGAAGGTTCAAAATGCGCCATTCACAAACATTGGGATATTAAATTAAAGCGCGTTTTTAAAGATCAAGGTGAAGTGTGGTGGAGGTGAATTGTTGACAATTATTGATATAAAATTTTTGTATTTAGATGGCGGAATTTCCTTTAGACCCGAACCTCTCCAAGATGTTAATTATGTCAGTCGCCCTACAATGCTCCGATGAAATTCTTACAATAGTCAGTATGCTTTCGGTGCAAAATGTCTTTTACCGTCCGAAAGACAAGCAGGCGCTCGCCGATCAGAAGAAGGCCAAGTTTAATCAACCGGAAGGCGATCATTTAACACTCCTAGCCGTCTACAACAGTTGGAAGAATAACAAATTTTCAAACGCGTGGTGTTACGAAAACTTCGTACAAATTAGGACCTTGAAACGAGCGCAAGACGTCCGCAAGCAACTGTTGGGAATAATGGATCGTCACAAGCTGGACGTCGTGTCGTGCGAGAAGAACACAGTGCGAGTTCAGAAGGCGGTTTGTTCGGGATTTTTTAGGAATGCCGGGAAGAAAGATCCTCAGGAAGGTTATCGTACATTAGTCGACAGTCAAGTGGTCTACATCCATCCTTCAAGCGCGCTCTTTAACAGACAGCCTGAGTGGGTCATATACCACGAGTTGGTCCAAACGACAAAGGAATACATGCGAGAAGTAACAACAATCGATCCAAAGTGGCTGGTGGAGTTTGCACCTGCTTTCTTTAAATTCTCCGATCCGACTAAGCTTAGCAAGTTTAAGAAGAATCAGAGATTGGAACCGTTGTATAATAAGTATGAAGAGCCAAATGCGTGGAGAATATCACGAGTTCGAAGACGTAGAAATTAAGTTTTTTATTTAATTTATTATATCGTGTAAATACTAGACCAATTAAGAATTACAGAAATTATTGGACTGTTTTTATCTATTCTCTTTTTATTAGGTTATGTTTTTTGCTTTTGTTCCTTTGTGTCTGTGAAGTTGCTTCGGGCAAACAGATGCTTTCAAAGGAATGACAGCGCTGCATTTGGAATATGTCAACAAATACTTCACTTGAACTGTCCGCCTTAGTTGACGAAGTTAAAATAAGTGACTTTATTATGCATAATCTATTCCATGCGTTGACATGATTTATGTAAGGATATACAAATACCTTTTTTCTACAACTGTCAAAAAAACCTATCATTTTCTGACGGATTTCGAAACGTGAAGTACTAGATTTTTAAACGGTTAATTAATAAGTAAGGTTGCTATTGACAACGTGCGCGAAATCGTCAACAGTGAAAAAAAGTATTTCGCGCACGTGACAAAGTTGAACTTAAACAGCAAATTTAATTAACAATCGGTTCAGTTGTAGAAAAAATATTGTATATAACGCTAGCGCGAAGTTATTTCGCGCATTTGACTGATATTTTGACTCGGCTTCGCCTCGTCAAAATACCTTCAGTCTCAATGCGCGAAACTGAACTTCGCGCTCTTGTTATATAAATAACTATTATTTTTTATTTATTTGGGATATACAATGTGTCCCAGATCGGGTGGGATTGCATGGGTATCTTTGTTATTATTAAGGATAGAGAATTGGTTAAATGGGCAATGTTTTGCTGCTTTAGATGCTTATTTAAAATTTCCTTTTGGAAATTCAAAATGGCGCATAGGTTCGACGTAAATTCAAAAAAACTAAAATTGGTCATTTCCTTGAATGGCTTATATCATCGAAAGTATAAGAGATATAAAAAAAAGTTTTATATAAAAGTTACTAGCCAGGTTGCGGACAGCATTTTCCGTTATGTTAGACGGCCATTTTTCCTTATAACATAAGAAATTAAATTTTTGTAGAAATAATTTACGGTATGAGGGCTTTTTGGACGATATATTTATAAATAGCGGAACCAATGAAAATGAAGTTCTTATAATGTGTCACTGCGCAGTACGTAATCACTCATAAATAACATTTTCCTGCTAACCTACTGCAGTGTTTATGTTGGCGGTAGTTCTTTTCTTTTTGTCTAAGAGCATAGTAGTGAACTTTGGACATTTTAACACAATGTAAAATAAAAGTGAGGTTAAGACTCCTTCAAACTTATAAGCAAAATTGAACACGCCCAGCACACACCGCAACTTAACTTTGCTATAAAAATGTTTTATACTTATAAACTTATATTATAAGGAAAAATGGCCGTCTAACATAACGGAAAATGCTGTCCGCAACCTGGCTACTGTCTTTGATACGTTTAATTTAGAATTGATGTCAAAAAAAATTCAACATGGCTACTTTTGAGGAACATTTACCAACTTCCTAAAGTTAAATAGGCGCCATATGGGATTTTTAGATTACTTGATAGATTTTTTAATTCTCTTTTCAACCAGCCATCATAACATAAGATTGAAAATAAGATACCAGTTATATCAACGGTTTTTATATTTTAATTAAGTAGGCTGTGATGAATTAAAAAAAAACAAAACAAAATCTATTCGAGGCAACAAAACAATGAAAATAATTACATCAGATGTTTAAAAAAATCAGGGACGCACTCATGAGAGGGGGGTTTGGGCATTACAACGCCCTCCAAAATTTTATATAAGCATTAGGTCTAGAAAAATTTGATTTTTATAACATCACATTGACTTATTATCCATACTTACATACCTACAAATGGTGGTATAACTACAAACTATCCGCTCGAAAAAAGTCATGCCATTATCCAGTTAAAGATATTTCAAGACACTTCGCTTTATTTTACACAATGTATTACCATTGATGCATTGTCCCAGGTCACATTTTGTAGGTGGTTTATCCACAAGAATATCGAAACTAACAGTTTTACCAGTCCGAGTATATGGACAGATGAATCTTATTTTTCTTACTGCGAAGTGTTCAAATCGACATTATGAACACTACTCGCCACAGGAAAACCTACATGTTGTAGTTTCAGGCCGAAATCAAGTAATATTTTTTTAAATTAATGTATTTTATGGCATAACGGGAAGTCATGTAATTGGACCGGTAATCTTCGATGGATCTTTAACTGCTCACCATTATTTACAAATTGTCCAATAAACTTCCTTAAAGGATTTTTCTCGACAACATATGTTTCGAAGGAAGGGTTAGTTTATGCTATCTACCAACAAATTGGCTGCTCAGGTCACAATTCACGAATTATGTGCAGTACATTAAATTATCAAAGTAAGTACTTAATTAAAAAATAAAAGTAAAGTGGAAGTAGCTACCACTACAATAATAATAATAATCATCAATGGCAACACGTTGCCTAAACTAAACTGTCTTGAAGTGTGTTTCACTAATAATGGCCAGTATTTTAAACATCTGGTGTAATTATTTTCATTGTTTTGTTGCCTCGAATAGATTTTGTTTTGTTTTTTTTATTCGTCACAGACTACTTGATTAAAATACAAAAACCGTTAATATAATACTGGTATCTTATTTTCAATCTTATGTTATAATAGCTCGTTGAAAAGAGAATTTAAAAATCTATCAAGTAGGTAATCTAAAAATTCAATATGGCGCCCATTTAACTTTAGGAAGTAGGTAAATGTTCCTCAAAAGTGGCCATCTTGAATTTTTTTTTGACATCAATTCTAAATTAAGCGTATCAAAGACAGTAACTTTTATATAAAACTTTTTTTTACTTTCGATGATATAAGACATTCAAGGAAATGACCAATTTTAGTTTTTTTGAATTTACGTCGAACCTATGCGACATTTTGAATTTCCATAAGGAAATTTTAAATAAGCATCCAAAACTGCAAAACATTGCACATTTAACCAATTCTCTATCTTTAATAATAACAAAGTTACCCATGCTATCCCACCCGATTTGGGACACACTGTATAGTCATATAGTGCATATGTATGCATTTGAGAAAAATTCCTTGACATTTTCAGTTTTTCGGATATTCTCAGTTGTTTTCATCAGATTCTTCAAAAATTTCAAATGCGTTTTTTTTTATCAGAAATGCAATTTTAACCGACACTATCTGGCACCATTACGGAGATCCCAATGGTGAGCCACGAATTTGAACCACCCTGTACAGTTTAGAAAAGCCAAATGGAATAAATTCAATATTTCAGTTACTGTACATATATTTATTCGTTAAATTTAAATTATGTGTCATACAGGGGCGACTTGGACCAGTTCAAGGTCAATCACCACCTGGCGGTGACCTTTTAAAGTATGTCAAGGTTAAGCCACCTGCCATGATGGCTATGCTATAATCATGTAAAGTAGATCAAGGTGAAACTCTTCTTATTATTACACCAGAGTAAATCGGTCGAATACTTAGCTAAAATAATACTTAGTTTCTTTTGTTTACACTGCTCACATTTGCGTGCAAGGTGAGTTGCATAAGTGTCAGGGATATCAATGCATTGACTTGTATATTTAAAAATTGAACATAGGAGATTTACATGTTTAGAGTTAAAATTTACGCACTGTATAGCTTATAATCTCATTTAACTTTTCAACTCTGATAAACCATGTATGTTAACACACCAGATATTAATTGCCAAGTAAGTATTTGAAACATGGTATGATTTAGTTCAGGGTAATAAAACTCTTAATCTACTTGTACCGCTTTATATTTGACACTCTACTTAAATACTTCAGATTATCAAAATCTTTACTGTACTTATAATCTTTGTTAAATTTATGTTTCGGCTTGTCAGGATAATTGCCTTGTGCAACATTAAATAATTTCCTTGGCGCGACCTCCTCGAAATAGTTAGCTAATTTTCTTCTTGGTACATGTCTTAGGGCATGTTTCCAATCACCTGTTGCTTTAACATCGACAAGAATTGATAAAACTTGATTAATTGTCAACGATTTGCCCGAACCTGAACCCCAGTCTAAGTAATAATCTAACGGCAATTTTGCCATTCGCAGACCTTCCTTTTTTGCTTTTGCAAGTGATAGTGGCTCATTATTGACCTAAAAGATAAATATTTGATCAAGATATAAGTAGAGTTTACAGCACAATAGACAAGCTGGAATAAGTGCAAATGTAACTAAAAGTTCCCTGCCATACCATAGCATGTACTTTTGTAAAAAATTATTGAGCAGGATTAATGTAGCAGCTTGTCCATAGTCTGAGAAAACTGTGTAGATAAAAAAGTACACTACCTTATCAACAATACCACCAATAATATAAATATCGTCATGACTGTATGTTTTTAACACATCTTTACAGTGTGGTGTGAGATATACTAGTTGTTCTTTGGGAAAAACATCTAAATAAGATTCTTCGTGCAAATGTAATGGAAACCAAGGCTCATACATCGTTGTGATAAACTTATTCAAGCCGTTCATAAGACTGCTATTTCGTACAGTGTTGCAGTAATGTAAATCAAAGGGATCTAAAATAAAACAATGCACCAACCACAACAAAAACTGCGTTTACCATCACTCCCTCTATTTTCGGCAAACAGCAGCATCAACTGTTTAGCACAGTTGGCGTTCTCTCTAGGTGTCATATTCTGACCAAAACCGCAATCGACCACCATTTTCTGGCCAAACTGCATGGCTTGAATCAGTCGATTGTTATACATCTGATTCATTGTTGTGTCATAGATACGTAACATAAAATGATTGCCTCCCAAATTGTAGTTCATCACATCCTCACGATCCCGTTTGGGTTTCTCACTTGCCTCCCACTCAATGCGTTTGTCTTCCTTTTTTCTCTACAGACAACGCACATTAGCAGAGCTCAAAGAACCGCAACCTACCTGACGATTCTCCTTTTTCTTTTCAACTTTATACAAGAACTCTAAATACTTTCTTCTAGCTGATATCGAGGGTAACGTCAGCAAATACTTCCATTGCTCATTTTTGATTGATGAATTGTCCGGTACGCCTTTACCTTCTTGTCGGAAGACTTCCGCCTCCAAGATTAGTACACGTAACTTATGTGCCAATTCCTCGTCATCGCCCACTATTTCGGACACATTGGGTTCATCCGAATTTTCCGCTGCAAGAGATTGATCAAAATCCGTAGGGGTGCAGACGTTATTCTTACCTTCTAAAGAGGGAGTTACTGTTACGGAGTTCGTATAATTCTTAATTTTAAAAGTAAAGTTTGGAATTTGTCTGTACTTAAGAGGTTTACAGCTACTATCTTTAATCACAGAGTCAATTAAATTTACTCCAAGTCTACAGCAACGTAATATTCTAAACATTGTAAATAACTAAATATCTAAATAAGGTTTTAGGTTATGTCACAGACCATCAACCATCAACGGGTTATGTTTTGCGCCATGCCAATTAGTGGCTAGCAAACCACTACTTGATATACAGAGTGAGGCAATCGTTTGTATTGTTCCAAATTTATTTTCTTTTAACAACAGACTTTTTAGCCTGTAACTTTGTATGTGATGCTTTGGTAGCTGTTCGTTTCTTTTTTGTTAAGTTTGTTTCACGGCTATTTTGGGATGAAACGTTTACTTTCTTTAAAGATGGAACTGCAGAGGTAGTGATTGGTCTCCCTTGAGATATTCCCAAATACGCATTTTTAAATCTCTGTTCTTCAACGTAATCGACATATAATATATCTTTAAGGACAGCCGAATTCAGGATTGCATTTTGTATGGACTCATACGTGGGTTGTCTTTCTCCATTCAACTATTTTTCAAAACATAGCTATTACTTTCACATGAGTAATCCAGTGGATTTGTAATTCACAAACAGGGCAACATAAAACAATAGACAAAAATATACGTTTAAATTATTACCGGAGCTAATATTGTAGTTCTGCACGATATTCGTCGTTGTTTCTTTAGTTCAGGCCACAAATCTAAAAAAAAGTGTTGCATGAAAACGAATTTTAAATTCACTATAAACCTCTTTTTGAATTTTCTGGATCTTGCACGATCAGGCAACTACTCGCATTCCCCTTATATCTAGATTCTATTTCTTGCTAAAGGCAAGCTTATGGTCAACACTAATGTTTGAAACGTACCTATTCATACCGTCAAACTTTGTGATTCCTTGGTGAAATTTGAAGACGCACGGTCACTATTTGAACTATCAAGCGAGCCTGATACAGACCGAGAATTCTGCATTTGTTGTAAGGATTTTATTAACTAGAAACACTTACTTTTAGTGATTATAGTTTAAAATATATGTAGCAACCTGTTGTACAAGTTCGTCCCTCTCACTTCTTCTCATGTTGAAATCGGTCTGAGATTTAGCATGGTTCTCCATTTCAAATCTGATTACCGAATTTGGTATTTGAGTACCAGTTAGAAATAGCGAGGAACGTTGTCGGTTCTAAAAAGTTCCACTAGCACCAAGTTATATTCCTATACCTACTGTAATAATAAGTCACTTGATCTACATCTAGGGCACTTTTTCCTTTTTGAAGAGATTGCCTTCTTGCCATTACCCTTGTAGTTATACCTATATGCAAAGGAGCAGGTGAAGGGATTGTTGGGATGGATGGTAAATCGGTTAAAATGTTGTGATGCATTTTTTTTGGTTACTGAAAATTTTGAATGACGTATGTTACGTTAAAATTGAACTATGCTGACCAGATCCTTAGATTTAGATAGTCCAGCATACCATATTTTTCCGATATTGGGGAAAGGAGTAATTAATTAAAAACAGGATTCATTTGGATTTAAAATTCCATCTAATTCTTTTATATTTTAAAGTTTAAAATTTGTGGCGAACTTCCCAACAAAGTTCGTCGCACAATGTTTGGTAACTGAGTGTCAATTGTTCAAACGTATAATAAACCCACATTATTATAGTACAACAAGAGTTCAAACTAAATTCAATTATAAGGAAACATTTTATTAACAAGTAATTACAAAAATAGTTATAGGCATGTTCGTAAATAATTTATTAACAATGAGTTCTATATTTTACAAGACACTTATAAAAATTTACAGATACATTCAAAACCACATTATTCTTGTGGTTGCATTGAAAATATGGAAGCTTCCGATTATACATTAATTTTGGCCTGTACCTGCGGTGAGTAAAGAACACCTCAAGTAATGAGCGATAATTGAAAAAGTAGCATTGTTATAAAGTAACTAGGTTTATTTAGTAAATAAGGCACTTTATATGTATAATACTTTTGCTTAAATGCGATTATCAACATACGAAAGAAGATAGGCTTATCTTACGGAGGCATGTTATAAAAAATATATATATTTCATTACTGTAGCTGCCAATCGCTGAGTATGTAAGAGACGTTGACAAACTTGTCCATCGTGTACAATATTTACAATGCATATTTACAATTTACAAACTTGTATTTAAATATCTAAACATAAATGCTTTCGCAACCGTTGTATTCGAATTTGTGAAAACATTCTGTTTAGGAATATCACAATTATTAACTTGACATTATATACATCAAAGGCAAAATGTTCTTAACAATAAATATAAGAGGCAGTACATATGGTAGGTAAAGGCACTTCAACACTGTAAAATGAATAATTTTTTAATTGACAATTATGTATATCTCTTTTATATTTACAATGAAAACGAAAAAGCGGGTAGTTGCAACTTAAAATGCTACATAAACAATGATCTTTGGAATATAATCAACATACACATTAAAAATACAATTGTACTAAAAACAAACTTGGCATACGCGAATCCACAACTTGTTTACAAATACCAGTTAACATGCGATAATCATAAAATCTCTAAAAGTATAAAACATGGTCAAATTAAATAATATACTAAAACTGATCAGTCTTAAATACAAATTCTTTTTGTGTTAAACACAGCCTAAATGAACTACCACTTTGTGTCCTACTGCAGCATAAGTATTTCGAGGTTCCTATTTAAAATAGTATCTTTAACGGAATTGAACACTACTTTAATATTTTCCGTATCCACCGCCGTAGTATAATGATGATATAAGGCTTTTCTCGGCTCACGTTTAACACTTGTAAACATCGCTAATATAAATGCTTGTACATCTTGAATTGAATGCGAATTGCCCGCAAACTGTGGAAAATACCAACGAATGTCCGTTTCTGGATTTGCCACCTTTTTCACTAAGAGATCGTACTTATTTAAAAATAAAATAATAGAAACGTTTCCGAACACCCTATTATTAATAATGGTATCAAATATATCTTTAGACTCTTCTAATCGATTCGTCTTTCGATCTTCCAATAGAACTTGGTCGAATTCCGACGACGAAACCAGAAATAGTATCGACGTCACCGAATCGAAACACTGAAACCACTTCTGTCGCTGTGACCGCTGCCCACCGACGTCGACGAACAGAAACGGGACCTTATTTATGGGAATGATGAATTCAGTTATGCCTTTTGTCGCTTTACGACAGTGCAGAATGTCCTGGTGCGTCGGAATATAATCTATCCTACAAATTCTATCCAAATGGTTGAAGAAATATTCTACAGAGTCGCTCTATAACAAAAAAAAATTGGTAGAATACTAGAATTTAAAATGGAATAAAGGGCACTGTGTACAATTTCAATCAATGATATCCCAGAAGTCTCAGAATATTTCATTATTATTTAAAAGCCCAAACTAAAAAATGTAACAAAAGAAAAAGAAAAAAACACATATTTTAAGTTAAATGAGACATTCAAAAATATTCATAAAATAGACAAGTAGTTAAGGTCTATATTAATGATGGGAGATTCAAACCATCCATAATCTATTATTAAAAATAATTGATTCCCAAACAATCTATTACTTTGATTAATTGATTATTATTATTCAATAGTTGTCACTATGCAAACACAATATGTAGGGTGTTCGTAAATATAATGTACATACTGAAGAGGCTAATTCTTTGGCTTATTTTATGACTAAAAGTAGGTTAGCAAACGCTTCGTTACCGATCTACAGGATGTTATAATTTCAAGATTTTTGAAGTTTTTTCTACCATTGGTCGATGGCGAGTGCGTTTTCAGTCAATCTCGAGAAATATTTGCGATTTTCAGAGTAGACCTAAACATACCTAGACTTAAAGAAAATGTATTTTGTGGAAAACTCTAAACTTTTTTCAGTACGCCGCTGGTAGAGAAATTAATTTTCTAGTTTTTTAGAAACTTTTTGGTCTCTGTCTCTGGCGACCGTTATCGACAAAAAAAATAAAAATCAATTTTCTGTTGGTATAGCTAAATGAAAGCAAAATTTTTAAAATGATCCAGTAAACCTTGGCTTTATTTGAATAATCTTTTGTTTTGATTACTTTTAATAGTTCGCATTTGAAATTGTACACATCTTTACAAATGAAAGGTTCAGACTGTAAAGTGAACAGTGAAATTATAACACCCTGTAGATCGTAACGAAGCGTTTGCTTATTTGTTAAGTCATCAAATCAGCCAAAGAATTAACCCTGCAATCTGCATAGACCTCAGTTTGGAGACAAAAATGATTTTGTGTCTTGTGTTACATTAATTCAAACATTTTTTCCAATAAACCAAGTGTCTAAAATATTTTGTTTGATAGGTACGCCCTCAAATTGGCATATTTTTAATTTTATGGCTGTCCTTTCTATGTCATAGACCTCCAGTTGACCAACGCATGCATCAACACTCTTAAGATGTGGGCGCACATGTTCAATTACTCTTAAACGTTTTTCTGCCGTATAGAAATGCGCCATCTGAAGATGGGAGAATAAAGATCCGAAAAGGATATAATTTCACTAAAAGTTTGCACGTCTACTTTAACAAATTCAATGCTTAAACTATACAAATAATTAGGTTCATTTTGACAATTTCATTCTTATTCATAATTTGAATGCATGTGTTTAGTATGTTGGGAAAGTTTTAGTTCTTTGCCTCATATATGTTTTACATTCATCCACGGATAATATATTTTGAAATTTTCTTCTGACTTTATGTAAAAGTATAGTGTGACATGTCATTTTTTTTGTTCTTTATCTCATTCTGTAAAAATCCAATATGGCGTCCATAAAAAATACGAAAGTAGTATCTTCGACATCTAGAGCGTTATAGAAATTCTGGTAACAGATTCAGATTCTCCGAAAAAAGTGCCCATACAAGGTGCTAACGAGAACCGTCCATTGCCGACCGTTTAAGCTATGCAAAATGACAACAAAATTTGCCTTTTTCAGTTTCTTGTTTATATTTCAGTTATTTTCCAAGATTTTTCAAAAATTTTAACCTACACTGTATCTCTCACCGTTCCCAGTGATGAGCCACGAATTTGAACCACCCTATATGTAGAATAAGAAAGTCCTTCGTATAATTTAATAAAAATTTTGCAATTTTGATCTAAAACGTTGACACTTGATGAAATTTTGGCATGTCCAAAAAACAGTGATCGCAATTCGCGATTTAGGTTAACAGTGAGACCTCTGGTAGCAGCACATTGTAGTTACCTAATACAGGTGGGAGAAGACAGAAGACCGCATTTTGTTTATGTACCATGGTCAAAAGTAAGCAATATTATAGTATTTACGCCGGCTGTAAAAGTACCTAAATACACTATCAAAAATGTCTTTTGCAATCAATGCACCTTAAAGAGCAAGAATAGTTTAAAACGTCACATTTTACCATGGTAGCTTCAAAAATTTTAAATGTGATCAGTGCAATTATGCAACCAATATTAATAAGGATAATTTACAAAATCGTGGTCTAACACAGAATATTTCCAAAGTCTTTAATTGTGAATAGTGCCATTACATAACCAATAATAAGGATAAGTGAAAGAATAATCGTCTAATGCAGAACATTTCAAAAGTCTTTAATTATGAACAGTGCAATTACACAACAAAAAATAGGCGATATACTGGTATGGAAAAAATTACTGCAGGTGGAACTTACAAGCTAGAAAGAAAGCGCCACCTATTAACACACAACCTTCTCAAAAATTTGATTTGTGATCAGTGTAATATCACTACTCACGATAAGCATAACTTAAAGTGGCACATCGTAAATACAGCTAGGAAGCTAAAAACGTACGTTTGATATGCTACTAGAATACAGCACCGTTTTGGTTTTACTATGTGGCCTGGTGTTTTTTTATTACTACTACCAGAGCGCCACTTACATTTATTGCAAAATGATTTAGCTGATGCTTTTGTTAATATCGCCCCTAGCGATAGTTTGCAACATGTTGGATACAGCAGGATGGTGCACCTGCACATAATTGTAGAGCCGTTTGAGAATATCTTTCAATGAGATTTTCGGAAAAAGTGATTAGCACGCATCCGTTAGTGCGTTCACCCAATATAACCCGCTTGATTTCTTCATATGGGGGTTCATTAAGAAAAATGTTTTCAACGTAATGGAAACCTTGTTTTTTTTTGTTTCTATTAAATTGTTGTATCAATTCACTCATTAGGTTGACGTAAATAATATAAACAGTTAATTGTCCTAGCTAATCATTTATTTTTTTAAAAATCTTTGCACAGGGCAGTTCAAATTCGTGGCTCACCATGTAGGTTACGATGGGGGCAAAGTTCCCCTTTTTGTTACTAAAAAAACGCATTAAAAACAATAGTACGGTGGGTTGCCTAAGTCGCAGTAACCTTTTGGTGATCATTACTTTTGTCAATGATTGTACAGGGCACTGTCGAATTAAGACAGCTGCACAAAATGACCCTTGACCCTCTGTGTGTGGGGGGGGGGGGACACCAGGCACAGGTTCCTGGAGTGAAGGAAGATGCACCCACGAATGCAGGAAAATACAGTTTTCATTTAATATGCAATTCAATATGACATTTCTGGAATTGTGAGCATTGTAACATACGTTCAGAGGATGGAATTTTGGAAGTAAAGGTCAGTCTCATTTGCCCCATCTAGCCAGCACTGACTTTTATCAGTCACATGACTGTGTAGACCTTAATTACGTGTTTTAAATGCTTTTTAATCCCAAGAACCTATTAAGGGGTCTTGATTCTTTTCCTGAGAATTTCAAATGTTTGATAACAAGTAGCATTGGTTTTGGAATAGATAAGAAGTGGATTTTCTCATGCGCATTGTCTTTTTTTAATGCTTGTAACGTTTAGAAACCTTGTTCAAGATACAGAACAGAAGAACAGATACAAAAATCGTGTTGTAGGTCGTGGGATTAACTCTTTCCCTCTGTGGCCCAATGCCAGTAAACCAGGTGGATCGTTTACCATACCATTTTTACATTTCAACAAAAAACCGATGTTGCAGACCAATATTGTTGGCAAAGATGTGGGTATTACCAAACATAAATCGAACAGAACATGTTTTGTTGTGAAGAAATTCACAAAGATCATTTTTGAACGTCCGAGAAGGTATATCATATTATACAATTTCTTCATGAAGTGAGTTCGCAAATGTAATGCTACATGAACTTAATAATAATGATCCCTCATTGCTCAGCGAGTTGCTTAGGGACAAACAGATACTTCTCTTAGAATGTTATTAAACAAAAAAGGGATAATTTGCAAATAAGGAGTAGTTCACTTATGCGTAACTTGCAGTAAATAAGTAATCTCGAAGTACTTACTAATGTTTGAGTATTAAAACACTTCAAGACAAAACGAGATAACCTTTATCTACGTTTTGTATTAGGAAGTACTAACCCTACAACAAATAATCAAAATATGAATCATCAACAAAATTAGGTAAGTACTTAAAATTGCACAAGCACCTAATTATAGGTTATTAACCAATCTACTAACCAACTGAAATTCCCTTCTTCGGTCGAACGCTCTTCGTATACCGGAATCCTTCCACAACCTTCCGACAAACGGGGCATAGTTCATAAACGTTCTGGAATCGAGCGTTATCGAGTTACTGTACTCCAAAAGTTTCCTCCCCGAATCGTTATTGTTGGTCTCCTCCCAGGGAATGCCGAGTTTGTCACGGGCGTCAACTAGCACTTTCATACCTCTTATGACGTTTTGGTAAATATCCTGTTGATACTCCTTGACTAGTTCGTACTCAAACTTAATTCCATGAATAATTCTCATCTGCTTTAAGAAGGTGGACTTCCCACTCTCACCAGCTCCCAATAACAACAACTTCACTTGACGTTTGAGGGCCTGTTTATCTTTCTCCAGCATTTTATCGATTTCCTGACTTTTATAACGTTGTTCTAATTCTTCGGGACTAAATCGAAATCGAAGACAACACGGACAAGACCACATCTTCGACAAACCTTAACTAAACTACATCATCTACTAATTTGCGTCTAATGAGCGCGTGCGCGCAACGTAATGGCGTCAGGCGGTTTTTGCGAATTTTTCGTCAGACTTTTAAATTATGGCTGTTTATTTTCACATTCGCCGTTTATATATAATTACGAGGTCTAATTGTTTACCATCTCGGGAAGGCTTATTTTTATCGAGTTAAATAGAAAAGTTCGCCTATGACCTCATTCATTTTATATAGGCGCATTCTCTATTTAAAGTGCAACGTACACCTTTTAAGGTGAACTGTATCTAAACTTCTGCGAATCATCCAGAAACTGTTGGGTACGCACGGGTATAATGTGCACGTTATCGATTTTTGCCGGTCGATGTTTGTTCCACGTGGCTGTTACATTACAACCTTTTAAAAGTCAGGGCAGGTCAATTGATTACGTATTTTTAACATGTGGTCAAGACGACCGAAGTTGACTTCGAGTGCCCTTAGGAGGTTTGTGGATTTAGAGACAAGAGCGAATCCACGTACTCACGCTTCATATTTAGGCCTTTACTATTACAGAACAGTTTTATTACTACTTATCAGTGACTATGAATGGTTCGTCTTAGTATAACATCATTCAAGTCACCTTCCACCTAGGCTTTTTCGCAACATAAAAGATGCGATAGTGTCTATCGCAAATTGCTTCATGCATTCTAAAGACTCTTTGGATATAATTTAACACTGCTATAGTAGCGCGGTTGGTTTTTTGGATCACCATGACGATTACCCGCCATGGTTGAACATGGTTCTAATGACTGCAGGTGCAGTGTACGGTACCTACACATTAATCTGGATCATTTGGAGGAACAGGAGGCGTTTTGGACATGGTATAGAGATTGTGTGCGTGTGGTTTAATAATAATTTATTGCCATCATAATTCATACAAGAAAATAATGAACATCGGCAATCGGCATGGTCAATATACATAAAAGAGAAACATTAACTATTTACCTATTATTGCATGAATAGTATGGCCCGTTGTTTGAAATTGGAAATAGCTGGAAAAGCCCATCCTCTTTCTTCGAATGCCGTAAGATATATTTGGAGAGGAATAAGCTGAACTTGGGATTGAGAGGTTACGCTCGGGCCATCTGATTATTGGGGGAGAACAAGCCAAACTGGTAAACCATTTGTGACTTTGTCTGCGGCACACTAGAGCTAGGAAATAAAGGGGTCGAACATGTGCTGCGTCCTAGGAGTAAGAGCTTCGGTTCTCACGAGGCGTTTTTGAAGCGCTGCAGAGTGGCGCCGCTGGTAGCGGAAGATTGCTTTACACGGAGCGGGGCGTCTGCGGGACTTTGGGATACACACTTTATTTCCACATTTTTTTATCGTTGGCGACAAACAAAGGTCCCATTTCTGCCACTTAACTAAACGATCCAAGGTCCCCGGGGAGGATGGCGATGTGGCGTTAGTCCCAAAACAAGCGTGCCCTCCGCGGCCGAACCATCCCGCACAGAGTGGACGGCCCGTTGCGCAGCATCAAGTCAGATCTCTCTCAGGTGGGTAAGTTTGCAAAATGTTTCTGCTTTTGGTTGGGAGTTATGTATAGCTTCAATTTTTTTTAATGGGTAGAATTGTCTAGCCTAGACTCTTGGGTGCTTTCCCCAGCCTAGTCTATAATATCGTTGAGTCTAGGTGGAGGTCGCAAAACATTAATGAAACATAGACCAGGGGTAGAATTGACAGGTTCACTGCGGAAAGGTTCAATTATTCCAATTTGATTCCCTTGGCGTGCTCGATTTAAAAACATACATTTTAAGAGAAATTTATTATACAAAAAGAGTAACATTCACAATTCTTAATAAGCTATAAACTAACTAAAGCATATATTTCTCTTTATTCAATGTCAAAATTTTAGCAGACGACTTCGCGTCTAAAAACAGCGAACTGACTTCTTCAATATCTTGCTTGTTTATATTTTTTCTGCCATTAGTTTTTGCAGTTAAAGACGCCGGTGTTAGTAGCTGTACAGCATAACGTAAAGTCGACCGCGCTCCAACATCACCCAGGCATTTGAGAGCATCAGAGTCTATGTCAAGCCCTTCGGTGGCTACTCTTAATGCTAGGATTTGCTCTAGCTCGGGCTTTGTGTAGGGAAGAGTACGGATGATCACAAGGCGATCGAGAAGATCCAAAGGAATGCCATGAGGTGCCACAATATCATCGGTACCTCTAATAACGCATCGGCCACGATTAGTTGCGAAAATTACGATGGGTGCAATTGCACTTTCAAGCGCCCGATGAAGATATGTAAAAGTCTCAATGTCAAGCATGTGAACTTCATCAATAAATAAAACACCGGGAACGAGCTCGGCAATACCTTGGTCTATGTACTTGTCAACAACTTTGTTAATTTCTCGCCGTAATTTGTCGGTAATTTCTGTTTTCTTTGGTTTTAAAAGTTGGCCCATCATCGATAAGACATCCTGTCCACCTTGGGGTTTGGCATTTGCAGCATCCAAGTCGTGTAATGTCACATCCTGTCGGAAAGTTACAACTAAGTATGTTACTAGGAAATTGGGTGGCCAAGCAACAATTTTTTCTAAATCCAAAATAAGAGTCCAAAATTTTGTGTTTGTGAGCTGATGTACCCACCATTTTGGTGCTAAATTTGAGGGTACAGTTTGGTCACAAATTTTATTATACAAAATTTCTTTTATAAATGACACATCACCAGCATATAACGGGCGATAAAAAATGAGTTGCTGTCGAGTCGCCTTTGGAAGTTCAAGTTAAATACGATTTCCCATATAAACAAAAGTTCCAAAGGTGACTCGACAGCAACTCATTTTTGATCGCACAGTAGTGCTTTAAACCAGTTCAAATTTCTCATTGTATACTGGATAGACTTTGGTATAATGTCAGTTAGTAACTGGGCAACACTGTAAAATAACAAAAGTGAACAGGTTTCGTAAAAAGTAAATCATAATAACATGAATTCAGTTAACAATCAATGTAATATAAGAGAGATGTCAAACAGCAGCTCAGTCTATCACACATCCACTAGTGCAGTTTATGGTGTTTTCTTACGAAAATCACGCTCATTTATTTCAAAACGCCCGGTAAATAGAAATAGATGGGATAACATTTATATATAAATGGTATAAATGTCTCTCTTCCCTAAAAAAACATTTTGGACCCTTGGTATACATATTTTTTTAAATGTCCTCTACCACCCACATTTTTTTGAAATATTTATTTATGTTTAGTACCTGAACCACTTCTTTCTTCTTGTGAACATCCCCTTTTGGTAAAGGCACGTACTCCTCCGCTTCCAGATCAAACTCAGTAGCAAACGCGTCTGATCGCCCCTGTCGTTTTACCGCCCCGCTATTTGCTTCAATATAAATCACATCACCGACCTCAACCTTTTCCTTTTGTAAAGCTTCATAAATACTCGGATCTAATTTCAATTGCTTGCTGCCCTTAGCAGTTCGTAAACCGATTATCACGTGATTGACAGTCTTGCCGTACCCTGAAATTTTGCAATTAGCTCCACCCACTAACTAACTACAAGTGCCCACCTCCAGCTGGGCTTTCAGTTTCGACAGGCGTCAATTCTGTAACTTCCCCCTCGTACACCTCTTTTGTTTCCCGTATACGCAATCCGATGGCACGACGAAAGTTTTCCATAAGCACCTCGGTTTTCTTAATCTCCGAACTGTAAACCTCAGAACCGACCATCGGACAAAACGGCACCTTCGTACCCAAATCTTGTGCAATTGCAAGGGCAATGGCGGTTTTTCCGGTACCGGGAGGTCCGGCTAGTAGAATCGCTCTGCCTGCCATCTTCTTCGTCTTGATCATATCCACAACAATGCCGGCAGCCTACAATAATGTAATTAAACGACAAATTTACCCAATTTACAAGTATAACCTCTCGGGCCTGCTCTTGACCAACCAAACCCGCAGCCATTTGGATGGGAATTCCATTTTCATCCAGTCCCAAACCTTTTATGTGACTATGGGCACTAATTCTTTGTGTTTTTACGGTACTTTTTACTTCTTCTACTTTCATTTTGCAGATTTCGGCTTCCTTGTTTGTTTGATCAATTTGAAGTAGCCACAAAATGTGAGCGAATGCGATTTTTATTTGTTATGTTGGTATGACAACAGCACTATTGCAAAGGTGGCTATTATACCGACCCTTTTAGTGGCTATGGTACTCGTTGCCATCACGTGTGATAGAGCCAAATTATGTATATACAAGGCGTATCATTACGATAGATAACACAAGGCGCTTTCTTTCGGCTGCTTAGCAATCATGATTTCAAAATCGTGATTCGTAGGATCACGTTTTACGAAAGAACGCGGGAATTTAAATCAAAGTATGGTTAAGTTTACGGAGTACACATTTGCATTCGAATTATTTACGTAATTTTTGTTTCACATTTTAGCAATCATGATCATAAGATCACACTTCGAAAGAACGTGATTTGACAATCCAAACGCGTTTGGATCACCGAAAGAAAGCGCCTACAATGGCACTCTTCACTATACTCTATTCATTTTAAGAAGATCGCGGTAGAAATCATAGGGACAGTTTGACCTTCACTGTGATTGGTTAAAACACGAAAAATAAAACGGGTGACGAATTCTGTCTGTTAGAAGTTTCAGTTACGAACTGAACTGTCGAACTGTCATTAGCTGTCAATTTCAAAGATCCAAGCATGATATCGTTAGATGTATATTTAGATTTTTCAAATTTTGTGCCGTTTTATATTTTTCCTTCTTATAATGAATGCAGAGTATATGTACCCGCATTTTCTGAGTAAAAAATCTAATAACAATTTTCAACCTGAGGATTAATAATCTTGTGTATGTCTTTTATGCTTTCCGAAGCCGTTCATCCGATTACCATCAATCTTTGAGGAATGGTTGGATGTATGCTCGCATATACATTGCTTTATCACGACATTGCTGTATGTATGAAGTTCGTCGTCTGCTAGTGGTTAATAATAATAACCAGTAAGTAACCGTTAATGTTAAATGTAAGAAATAGGTTTGTAACACCAACACTCCAAAACCAATGTTTAAGAACAATAAAACGGACACATTTCTGACAAATCGCGGCGTGTTTACCTACAACCCTGCAAGATTGCCGGCCCGTATGGCGCGGTTTTGTTGAAGCTGGACTGTGGTGTTAAGGGTCCCAGGTTCGAATTCGGGTTCGGGCATGGATATTTGTAAATGTATAATGAGTTAGGTTGGTAGAACTCCGTCCACTCAAAAATAAAGGCAAATAAATAATATAAATATGTAGAGATAACCGTTCGTTTTTAATTGAAATGAAGGCCCTGCAAAGTTAACACACCCTATACGGTTATTAAAAACCAAAATATATTCTGTGGTACGCCCTGCGCAGGCGCGAAGCGGTTGTCAACTTGTTTGTTTTATAAATTTTGAAAAATAACGGTTTTGTTTTTTGCGGTGTGCTGTGGTGACAGTTGGAGAAGATATTCTAAAGTGCCGTGTGTGACTTGTGTAATTTTATAGGGCGAGTTAGTCCACAATTCTTAATTTGTCTTTTTATTATTAGTCCTTATCTTGTCTGTAACACATAAATTGTTGGTACGTACAAATCTATTTATTTAGGAGATTGTCAAATTTAAATGTCCAACTGATAACTTCTTTAGATACCAAAATGGCGAATGGTTATGAAAGATCCAACTTATATAAAGTTCGCGTTCGGACTTCTACCACTTTAGAAAAAATGGAGGAAGTGGCAGATAATCTTCGTCGTACATCACGGTGGACGACATTGTTACAAAGACGAAACATAACTGCCTTCATGTCCCCAATAAACTCCCCTCATACTTCTATAAAGAAGATCGAACGATCCGTAATTAAGAAGGATAAAAGTGACGAGCGTAGGGAACAGTTAAACAAATGGAAGGAGCAGAAAAAAAAGAGATTAGCGGCCGAAAAAGCCAAAGCCAAGCCTATTTTTAAAGTTTGCCGTGTTAAGGATGTAGTTGTGCCAGACATATCTGAAATTTACAAGAAAATTAAGGGGAACGATCAATTTAAGGTGGCACCTTCTTCTACATATAAATTTAAAGCACCTGTTAATGTAAAACCATTAAACATGAAATCCCCCACTAAGTCAAAGGCGAGACGCAAAATTGACTTTGTGTTGAACGACACGTCAAGCAAACAAACTAGGGTTTCAAACAATAGGTCGTATAAGAACAGCTCGATGACAAAAAACACAAGTTCAGATATTAAAGTGATCAAAAAAACAACTACTACAATAAAAGAAACATATAGAAAGTGTGAAAGCAACGAAGATGGTGCTCGATGCGTCACTCCTGTTGAAAACGATCCTCCGGTGACGTATATTAGCCCATTTATAACTGTATCTAGAGGGAAGGAGAATTCACGCCGTGAATATCACAACCGACGTACGTATAAAGTTGAGCTTGTGCTTGAATATCTTATCAGATTTATAGGATCTAATTTAATTGAGTCGCCCACAGCTAGTGGCGTACAGAAAAATATGACTCCCAAAGCTGGTGCCAGATACTTTGAAAATTTACTTCAGAAACAGGAGCAGCGCTTAAGTCAGCTGTGTTGCAGCTGGGAGACTTACAGTGTAAGTTTTGCCGTCCCTTTCTCATGCCTTTTTTGTAAATGAAGTTCGCATCCAATAATAACGCATATTCACAGGACACGCAGAACCCACCCGAGGAGGCTTGTGATATGATCCGTATGGCAATTGGTCAAACAAAGCTTTTGATGCGGAAAAAGTTTACGAAATTCCAAGAGCTCATCGGCCAGTGCAAAAATTCAAATGGCGATAAAATCGTAACCTGCCTTGATCTGCACGGATTTTGGGACATAATTTTGATTCAAGTAGACTATACCTATGTTGTACCTCTAAATATTTATTTCCTATATTGTAGATAAACAATTTAGATAGTCGATTTGAAAATTTAGATCGTCTTAAGACTAACAATTGGGAAGAGATTCTTCCTGTGGCACCCACAAGTACAAAGCAAGTCAAACTGAAAAAAGTTAGCAACACTAAACGAAAGGGAGTAAAGAGTAGCTTGCGGGATTTAATAAAAGGTTTGTTCAAATTGATACATCGATATTCTGCTGACATTAAATTATAGAACAACGCAAAAAAAATATGAAAGAAATTAAAAATTCTCCAATGATTGTTGTAACCACACCACGCAGTAAGCTGGCAAATATATCGAACATATTGCACGAATCTGCTGTAAGTAGACCACATTAGTCTATTTATTTAATTACAGATTTTCAGGCTGTCACTCCCCGTAACCAAAGAGCAATAAACACACCAAAGAGTATACTTAAGCCGGAACGAACGCCAAAACAGCGTAGTATAAGAAAAGTAAAATCTGTCTTATTCTCCGAGAGTACAGAAAAGGAAAATTTGTGCGAGACCTCAAACCTCATTCAGTTTTCTCCCAATAAATCCGTGGAACGTAAGTTACTACCTCAAAGAACACTAAATATAAACATTTTGTGCTGTACAAATATTTGCTGACTACTAGATCATCTTCTGGCACTTTTCAGTGCAAATGAGTACAGTTTCTACAGCAAGTAGGCAAACACATATTTGTATACCATGGAAACTTGTTATATTTGATACTTTTTGCTTACATCAAGTTTTCAATTTATAAATTTTTAGATCCCAGAAGATCAAGCAGATTAGCAGAAAAAAATAGGAAAAGTTAAAGAATTTTATTTACCTGTTATATGTATTTCATTGTCAATGTACAAATTATTTTAATTTTAGAGTGCAAATTTGCAAAAATATACATAAATATGTAATTGTTTGAAAATGTGAATTTAAACAAGGTGTTTGTGATTACAAAAATTACGTCTGTCTGTCTGATGTTAGGCATCCGCTCCTCTGGACCTATTCACACATTTGGCACATGATCTAAAGTGGATCTGAGTGCCGGATCAGAAATAATCCAGTGTTAAACAGTAGATTTTAGACGGCTTTGAATTCCTTACTTTTAAGAATTTTTAAAGTCATTATTAAGCGTATAAAAAGCTCTGAGCAACCCATATGATATAAATGAAAATGAAGCTGTTGTCCTGAACTATATACCTATTTCATTCTTTCGCTAACTTATTGTTGAAAGGGAGAGATAATAGAAAGGAATGGTGAAACAGAGAGGGTACAGAAGAGAAATAGAATAATGTGATGGCCAAAGAAAGAAAGGGAGAAATAGAGGGGGATCGCTGGAAGAATAGAAAAAGTACAAAAGAAAAAAGATGGAGAAACTGAAAGATATGAAGAACAAGTCAGAAAAATAAAAATAGAAAAGACCCCCTGGAAGACGAGAAACATGAGAGAGAAAAACACAAGTGGTAGCCTGGAAGCAGCACCTTTATTACAAGGTACAGAGTACGCTCAAGTTCAAAATGTATTTCGCGCAACGTCTACGCGCGTGAATTTAGTATGGCAGTTACTTTGAGTATACTAAAGAAGAGTAGAGTAAGCGACGTAATTTATATTATGTCTATTACAACATTTATATTTTTTCTTAATAAAGAGAATTCCTCTGCCTCTGCAAAACTTGTCGCCTGTGAGGTGTACCTATACACTATTATATCTTCATCTCTATCTATATAGCCCACGCGAAGAAAAGAACAAGTTTTTTTTTTAAGTTTTGCAGTGAGCGACTATACCTACTGCTACTGTTTTTATACTAGACGGCCTGTAATATGGAGTTTCCATACTCCTTTTTACTTCATCTGTTTTCTTCTCAACAACGTACTTATAATTTATTCTCATCTTGTACCACAGTCTAGATTCAAATCTAGACTGTAGGTGCAACGTACAAAAAGTAAAACATACATTTTTACAATAAATGACAAGAATGACAATTAGCTTGTAAAATCTTCCCAGTAAAATGCAATTTCTCACAGACTTTATACAAAACTTTGAATGGTTTGATATCGAAAATCCCGATGACTTGTGCGTCCTATTTCTATTTTGCCACATATTTGCATGGTCAGTTATCATTTGGAAACTACAAGATTAACCATCCTAGATGTACAATTATGTGATTCTTAATAAAGAATAAAAAGCACTTTCAAATTTTCCCGCCTTTTTTAAAATTTACCGTTACGGGAGGATGGTAAACAAATTTTTCAAAAACATAACCCAATATTTTTTGAAAAGTAAAACATGACAGACCGATTTATATCGTCTATACATATTGAAAAATTAGGTGAGAATGTTCTGGTAATTGCAATAATATAACCTTTAAATTTTAGGCCACAAATTACAAGAGATTCGTGAGCGAGCACTGCTTAATATCTTATCGAAATTGGATCATGGATTTGTTTACGACAATGATCTGGCACGCAGTAGAGAATTATTGTCCAAACTTTTCCAGTGGTTCGAGTTCAAGCCGTGTTTATACCAAGAGGAGGTGCTAAAGCTGATACAACGCATACTTACGGTAGCTAAACTCATGAAGAGTCTACTGATCTGATACGTTATTGCTTTCCAGTCAGATAGTGGTTCAATTCTAATAAATCATTATGGCACTAAAACTATTGTTGACGAAATTCGACAAATGCGATCCAACATGGATCGAAAATTGTACCCGGATGTCGACATGCTTTTACATGCAGTTGAGGAGAACGGAAACGGCGGTGTTCCACCTTTACGCAGTGACCTGCCATTAAGTTATCGAAGTGGAGAGGAAGGGTTGGAGATTCGACCCGCACTTACAGTTGGATCTACTGCCACAACAATTGAAGGCATTATTCAACACGATTCCAGTTTGGAACCACAAACTGGGTAGGTACTTATTTTCATGACTTAGCTAGTTTGATGTATTATTATTCTCAAAGGTGTTTGCACTGTAGCTTTAGCCTCACTCTCTTATATGATGTCAATATCTTTGAAGAAATCTGGAATCCTCTGCATCTTTATCTTTTTCGCAGTGATGCTGTATATGCGGGGGTTTCTTCCATCTCGTGGCACTCTGCAAAGTGTATTCTTTGCAGAATTGACTGAATTTGTTTTATTAATTAATTTACATGCACGGACAACATCTTCAAACAAAAACTCTGGTACAGCTGTGACCTGTGTTATTGGCATTATCTTGAATCTGGATATTTTTTGATTTTCGTTTTTAATTTTTTTATGATAAACTAATCGTAGTAGGCATTTCTAATTAACACATTATTCGGACACTTTTTAATGGAGATTTCAAATATGGCATCCTGTTTTTAATTACTTTCAAGATGACGGAGAAACACGTGGCAATTTTAGTTTTTCTTATGGGCGCCATATTGAATTTTGACATTTTAGGATTACGTCTTTTTTTCTCTTTATAACGATATATCACACATGGTGGTTCAATATCACATTTTTTCTAAAAATAAAATTTTTAATTTTTTGAGAAGAGTGCTTTGGTATGCTCTGTAAGTTAGCTAAATGAAAGTTAAAATTTTTAAAATGGTCCAGTACACGCCCTGGCTTTAATTGGGTAATATGCTGTTTGAATTGATTTTGGCAGTTTTTTCGCCAAATAAATCACAACCTGCATTAGATATAATGGAAAAACTAAAAAATCTGGAAATTATAACACCTTCAGAAATCAGAAGTAATAGGAATTTTCTGTATGTCTTTACAGCATTATAACAACTCTTTGATTGCGCATATTTTCTCTAATCAACCATCGTCATATCTTGTATGTTACATCCTTATCTTGGACACAGTGTATAATAAAGCACTTTAGTGAGATGATCTTTTGTTTGTCCCTAATACATCCTTCAATCATCCTTGATCATGTTAGGCTTTAACGACTTTAACTTCACCTGTACTTAATGTTCAATTTTAGCGTGAGCACGAGCAAAATCAACCATGTACCTACTCCCGATGGTCTCTGTATCAATTTTACTCTCAAGTGGCAACCATTAATCGCATCTGATAGACACGTACTGGAATCGATCGAGGATTCCTTGAGAAATCCAACTGACCCCTCATCGCTGCTATATTCCTGCGAATTTTTCCTGGACGTTATGCTACAAGACTTCCCGGCCGAGGTCTTTTTACAGAGACCTTCAATTGTTTTAGTATGTATTTTGTTTTTGCCTAAACTTGTGCGTGTTGACCTAATACCTTTTAGCTTTTTCTGGACTATATGAGGACGTCGGTTTCGTCACGGTTGACGAATGCGATATTAAATTGTTTTATTAAACTGACAAAGTGTCTTAAAACTAGAATTTTCTATTATTCTGATCCGTCAATGCACAATAAAAAAGAAAAGGTAAGTGTAATGGAAGGGTAGATAGTGGAGCTCCTCAGTGAAGAAGAATCTTTGTTTTGTGGTGTTGTAACCATTTGGTCTAGAACTAGATAAAATTGTAAAATTAAACTACGTCGTGCGGACGTTCATATTGATGTCAGCACCTATTGTAACGATTGGTCATCCCGTACAAGTAATTGAATTTAATTTCTTGTAAGTGTAAATGTGGTCTTTAATTTGGATTGAACACAAATTCGTTGATAGTAATGATTCGATGTTGATTTGTATTAGAATTATTACATGCTAATTTTGTTTAAATAATCGCTTTGTGTTTTGATTTTTATTTGTTCAGTAGATTACGATAAGAAAGATTAGGGACATCAGGAACAAATTGTCTTGTTGTTTTTTTTAAAGTTTATCGGTTGGTTGTTATCGGTCCATAAGCTAATTAATTTGAATATAAGCAGGTGTACGCCTGAGTAAACAGAGGTGTGAAGTTATCGAAGACGTATATTCAAGGTAGACGAGAGAGGGAGCCGAACTTCGTTTCTAGTGGACTTGATTGGTAAATAGAGAAATAATAGAGGAGAAGGTTTCAGACAGTGTAGAGAGGAAGAATATTTTAAAAAGGCAAACGGGGCCTTTTGGTTAATTTTTTTTATGGACAGTCAGTCTTGGTGGTTGTAAAGTTTTTAGAAGAAAGTTTATATGTTGTTCTGGAATTGTGGGGAGTTGGCCAATGCTGATGAGGGCCCCAAAAGATTTAATTAAAGTCTCATCGAGATTTTCGTTATGACAGATGCTGGACGTGTTCTAGAAAAAAATGTCAGCCAATGGAATCTCACTAATCGCACCGATCAGTGTTTTAAACGGCTATTATTTATCTTCAACTGTATTTAATCATGCAATCAACTCACTGATAATTTCTTAATGCGAGCTGTCAAATTAATTAGTATTTAGCGTCTATTAAAGTACAATGTCGCAAAAGAATTTAAATGTGACAGTTGTAGTTACGGCACTAATCGTAAAGACTAATTGGTACAACATCTATTAACACACAATGTCACAAAAGAGCTTATATGGGACAGTTGTTCCAACACGTCCAAAACCTAAATTTGTCATGCTCATGAATCCAACATGATTTGACATTACACCATCATCTTGTGAAAGATGCAACTGTTTATTTGGAGCAGAGTACGCTATGGTACTATTTTTTTTGAGAAATGATGAGAGTTTCTTGCAGAATGTTTGATTTCTAGTCTATAACTTTTGATTGAGAAGTCTCATCGAAAAAGTACGAATTGTTTTTGATTCTACGCACCAAAATTAATAAGAAAAAGTGTTTTCCCGAGAAATTTTGGTGTAGTCGATTTTTGGTAAAAAAGGAAGGTTATACACTGCCTTTTTTGAGGCCCGAAAAAAAAATTGTCTCAGATCGACCCGGAAAATAATTTTCTTATAGAATGTGGCCTGCAGAATCCATAATTTCAAACAGTTCCAAGATTGGGCTACTAGTTCAAAAGTTACAGCCCTTTGTATTTTTTCGAATTTGTTTCTAGTCTATAACTTTTTTCCCGAGAAATTTTGGTGTAGTCGATTTTTGGTAAAAAAGGAAGGTTATACACTGCCTTTTTCTGAGGCCCGAAAAAAAAATTGTCTCAGATCGACCCGGAAAATAATTTTCTTATAGAATGTGGCCTGCAGAATCCATAATTTCAAACAGTTCCAAGATTGGGCTACTAGTTCAAAAGTTACAGCCCTTTGTATGTTTTTCGACATTTGTTTCTAGTCTATAACTTTTTATTTATTTATTTATTTATTTATTTATTTGTTTAGCCAGATACCATACAGAATACAATTATTCCAATTACATGGCACTGGGGTGCTGTACTTAAAACTAAAACTACACAGTAATTACGATGTTATATGACTAATTAATTCATTCAAAGAGCCGTGAAATACATCGATGTCTCTCTCACGGCACTTCTTATTTAAAGCCAACAGGCTCCTCGATAGTGGCGATGACGGAGTGGTCACTAAAAAGATGATATCGTTTTTCCTTAATTTAACATGTGGCACTTTGAGTTTAATTTCCTGAAGCAATTCTGGGGCATTTAGGTGATTATTCAGTATCTTGTACACAAAGGTAGCACAGATCACTTCGCGTCGGATTTGTAAACTTGAGATTTTAATACCGTGCACACTATTTAAAAATTTTAGTTGGTTGGAGTAAGAGATTAAATGTGGAAAATTTTGAGTCGACCTAAAATACACTATTCGCACTAATTTTTTTGAACTTTCTCTATCATGTCTGCGTGCTTATAAGTTTGGGGTGTCCAAATACATGCCGCATAATCGAGTTTGGATCTGATGAACGCATTGTATAAGGTAATAATTGAGGAAATGCTTGTAAAATTGTAGGTATTCCTAATTACAAAGCCTAGTACTTTGTAGCACGCATTTATAAGGGATTCAATGTGCCGATGAAAATTTAAGTTGCTATTGAATAAAACGCCCAAATCTCTAACCGAGGTGACTCTTTGGATATCCTGCCCATTTATTTCGTATTTAAAAATCGTGGGATTGTTGGATCTTGTGTACGATACAACTTTGCACTTTTCTATGTTTAGCTTCAGTTTGTTTTTATTGCACCAATTTATCACTGCATTTATATCTGCTTGAATATTTAAACAATCGTTTGAAGATTTCACTTTATTAAAAAGTTTCAGGTCGTCTGCAAATAGAAGTGCTTTGGAGTTTTGAATCACCCGCGGTAGGTCATTAATAAATAGTAGGAAAAGGAAAGGGCCAAGTAGTGTTCCCTGAGGTACCCCTGAAGAGGGGTAAAATTCGGTTGAGTTCACCCCATTGTATTTCACATGTTAAATATGATTTAAGAAATTTAGCCGTTGGGCTACTGACACAATTAAAATGAAGTTTCTGAAGCAGGACCTGATGGGAGACCTTATCAAAAGCTTTCGCAAAATCGGTGTATACACAGTCCACTTGAGCCCTCTTGTCAAGGACGGCGGCTGTGAAATGCGTAAACTGCATTAAGTTAGTACTTGTTGATTTCTTCGGTGTGAATCCGTGCTGCTGATCTGCAATAACACTGCCAAGATGGGAATAAAATTTATTATAGATTACTTTTTCGAAAATTTTCGCTATTGCAGGGATGATAGCTATTGGGCGGTAATTTTCGATTAGTTTCTTGCTGCCGCTTTTATGGATCGGGGTAATTGTAGTGGATTTCCAAACTGAGGGAAAAGTGGAGGTGCGGAGTGCCAAGTTGCATAGATGCAACAGGGGGGTTACCAGGCTGTGTGCGCATCCTTTCAATACGTATGGTGGGATCCCGTCTTCCCCTATAGCTGCACGTGGTTTTAGGACTTTGATTGATTCTAGTAACTCACTTTCCTGTATGTTCGTTAAGTGCAATTTGGATTGTACTAAGTCCGACTCAAGCCCATCGTTCGGATCCAGGTTTTCCTCTTTGTACGATGCAAACGCGTCGGCAATGCTTTTGGGATCTTCCAGCGGGATGGTTTTGTCGAAAACCTCAAGGACCTAACGTACTGAATTACTCCGGAGGTCAACTTCAATGTTCCTAATGTATTTCTTCTAAGCGTCACGGATCATTTTTTTGAGTTCCTTTCGGTCTTCCTTAAATTCTTCCGATTTGCCTCGTGTGCGATGTTTATTCTTCAATTTAATTTTCTTGGTAATAGCTAAATCAAACCAAATGGGGTACTTGTTTGTGATCCTGATAGTTACTTTTGGGACGCATTCATCAAAAATCTTGTATACAATTTCATAAAAAGTAGTTACCGCGTCGTTTACAGATTTGTAATCGATTTGATTGAGAAGTCTGATCGAAAAAGTACGACAACACCTAATACAATTCTAACAAATGTTTCTTAACTTATCTAAACGTCATTTATAAGAAATTAAACAAATTACACTGCGGTAAAAAGTCAAAAATTAATCATGGTGTAAACTATGTAAATCTACAACAACAATATTAATTGTTATCATTTAACAGATAACAATCGAAATATTTTCTGGCACATCATCACCGTTGAATGCTCCACCGCATGTTCACCATACCTTCGAAGGAGAAGATGAAACTCTGCTAAAATCCAAACAGCTGCTACTGCCTCAGTATTGCTTCACAATAATGTTAGCGATTTTCCAATTTCTCTGCGTCAAACCAGAAAGCTTGAGAAGAGAGTACACAAGCAAGAAATCTAACCTGGTGAGTATAGTGGAAGCACGCGATTGTAGGCGTAGTTTGAATGTTTTATGATTTTAGATTGGCACTAATTTAGCACTTGCGCTGTTAGACGAGCTTATTTTTTTGTTGAACTTGTGTCTTAAATCGAATGCATGGGACAAAAAATCTGCGCCCGGTGTTATTGAGGTTTTACACACTTTCGAAAAAGTTTTAGAAAAATTTGCCGAAGCCCTCGAACACTTTAGGTTTGTTACACATATTTTTTTTACTTTTTGCACAAACAAAAATACTCTTGCGGAACTGAGGCTGGTCACAAAATATGTGAAGGTAGGCGTCTAGGTTTTAATTAAATTTTCTTGAATGAGACTAGTTGTACGGTAACAGTTTCATTAATATAACTTAATTTTGTTTAGATTAGAGGTGACAAGTGACGAAACCAATACAACCAACAGAACCACACATCTTCGGCTTCTTTCCAGCTGCTGCAATCTAATAATCCGCCTGATACCTTTAAACGTCGCCGATTTTATCTTACCGAAACAAATGAAGAACGCTTTATCTAACTGCTTACTTGACGTTTCATTGGCACGTCTCTATCCGAACATCCACGAAAACATCCTCCAGTTTGTAAAGGTAACTGAATGAGGTACAGTTCGCTTCTCAAACGTCAACCGATAGGAATTTGGAGGACGATTTGAAACCGACTCAGTCGCCAAGTACAAGGAGGTCAATCAAGTGTGCCAATCGATAAGCAGCGTGGTCAAACTCCTCCGTACCTCGGATTCCTTGCCAGTTTTAAATGCGATGGAGTTAGCAAACGATGCCGTGCTAAGCTTAGGATTTCATAAGAACTCGTCATTTATTAATCTAGTAATAAATTTATGTGCTAACAAACTACCGGCAACTAAAAAAGAAGAATGCTTCCAAGTTGCGGAAAGTGAGTCATGTGTTATGAGTTGACTTATTTTATGTTCCTTCCAGGTGTTTTACTTAAGTTGTTGGCGCACAACCACATGGAATTACGTCAAGAGACCTATAGACAGTGTGAAAGTCGAATTATAGCAACCATCGGGCCAAAATTCAATGCGACCGGTGCTGGGGCGCCGGGGTCGCAAATATTATTCCTCCTGCGAGCACCCATACTACTAGAAATTAGTCTTTATGGGCTTACCAGTGAGAATAAGGAGGTACCTATTCAATGTGCCAGACCCTGATTTATTTGGGTTATTTTAGATACAAAAGTATGCCGATAATATTCTGGTCCATATATTAAAATGCCAAATACTTGTCACAGAGAGTATATGGAATAAAGTGATCGATGCCATTCTGCCCGTTCTGCCAATTTTAATTTGTCATGCGACAAAAATGACTGTACTAGGCCGTTCCATTGTGGGAATACTAGATCCGGACACGGCGAAAACGTTTCTAATCCCTCCCCTAGAGGTATTTAAACCTGCTGGTTATTAACTTCAAATCAATAATTTCGTAGGTGTTAAAAAGCAACTTATGTCTGCTGTTTGTGGGCGATAGTTTAGCAAGGGAAGAAGCTGTAAGTCGTTTATGCTGGTTATTGACAACTCAGACAAATTCCCGCAATTTACTTCCTCGAATGAATAGTCTCAGAGATAAGGCTTTGAGTAAAGCTTGTCACGTGCAGCGAGTGGCTGATATCAATAGAGAAAGACCAGCACAACACTTTTATCAGGTATCCGATAGTTTATTAGATTCTAAGATGTGCAATGTTTTAAATACACAAAGTTTCGGGTATGTTGTCCAAATATTGACTAGTGGTATCAAACTGCTACAAGAGTAGGAAGGGGGATCTGAAAAGGACCCAAGTTTTCCAATAAGTTGATAATATGACAAAGTTTTTTCTTGTGAAGAATTTTGTATATTACATATTGATCAATAATCTTAACTAAAGAAATTTGATTACGACCTTCAGTGTTTTGTATCAGAATAGCATCACATGGTGCTTCGTTGGTCTACTGCAGAACGAAATAAACTCCACCCATGATCACGGATACCACAGCCCACTATAGCCCGCTTCTTTACTGTTCTTATATGTGTTTGTTGGGGATTGCATTGTTGTTGGGTAGTAGTTCAACTGTGCTAGCAGCCTTCAGGCAGTGAATCTTGATGTCTAGATTTGCTCCTCCCATTTATCTTGAGACAGTTGATTGTTGCGGAAACTAGGGGGGATATCAAAAAATTATTGAAATAAAATTTTCATGTGGAGGGACTCATTTAATGATGCTATTCACATTTTCACATAACTGTCCCTTAAGGGTCCCATGTAGAGCGATGCTATTCACATTTTCACATAACTCTCCCTTAAGGGTCCCATGTAGAGCAACTTAATTTTTTCAAATAGAAACCTACACTTTTTATTGAATATTCTTATTCTACATCTAAAATAATTAACTTTCGTGGGAAACGTTTGTTCTCTATACTTAACATTTTTTGGAGACACTATAAAACCGCGATTTTTGGTTTGAGCGAGGAAGCTGTTTCTGTCAAGAATTTTACCTTTATTACCTCCATACGCTTTAAGTTTTTTATTTGTGAATATATTGTTGCTAGTATTTTTGGAGAGGGATTTTTTATTATGCCATTCAAGCATTAAAAAACAATATGTTCTATTTTTAAAAAAATTGGGGTTATTTCCAGCCAAACCAGAAGTTAAAAAAATTGTCATGATCGCCAATAATTTTCTTTCTTTTTACCCTAATTTGAAAATCGTTAGTTCAGAACATTCGATCACCCCGGAATTTATGGCTCACTCTGTATACATGGCGCATTTCTTTTCTATTTATTAAAAAACATGCCCACATCTAAATTTGAACCCAGCAGAAGTTACCCAACAGGTATTTATTCGAAATAAACATGAAGATTGGAAATTTGTTATTAACTAAAAATATGTGCAATAATTAAATGATTAACAAATTGTATCAGGTAATTAGTGAATGCAGTATTTACAATAGAATTTTTATTTCAGGTAATAAAACTGGGAATTATACATTACAAAAAAAAGGCATCTGGTTCAGAAGGAACTTCAGAATGTGACATTGTAATAGGTCCTGAGTCAGGTGCCAGGTGAGTGGGAGGGAGTTTGGCTTGTTCATTTGTTTTCTTTTATTAGAGGAATCTACAACAAACAATTTGATTAAATTGCTCAAATTATTCAATGCGCATGCGTTGATTTTAGGGCTTTCGTTTTTGGTTAAGTCAAATTCTACTAATTTCGTCCTACACAATAATATTTAGACGTTGCCAGATGGGGGTACAGATTTTGCTATTTATGAGAAAGCGTGCGCGTAGTAACCAGTGGTATGGAGGGGTGGGAACGGCGTTGCTACTGCTTTTTCCAAGAAACTTATGTACTAGGGTTGTCCGTAAATTAATATACTTTTTCATATACATATCATTTAGTTGCAAAACCAATTACAGATTGTGAAAACTTTGATCTTCAGCTATTTTTTTTTAACGTAAGGGTAGGCCCCGTAGCTCCAAAAGCTTTTTCATATCCATGTCATATAATTCTCTCACCAACCTGCACAGGAAGGAATCGGCAACTACCTTCAGCTTGAGAATTTCATTCCCCCAAGTGTTGTTTGAAGTTGGGGAACAAAATAATGTAGTCACTGGGGTCTAAATCAAGGCTGTACTTTCGATGCACTTGTGTTCATGATCATTTCAATTGTGAAAATGCACGAGTTTTCCAGGGTAATATCGGATAATTTTTTGTGTTCATCGAGTGGATCCGTGGCACCCACCTGGCACACACTTGTGATCTTTAATATCCGTCAATATTTTGTGTATGGTAGTCCTAGGGTTCTCCCCTATCTTTTCGGCAATCTCTCGTACACTCGCACGCCGATACGCAGGCACAAAAGTGCTCAATTTTTATCGAAGGTGAAGGGATGCTGGATCACCCGATATTAGTCAATTCTCAGAACATGATGAGCGTTCCCACACTGGATAATTTACCACTACAGCACTGGTAGTAACAATGTTTATTCATTGTTAGTAATTAGTGGTATCCATGGAAATAGCGAGTGCGAGCGATGCACCACTCGCTTTATATACAGTGTGTCCCCATACTGATTTCACTATACACATGTAATTGATCAAACATTTTTGAATCTCGTTTTGATGTTTTGAGATCCTGGCCTGCTTGGTCTGAAAGGAATTTCAAACCCATTTTTTAAAGTCTAAGATGGCCGTGACAATTGAGAAAAAAATAATTGTGTGTTGAGATCAAGGGTCATTTCGGTCAATAATACGGCAAACTGTTATTAAAAATATTTGTTTAGAATATGAACTTATGTCCATATGCAAAATTTCACAAATAGTCCAGTCAATTTGTTCTTTCTGATTACAAAAGGTCCGGTAGAAGATTTTATTTTTCCGACTTGGTTAAATGGTAAAGAGCGAAAAAAATCCAAGTTTGCCAATTCGACTGACGTCGGGAGAAATTCTGTGATAAAAAATCTGCAAAAATTTCTGCCTTTTTCCATTTTTCTCAAATAACCCCTAACATGTATAGTTTAGGTCGTTTAGGAGATTAATTTAAAGTTTCATGTTTATAGTAATTTTTGAAAATAAACCATCTTTTACGTTGCTGGACTTGAACATAAATGTACACAAATAGATTAGGTATAGGTACATATAGAAATAAATATGTAAATGTATTTATTTAATAATAATAATAATAATAATAATAATAATAATA